ACAAGTGGCATCGAAACTAAGAAACGTGTTACACAATAATTCATTACCACCAGGTTTGACTACTGGACCCTCTTCTCTCCAGTTGTCTTTTAAGTAGGAGAAGGATGTAAGGCATTTTTCCCTTCCTTATCACAAACCAGCAGTGGCACACCAATATAGTCTCTGAACACTGATGTTTCGACCCGGTTTCCAATCTCTGCCAACCAATGCGTTTTCGTGATTTTTCCCATGTGTAATGTGGATGCGGAACAGTTCCCTAAGAAAGCCCTCCACGAAGGTATCCCTTTCCTAAGGCAGATAGCCCTTATGGCGCTTTGCCATAGTCAAATAAACCTAGCCTTTCATCACGCATACCTTCGTGATACAAATGAAAACCACGTCTGGCTGGCATTGGAAGGTCGAGAGTTCGAATTCCAACGAGAGTATCGCTGATTTCCCATGTTTCCTGTATTTGAAAACAAGAAAATCTTAAATTTCTGCAATTTCTACAAGCTTTCATGTTTCCTGCTTTATATATTATTGAATTTATTATCTCCTTTAAAATATATATTCAAAACTTAAATTTCTCTTTTAATAAAAGTTTAACACACAATTCGTTACATTCTTCTTTTTTCTTTTTCTTTTTTGCTCTACACAGAGCAGAGAAAAGAAGTTATCTAATTAAGGGAGCTAAAAGAAGCATTCAAAATTCCATGCATAGTTTTATGTAGCATATCTCTAATAAAAAAAATATAAAGCATAAATGTCAGTGTTTAAAAATGTTATGCAAATTAAAAAAAATTGAATTTTTTTAAATAATTTAAAATTTTATTTAAAAACAATTTAATATCCTTTTTAAATTCTGTTTTTAAATTTTTTCTTAAAATATAATACAGCCTGTAGTTTTCTGTATAAATTCGAAAATATAAAAAATAGTTAAATGAATACTGTATTCCTTCAAATTAACTTCGTCCTAAACGTTTTAATTTCATATGCAGTTACATACACATTCTAAATAAGCTTAAAATAGTTTTTCTCATGAAATTTGATATTAAAAAATAATTAATCAAAATTGTATAGATATAATGCTTGTAAGCTTAGACTTCCAATTACAATTAATCTACTCTAAATAATGTTACCAGACTGACTACCTTCACCTCGTTTTAGCTTAGAGTAGTTATCATAATTAAAACTTCGTTTCCACCAGAGGCTGAGCGATAAAATCACTAAACATTGATTGTTCGGCTCGAGTTAATCATGCTAATGGCCTAACTTCACAGAATTTTCCTGGATTTCCTTCATATGTAGCATGAACACCATCCAGTTTCCCTTAAAAAATCTTCCACGAAAGCATCCACTCCCTTAAGTAGATAATCATGCTGTGCTTAACCAATTAACCCAACCTAACCTACACTTACAAGGTATTTCTCCCGTCTTCTTAGCATACATTCGTGGTGTAATGGTCAACACGGTGCGTATTCGAGAGGTCTGAGGTTCGAGTCCCGGTGAGGGCATTGCTCATTTTTAATGTCGCCTGCTTCAAAATAACCTAATGTATCTACAGTGGCGCCCAAGGGAAGAAAGGGTGGTGGATGATTATTCTCCACCAGCAGGATTTGAGACTGGGTATTAGGAGACCCAGTCGCCCTTTAAAAGGGGGGAGTATATAAGGAATTCCTCCCGCCTTCTTAGCATGCCTTCGTGATATAATGGCATGTATTCGAGAGGTCCGTGATTGAGTCCCGGCGAGGGCACTGCTCATTTTTCATGTCTGTTGCTTCGAAATAATCTAATACCTACACGCTGATAACAACAAATGTGTAAAAATAAATAAACTATGTGTTGATACTTCAGCTAGATGTTTATAACAAAAAGACTTCCGCTACTTGCAGCCAGAGAATGCAGTAGTAACTCTATGTTTATAGATCGAAATATTAAAAACTAAAGACCTGATTTCTGTGACGACATGTCTTCCCCGTTACTGCTACTGAAAATGTAACTTACCAGTAATCATCATTCCAGTAAGAAGAAACAGGATCACTGCGCACTACGTTAAGCTGCCAAAGCTATATCGCTAAACTTAGATTCTCCCTTGTTCTTGTTTTTACTTTCTAATAAAGAAGGTGAAACAGTAAAAGTGCATATAAAATTTTAACATAAGAAATAACGTGCTAATTAAACTTTGCAAAGTTATAGAATTATTACAAGAATTTGACTAGTAACGTTCTTTCATGCTGTGCTCAAGAAAAGCAGATATTAGTTTTTTTTTTTTTTTTTTTTTTTTTTTATAATTTGGAAATATGTAAGTTGCAGGGAAATGCTGATGCTAATTTCAGTAAGTTGATTCACATAAAATAACTTATTTAGTCACACTATCAGCATTAATTAATAGGACCTTGAATTTCATTAACTTTTCAGTTAGACAGTTTCTTAATAATAATGAGGAGCAAAAATTAACGATAATTAGCGATAGCAATTAACTATAAAAATGATTGGGAAATTTCGAAACTAAGTTAAATAAAGTCTTTATACTGCAGAGACTCCATTACAGATATACCTGCTTGCAGAACTTTATTGTTTTTAAGACAAAGGCCATCAGATGTCATAGATCTTAAATGCTTAAATCAGTCCTTAGATATAGCCTATCCATTTACACTTTCTACAGAGGCTTGAAGTAGAAGAAGACCTTCTGTAGTAGGCCTTCTGTTTAAGAAGGTATTGCCCCCCCCCCAAATATGGGACAGTTCTATATCTCGCGTCCTACTGGGCCGATTGGCGGAATTTAACTTGCGTTTTTTATATCTCGAAACCACGGCTTAGGTGATAATTAGATTTATATATAGCATTGTTCTAACGTAAGTATTTTCACATAAAATCGGTCTTTTCTGAATACGAAAATGACATGCCTAACTAAATCAACTAACTTAGGGGGTTGAAACAGGCGAACAGTACATAACAAGCATAGATGCGGGACTGTATTTGTGACCCAAAATTCTTCATTATGTATTATTAAATGTACCTTTATACATGAAAAAAACGGAAGCCGTTGGACGCTAGCAATTTAAAATTTTGCCGATGATCTATAAAGCATAAGAATATCACGTGCATTGCTATGATAAAACCATTTTCATAAATTTTAAAATTTTCCATGCTTTGCTGCGGAATAATCTTTATCGAATGTTGTATTATTGATGTTAGTTGAGGCAACGTGTTTAAATAAAACCAAGATTACTTACATTTATTTATTATGCAATAACTATAAACTGTTCGAAAACATCGTCAGTGTTAGAGATTTCATAAAGTTCTAAAGATTGAAATATATTGCCGAATTACTCTACATAACTTACAAAGGTTTACATATTAAATTACTACTGAATAGTCATAATATTGCAATAACAGGATTTTTCAAAATATATTTAATGTGAAAAAACGCAGATTAACGTTTTTTTTGCGGACGCTCTTTATGCTTTATTCATAAATTGCATAATGGAGTTTCATACATAACTTTAAAGACTGAATTTTATTAGCCGTTTCTGGTTAGGAACACATGGTATAAATGAAACGACTTAATTTATATTATTTCTGTAGTAAAATTTCATTAAATATTTATTATGCAACAGAACCTTTTAAAAGTTGTGTCGTTAGAAAGTATTATTACCATTTCCCGACGAATATTGATTAAACTGCTTTAAAACACGTAAAGATTAAAAAAATAAGTGCAGAATAGGCACGAAACGGTCATTTTGGGATTTCAGCCTGACTTAATCATATAACAACAAAGCCGTATGTTTCGCAGGGACAAGCAGCAAAGAAGCCCACTAGTGACAGAGCGATAAAGTCGCTGAGCATTGGTAATTCGGTCCGGTATTCGAAACCCGGCGAACGGGTTGGTTGCAGGGCGTTTTCGTGGTTTGCCCCCATGTGTAACTTGGATATGAACTAACGTCTTTACGAGCCAGTTGCCCTTGGAAAGTCCTCCACGAAGGCATCCCTCCCCTTCGGCAGATAGCCCTCGTGGCTTTGCCGTAATTACATAAGCCAGACCAAACCTTTAAAAGTCCTCCACGACACATCGTTCCCTTTGGTGGACATTACTGTGCGTGTCGCCGTAATCAAATAAAGCAGAAAACGATCTTCTGATTATCCGCACCCGGTTTCAACTTTCAGTAGAATTACCATGGCATATTTACAAGCATACACGTGATAATAACCAACTCGTGTGTTCACGTACCCAATACTTTCTGAGTATACGAGGATTTACTTGTTTTAGTACTTTCCTGTTATCGGGGCGCCACTTAGTGTCAAATATAAATGCTGGCGGGAAATCTCTAACCTGGTGGCAATCATGGCGCAGAACTGTTCCAACTGTGCCTAATTTTTAGCTGCTAACATCTTTCAGTGTAAAATAAATATCTTTTTAAAAAATCTACATTTAATTATAATTTTTGTAACTCGTTACTTTATTTCTGCGGTGGTTTCGGGTGTCTAAAATAAAATGAATCTGAATGTAAATCTAGTAAGACCACAGTGCCAGTTTGCGCTATATGTATGTGCCATAATCGAAAAGAAAATTTTGAACTTGTCTGTATTTACCTTGACTTTGCGATCCTCATCATTTTCGCTTTCGGGTGTGAGGTGCGATAGGACCCTGAATTAAAGAACTAACGCGTATGGCCTTAGGATAAAAGTATTGCGCACCTTTGGTTTAATATGAAGAAAGTGAAAGAGCATAACGAAAAAAATAGGGAAACTAAAAGGGGGAAAGCAATGAAAAGAGACAGAGAGAGGAAAGAACACTGCGCATCATCTTCACATGGCAACCCTCCCCATGAATAGGCTTGGAACAGCGCGGCAAGAAAACAGAGGGGGGGGGGAGACCTAAACCATTTTAGTTCCTATATTAATATAGTTCTTTACTGTGAAATATATTTAAATCTGTTCTAACGAATATATTTTAAAAAATAAAATAATAATGATTACCAAAGCGAAAACGAAACAAATATATTTTCTTCACGTGATCTGAATGCGGCGCTGTTCTCAGCACGCTAACCTTGCAAACCATGTTTTCATTGGGTAACGAAGCCGGCAATGGAACTGGTTCGTCGGCGATTTTATGTTTACCAATGTCCGCGGCATAACGCGGTGGATTTATATTTTCATCTGAACATTGGACTTATCATTCTGGTTGCAAAAATCATCTGTTTCATGTCATTCTTCTAATCATGCTGTATGTTGTAAATAAGTATTGTTGATTTCGCGTTTTCTCTTAACGTCACCGGATTTTGTTTGGATGTGTTATAGTAAGAGCATTTTCATTTAAACTGTCTTATTTTGACATAAAGATTTGATCAGTTATATATAAGTTTTGATTGTTTACAATAGCTTCAAAATATTTTGAGAGATTATTTGTGAAAAGGTTTTGTTCGTAGAAAGTTTATTAAGTCTTGATTTCATTTGTATAAAATCAGAAATAATTAGCATTTAAAAATAAATCTGTTTTATTTGCCGGTATATCACAATACCTTAGTATTTGTGCGAATATACATTAATTTGATTTATAAACGTTATAATTTACTAGCTTTATAATTGCTGCATAATCGTAATGCCAGACATATCGTTTTGATTGTGTTTTATTATTTTAATGTTCATTGTTGTTTAACTGTAGTAATATAAAACCTCTTTAAAAGTAGTTATGTGTTTTACTTTGTGTCAAGTCGTTTAAAGAGTGCTACATAACTTCCGTTAAAAATGACTTTTTCATATTTCTTAAATTTTGGTTGTAAAATAAGGTTGATCTTAAAAACTGAAAACAACCTCAGAGTTTTATCAAACTATATTTATGCATATTTCCATACCAAGTGCATTATGTACTATTAGAAAAGAAAATATTTGCATTTTTAAGTTTTTAATTTACCTTACTGTTGAAAAGTAAGGTTTTAAAGTTATATGATATCTATTATAAATTTGCATTATTATTGCAAAGTAAAATATGAAATATAAATATATTGTATCATTAAGTTATAATTTAAAATGTTTATATAATTATTATCTTCTATTTTTTGTTGATATATGTATCTGCAAAAAAATGTGCTGAAAATGAAATTTTTATTTCAGGTATTTTATCAATCTAGCATTTCCTCCTCAAGAAGTCAGCAATGTCTGTCTGGAAATTCAATATTCTTATTAGTTTAGCATACAGTTCATTATTACATATTAGCTTTTATGAAATTTGTAATGCTGAACAACCAATAATAGACAGTTTTGAAATATTAGAATCTCTTTCTCAAATTGCTCTTCTTAGGCATCATCCAAAATCTGCATATTCAAATTCTAGTAATGTGACAGAAAGTTTCACTTCATTATTGGAAGATCTGAGAAATCAGAATTTCACTGAAGAACATGAAAATGTCAATTGCTCATCATTGTCTAATTTTCCACTTTTGCCTCAGAATTTATGTAATGATGGATCTCTTTTTAAGGTAAGTGGAAAGCTATTATGACCTTAATTTTCAAAAAGCTTCAGTTGATAATTTTTTGAAATCTGTTTCAGTAACTTATTAATTTTATTTTGTTGAATTCATATGCTTGTGATGCTGAATTTTTAGGCTTCCCATTTATTTGCAGGCACATAAAAATTGATCAGGAAAAATATAAATATTTTTCAAAATGATCAGAAAAAAGCAGAATTTCATCCAGAAAGCAGAAAGTTGAATAAAGTGTACACCAGCTTTCTTCCCTAGTGAAAAGTTGATGTTTTAAATAGTACATAAAGAATAAAAGTTATCTTTCTAAAAACATTACAATAACTCTTTATCTATTTCTTAAAAAAGTAAATAAAGAGTTATTGTATTCTTTATTTTTCTTGAAAAAAGTGTTTTAATTGCCTGATATATGATGCTGTTCTACCGTAGTTTTATTTTCAACTTGTAGTGGAGGTTTCACTCTTCATTTTAGAAACATAACTCTTTTGTTACCTATCTTTTTAGAAGTGCTATTGCAGCTTCAAAAATAAATAATGCAGTTAAGAAATTATTATGCAGTGATTGCACATTATAAAATATGTAGATACATATTTCCATACCAAGTGTTCTATTATTTGAAATCGTACAAAATTGCAAAAATTTGAATTTTTGTGAAGTTAAGTTTTTAAGTTACCTTAATGTTGAAAAGTAAGGTTTTAAATTTATGTGTTGTCTATTATAAATTTGCACTTTTTTTTTTTTTTTTTTTTTGCTAAGTAAGTAAAACATCACATATAAAAATACTGTATCATTAAATTATAATTTAAAATGTTTACTTAATAATTATCCTCTATTTTAATTATTATTAAAATTAATTAAACACTTTTGTATTTCCCTCTAGTGTTATTCTGAGACCTTTGGTTTTATTTTAAAATTCCAAAAGAATAATTTTATTTTCAATGATGTACTGTCATAAATTTTTTTACTCTGTTATCAAGACCAGATTCAGAAATGTATGTATATATTGCATGTGCATATATGTGTGCAAGTATACACACACATACATGCCTACGTACATGTATATATATGCAAACATGAACACATCCATGCATGCATACATACATATATTTTTAAATCCGGTCCTGATAAACAGAAGAGTACCTAAATTTATTTTGCAAAATGAACACTCTTCTGCTAATAGCGATTTGAAAAAAAAAAAAAAAAAAAAAAAAAAAAAAAAATTCCAGGCTACTTTCCAGAATGGTTTATGCATGTATTTCATATATATATATTATACATGCATAATATAATATATGTCTTTGGATTTACAGCAATAGGTAAGATAAATTAATGTATTTAAATGCAGCACTGTAAAACATTATGAAAATAACAACTATTAAAAATAAACATGCATGGTAATTACAATGAAATCCAATAATTTAAATGTACTGAACACATATTAAAATAACACAAAAAATATCAAGACATGTTTTTAAGAGTTCAGTTATTCACAACAAAATAAATAATTTTATTTCTGGTTGTTTCAACAAGCATTTGAAGTTTGAATAGTGACTATTCTTATTTTGCCTCTGCTTCAGGGAGCTGCTAACCTCTACAATAAAGAAATTATGTTTTAATGGGCAAATGATCCTCTTTTAACAAAACCCACAGAATTAATTTTAACATTTTTTTAAAACTGTCATTTGCTTCTTTGCTGTAATTGTTTTAAGTAGTCGCTTTAATTTTTCCAAAAATACCCTGAAGAAAAAAGTGAATTTTGCTTTTTAATAAATTGTATTATTGATAGAAATGATAATAACTTTTTGGTTTTTTATTAAAATACAATAACTATTTAATAAAATCCTGCACTACCAGTAGCTAAATGGCTCTATCGGGCTCAAACCCAGGCAAACAGATTTGCTGCATGGGTGTTTTTGGAGGTCTTTTCCCGTGTATAAGGTGAATATGAGCACCCTTTCTCTTAAGCAGATAGCCCTTCTGTTTCTTGACATATTCAAAAAATGTAACCTTTAATAATGTAGTTTGTAATTATTGCACTATATTTTTAGTACATGTATAAAATTATTCATTTGCTTGTACTTAATTTAATTATTAGTTTGATCAGAGAAACTGTTCTATTTGATTGTGAAGAATAAGTGACAGTCAGGCAAATTAAAAATTGAATTTCAGGAAGAACTTTGCAAATTATCATGTGCATTTAAAACTTAAAATTTATTTATTTTAAAATCTACATTAATGTAGTTTATTACTTCATGCCATAAATCACCAAATGTTTCACTGAAGTTTGTTTTTATTTAAAAATTTATATCAAGCTTATATACAAATTACTCCTATTTTATACTTATTATTTTGTTCATGTATATTGCAGATTATATAGAGAAATTTTCTTAGCTTGCATTATTTTATTTTAATAAATTTTCTTAGCTTGCATTATTTTATTTTTCAGTTTTTCTCTTCATTTGTGAATTTTAATAACTGTCTCTGTGAGGAAAATGTATTATACTATAAGATTTTGTGGTTAAAGCGCTAATGTTAATCAAAAACTTCATAGCTAATCAATCAGTCCATTTGAGTCATGCTTAATTATTCAGTTGCACTAAACCAGTATTGTCTTATTAATCGGTTAAAAATTGGCTTTTTAACAGCAGTTTGATCATCAGAACATGAAGTCCCGAAATTCTGAATACTTACATTCAGTTAAAAGAATTATTTTTTATTTTTAAATTTAAATCATGTTTGTGAAATCTGTGAATTTGGTTTAAAATTTTATATCATTTAAAGGCAATCTTATTTAATTTGCATTAAGGTGTTTATATCAAGATTTTAACATTGACATTAAATTCTTTAAATTAAGAAAAAAGTACTTCTTAAATTTCTCATCCTGTTTATGAAGTATTTAAAGATGTCCCTTAAAGCAATATGGGCTGAAATGTGCAATACCCATTGCAGAATTAAGGGAGGAACTTCTTCCCTCCATAACGAAAAAAGCAGTTGTTCAGGCCTTGTAAGACACTTGCTATGTTCTTGGAAAGGAAGGGATTCTTTTTTTTTCCCCCAATGTGACCCTTTTTTAAAAACTGGATATTTATAAATATTACTGAGTATTGATAGAATTAAATATATTTTTTAAAAATCAATGGAATAACTGATGGATAAATGTTCATATTCTCAAATGCAGTGTTTCATGAAATTTTTAGTATTGGAACTTTTGCATAAAATTTCAGTTTGTCTCAACCCATTATATATCATTACTGTAAAGGGAGAGAGACAACAAGACTTGGAAAAGAATGTTGTATAAGAAAGCAATATTTCAAAAAATATATGCATTGAAAATTTTGGGGTTAGAGTAGACTGAAGGGTACCTCTTGTATTATCGCAAAGTTGTTTCGTGTATCACCAAGTTGTTGTTTCATTTATGTAACCTGAGTAGTTGAATGTTCCGTAAATATACTTTTACCTAGAATTGGGTGCTCCTTGACTTTTTAAGAAAATAATCGAGGTGTAATAGGCAAAGTCAGGGAGTGCGCAATGCCAAGTGTGCAATTCTCTGGTTTTTTAAGTGAAAATAGGTCGATGTGTACATGGATAAAGTCAAGGGAGTGTGCAGTGCCCAGTTTGTGCAATTCTGTGATTTTTTTAAAGTGAAAATAGGTCAATGTGTACATGGATACCGAGTTTGTGAAATTCTTTGACTTGTTATTTTGTCTTTGTGCAGCGGCGAAGACAAAATAACAAGTCAAAGAATTGCACAAACTTGGTATCCATGCACTGCCAATTTTCGCCAAAGGCCCTTAAATATACTTTTATACCATTTTTGGTTGACACTGGACATGATGTAGCTGATACGTACGTACATTCATTACTAATTCAAATATTTTTTCATTTTTTCTTGAAAAAAAAATTAAATTGGCACGATCTGCATGTGCATTTTTGCACTGTTATATTTGCGCTTTTTGCAATTTTATTATATAATTGAAAAAAAGAGATGCAGCTGAAGCATGCTAACAACACAAATACTGAGAAGAAAAGCATAGATTGTAATATGGATATTAATGAAGAATAATACATTTACAGTTTTGCTTTATTCCTGATAGTTGGTTAAAATTTTGTTTTGCAGAATTGAATATTTTTATTGGCTGAAAAATGTTTTTGCAGTTTGGTAGTACATGCATCATGAGTGCTATATAAGAATTGCATGATACGAATTGCTTTTGAAATCACATAATTCTGACAGATTTATCATAAGCATATTGATATTTTTAGATAATAAAGAAAATAATTGAATTTAAATTACAAGTTAAAGAGCTGTTACCAATTAGTTAGAATTTTATATTTTACATATTTATTATCTTGCATATTATAATTACTATTAAACATTAATTACTTAAATTGTTAAAATAAGCTAGTTATTAGGACATTAATTTTATGGCAAGAAAAAATAACAAAACTACCAGGTGATCACAGGTAACCAGTGAAAATTCATGAAATTTTTGCACCCTAATTTAATCAGCAAGTACTTAAAAAGTTTTGTGGTCAGTATTAACATTATTGGGGGAAATGTACATCAGAAAAGAAACAAAAGTGCAAATAATTAGCTTGTAACTAATGAATAATGAACTAAAATTTTATTACATCTTTTTTAATTGAAACTTAACATTTATAGACCAGTCAAATCCTAGAAACGTGTCCAATACCATTATTTAAGATTACCATTTATTTGGGCAGCATTTTTATTCATTATAGTATGTAGCACATTTCTGACATAGGATCATGTAGTATTAAAATCATTATTCAGCATTGACAGGCAATGAAGAGTAACTTATGTGACTTTAATGACTTTTTCTTGTATTGTAACAAAACTTATGTTATTTTAAAGATGAATTTTCTAGTTTAAATTTTGGAATAGGGTTACTTTGCGGTTTATTTTTTATGAAAATTCTAAAGGAAAGTAACAAAAATGATTTAAAGTAATCTAGCGTTTATTTCAGAAATTTTGAAAAATAATAGGAAACTTCTGAAATTTATAGATTAATTTGGCATTTGCAAAAAGCCTAATGTTTATGAAATCATAGAAAACCCATAAAAATTTGAGCTGCATTTCTTACTACCCTAATAATTAAAAATAAATATGCATGATAATGTAACAAAATAAAAAAATTTCAAATATTTTGAGTCTATCAAAAATGCTTCCCAACCCTCTGGTTGTTTACAATACCAAAAACCACAACTCTAATGGACATCCATCAGGATATAAATCAGTTGAAAAACTGTCAACTCGTATGAAATAAATGTGTGGATCAAATTTTCATATGCAATTTTACCATAAGAGTAACATTCTAAAACATGTAAAACAATTTCAATTTCTTTTCTTTGTACTGGTTTTGCTAACTTTTATCTCAAATTAATGTAACTTTTTTATTTTCATTTATTTTTTGCATGTGTTTGTTTTTATCTGCCTTATCAATTATTTTCTGCAGTCCTATATATAATTTCTATTTTAAAGAATTTAAAAATGTGTAATACGTTCTGTAACATGTAAATAACTTATGACTAAGGAAACTTGTGACACATCTCTTGAAGAGTTCAGTAAAGGCATATGTCAGAATAAAGGAAAAACATTTTTGTGATGGTATGGGATAGAGATATTTTGGGGCTTAAAAACATGTATTATTATCCATACTGGAAGAAGTTTCATCTTATCAGTAATTTTAGTATGTCATAAAAGCATTTTAATTCTCCCTCTGCTTTCTCATTGTTAATGTTGTGTAAATAATAAGAATGTTATGTAAAAATTCTGAATTTTGTTTAAAATAATGATATTTTAAAATTTTAGATGATTTTTAACATGCTCTTCTTTTCTCCCCCCCCCCAGTGCATGTCTGCAAATGACATGCTAGAACTTGTACCACACTCAACTAAAAGTGTTAGCGAAGCTCTTGCTAGGTTATGTCCTTTGCTTTTACTTCAGCTGCACAATAGTGCTTGTTCCACGTCTGATTCTGACCCAAGTACTCTCTTGAGGCCATCAAGTGCTGCTGGTAGGTTATTTTCATATTTTATATATTGCTAATAATGTATTTAAATGATTTTAATTTATTTTATGCATAGAGAAATATTTTTATTTTGTATAAAGTTAGTTTATCTACTCAACTATAAAACTGTCATCAAGAAGTTTGATTTAGTTCTAATTATGGATAAGTGTGATATCACAACACAGTCATAACATTTGCACTTTTGTTTGATGCAACCCCAAGCCACTTTTATGAACAAGGATATAAACTAACTGTCACTGCACCATTCTTTCCTTCCATTTCCAAGAAAGGAAAAAATGACTAAAATTTGGAACTTACCTTTTGCTGAGCTACAAGCAGCAGATTATTTTAAAAGTTAAGATACCCTGCCATCAGAAAGGTGTATATTAATGTACATGATATTGTCAGTTACATATGGCTGAAAATAGAGTAATGATTTGGAACAATTACCTGCAGGAAGTTTGTACTTGTAGCATTCTAAACAGAGCTTCTGGTAAAATTAAAGGGCCTAACAAAATGTTAGAAATCAATGAAAGCCTTTTTTCTGAAATGCAAAAATGAATAGATCATACTTGTGCGGTTCCAACCTTTTATCTAACAGCTGTGTAGGAACCTCATGAACAGGTAAGCGAATATTCACTTTAGTTCAGAAACAGATATGTAAAACTCAAGAAGGGTTAATTACCCTTTATTTCTCAAACTAAGAAGTTCACAGATGGTTCCTTTCTCAGGACATACAGCAAAGCTCCACTTGGGTTTGAACTCAAAGTAATAAGAAATGAAAATTAACTAAAGCTTAACTAAAAGATGTAGGTGAAGCTATCAAGATTTCTAAGTAGTTAGCCCATAATTATCAATTAAGCTGGTGAAGCTATCAAGGGTCTGAGATACGGCCAAGCATAGTAATAGCTTAGAGAGACTGTAGCCAGAAGGCAAACATGTGCTAGTCAGAATGTCTGGCTTTTCTAACGAAGTCAGTGGAACTTCGACTTAAATACCTTTCTTACTTATTTGCATTAACCATGATTCTAAAAACATGTTTTAGTAAGAAATTATAAGCTGAAATTAGGAGGGATAGGAAAGTAGCTTTAACTAAAGATAACTGTTAAAAACTTAGGATAAACCTTATATACTGATTATTTATTTAATATAGAGATGTTAGTTATTTCAGAATTGTGCAGGAATGACTGGCATAGCTTTGATAGGATATCTGCTAGCTTTCACGATTCAATGGTAACCAACTTGAAAGGTTGACAACGTGATACATCATGATTTCTTTATTTGCTTCATTAAATTGTTCTTTACACAGAAATTGCTCAAGTTAGCCACAATAATTTAATTATATAAATGATTATTAAAATTATGATTGTATAAAAATTTTTGCTATTTCCTCAACGTCAGAGCTCCAAGCTAGGTTGCCAGTGTGATATAGCATTAAGGAGAGGGCTTGATGCCATTTATAGGAAAGGGACATATTAATAAGGACATACCAGATTTTCATGTACTATGTTTAAAATTAAAAAAAAATTAATTAATTTTTTGCTACGAAAATCTAAGTTATAAATGTTCAAAAATAAGGCAAAGTAGAATGTTTGATTGAATGTGTATATTTTCACTGCCAATTACTAAAAAAATTCTTTTTATGAGATAGTTATTTCAAAGAAGCTAAATTAGAGAGCTTCAAAGTAAATATAGTTTGTTTCAATGTATATCCATTTCCAGAGGTATTTTTTAATTATTATTACTGATAACTCAAAATTCAAAATCCACAAATTTTGTGCAATTTTTTAATATACCTGTTTTTATGTCAACAGAGACAAACATATATAACAGTCATGAAAATTAATATGATGAAATGTTATTTCATAAGAATGGGAATCAACTTTATGTTCAGGTATAGTTAGCATTGTTAATCCCATTTTATTGGAAGTCTAACAGAAAACTTTGTAATTTCTAACTTTTGATCATGTAATATTAAATATTTTACATGGTCTCTAGATATTTAAAAGTCAGTTATCTTTGAAATTATTTTGTAAGTAAAATTCATGTTTGTCTTTTGTCATCAAATGTAATTTACAAATTAAGTTACTCTGCAAAAGATAAGCTATTCAAATGCTTTTTGTGATGCTATTGATGTTTCAGTGCAGTGCTGGAATTACATTGAAAATAAACTGTAGTTTTTTAATTTTGCATTCATGAATAAAATATTAAGTTTAAATATTAAGCTTAAGAAAATGCAGTTTGAAAGTTTTCAAAAGTGTTTTGTGAATTAAAAAACTTATCCATTTTCTCTAATCCTCTTTCTCCCTTTTTTATGATTTACATGAAAATCTATCAATTTCAAGTATCTTCAGTATTCTGCTTACTGGGTTTCAACTCATTGAAACACTTTTAATACCTTTGTTTCTGTTATGAATCTTATCTGTCTAAACCAATACATGGGTCTTCGTGGTTATGTTGGAAGAAAACCAGGTTAATCTTCGGATTATGGTAACTTGGTAATTTTTTGGCGAAAATTTGGCGACCAACCCTGCTACAGCAACCTGCTAGAGTTTTTTTTTTTTTTTTTTTTTGGACGCTATTTTGTTTTCACAAAGTAAAGGTTTTTTTTTTTTTAACTCAACATTTTTTTCCACAATTGTAGCGAATTACGCTTTTGCTAGAACTTTATGGAACAAAAGTGCTCATCTGATGAATTAGGTGCAAATTGGGAGAAAGTGCATGAATCAATCGCCCAATGCTTCCACGTTTTTTAGGTTGCACACACACGTATCCATGACACATCGACCTATTTTCACTTTAAAAAAAAAATCCCAGAATTGCACAAAAATGGCATTGCGCACACTCTTGTATTCTTGTATGGGCAGATACCCCCAGTATTCTTGTATGGGCAGATACCCACTGAAGTTTGGGCCTATGGTTGTCTGACATATTTACTAAGAGTTTTTGTATATCCCTGACAAGGGGACTTTTATAGCATGGGGTGCAGCTTGTAATGCAACCAACTCAACCTGAAAAACTGTGTTCCCTAAACTTTCTATCCCAGGTTTTTATAATCTGGTTTCGATGTGATATACAGTATCCACAGCTGCTGGCACATTAGTCTTTTAACCCGTCAGTGTAGATTGTGGTGTCTTTGAACCATGATGATGACTTATAGTTAATTAAAATATTGAATTCAGCTAGATGACAAGGTGGCTTAGAAATACCTTGCTCATAGTCAGTATATACATAAGTCATCCTACAAACTTTTTATTTCTTTGAGTCATAGCACACACACTATTCCACTCTTATGTTGAACTAACAGAAGCACGGGTGACAGTCCTGAAATATTTTAGCAAATAATAAGCAATAAATTAGTAAGCAAAGTTTTGCACCCTCAGCAAATTTTTTGAGGCATGCTCTCTGCAACTACTGCATACCATGCCTTAAATAATCTCTAAGAAACTCCCCATGTCAGTGCTGCTATCTTGAAGCATGGAATGAAATAACCTGTGAAATTGTTCTTTGACCTCTTTTAAATGTGGGTTCCAAATGAATGTGTTGTCAATTGTATCCTCGAGGTATCTCATATTTCTAACTATTTTAATATTTTGCCATTGCAGATTTACTGTTAGTGTTACTGTTGTACACTGCACGCTGTGGTGACTGTTGGCTTATTAACAGAAAAGGACCATTTTGTTGTATGCTGATGGTGTGTAATACTAATTTTTCCAGATTTCATAATAAATAAGTTTTTTTCCCCCCTTCCAGAGCCCATTTAATCTACAATCCTGTTAATCAGGAATTGGCCATAATTATCAATTCACATTTCATATAAGAATACAATAACTGATGATTCATCTTGAAAAGATGAACTTAAAGTAAAAATAATGTATGGAAATTAATTCCTGAGATGAAATTAAACATGTATTTGCAATTAAGTGTGCGTTTATTGATCAGAAAGTAAATGTTAGTATTTTTTTCAGTTTGGGGATATGGCCTGTTGTTTGTCACTATAATAAGTTGCTGTTCTCTTGTTGGTGTGATAATTTTGCCTCTGCTCAGCAAGAATATTTATCAAGTAGTTTTGATGTTATTTGAGGGACTAGCAGTAGGCAGCTTAGTTGGAAGTTCTCTTTTTCATCTTATTCCACAGGTAAAATTCATTTAATAACTGACTGTTGTTATGTATTTTTAAACAGTGCAAAATGACATTATTAGTTTATATCTGAAGTTTCATGTCTGTTAAATATTTAATTTGGTTGCTTAAAGAAAGTGCTGAGTTTTCATGATTGTATTGCTTCTAACTAGTTCAGTCATTCAGTTTTCTTATTAGTTTGTTAAGTAAATAAATTTATATTAAATTCAATGCTTTTCTTAGACATTCAGACTTCTTGGGCAAGACAAAGAGCACAATTATTTGTGGCGATCTCTTCTCATTTTTGGAGGAATTTATCTCTTTTATGTTAGTGAAAGATTCATGAAAATCGTAATGGATATAAAGAAGGTATGACTCATTATTTTTTCTGTGTTTCACTATTTAATGTGTTTATAAAAAAATCGTAGCTTTTGGTTTCTAATTTTAATACTTCAGTATGATGGCACACATATATATTTGAGAATTAACAAAATGCCTCAGTATTGATCCTAAAGCATGAAATTTTATAATTTGTATTGCTTTTAAAGATGCATGCTCTAATTAATCTTATTTATGTTACATCTATTCATAACTGTTTGTATGTGCATGAATGTGAAATGAAAAATGCTTCCATTAATTTAAAAAAAGGAAACATTATTGTGATTTCCAGTATTGATTTTAAATTAGCTAAAATTATTTTGCAGACTATACACATGTAGTTGTTTCCAGTTAGCTTAATTCTTTTATGTATAGTTCTTGAAGATAATATGAGAAAATAAAGTATTTAAATTTATTAAGTTTACTCCCATTCTATTCTATAGATGTAAAAATATTCAAGTTTATGAATCATAGGCTTGAGAGTGGAATTTCAACATATTAAAATTATACGATAATTTTATAATTGCTTGGCATTTTTTAAAGATGCCACAATTTTGTTTCATGAGTAATCCAAAAATTTCAAATTCTTCCACAAAGAAAGAAGAATTTTACATTAAAACATAAACACTAAGTTCTGTTACATGAAATATTTATCAGTATGATTTAAGAAAATTATGTATTTGTGAAATTGATAATTGTAACAGAAAAATCAATTCAATCTAAATTCCATAAAGCATGGTATATAAATTTATTATGCTCATTAAAAAGCTTAATGTATTATAATAGTATTCTTTGTAGATAAATTATTAGCTAAAATTGTGCCATCAGCAATTCCTAAGAAATAAAAAATATCAGTATTGAACTCGGGAAAGGTAGTCGATTTATGATAGATTTTGATGTATAGTTTTATTTAAATTGAAAGAACCATGCAGTTTATTATTGTTGTTGTTAGATATGGCTTTATTGGAAAGATTAATCCAAACATATAAAACAGCTCAAGTATCAACACAAGAACAATGATAAGTAATAAAAAAAGAACAAACATTTATAAAGTAAGAATCAGAATAAATGAACATGGGAACAAAAGTAAAAAGTTAAAAATTTAAACAACAAGAAAAGGAACATAAGAGATGTAGGATAGATGTGTTCATAAGGAGTTCATGAATGCTCTCCAATATAGTTTACTTAGCTCACCATATTTCTGAGACTCTTTATCTAGTTCTGGGCATATAAGAAGATGCTGTGCATTCATGATGCCCGAATTGCAAATTTGGTATATACTAGATGGAAGGATGCTAATTTTATTAAGATGATGTGTGATGCTATCGTGACCTGTCTGCAGTTTACCATATCCTCTTTACAGGAATTTTGACAAAACTTTTTCCATGTGTCTTGAATGTTAGCCCAGGATTTCCCTGTTGATTTTGCTACATGGTCAGATTTAAGAATACAGTCAAATACCGAAAATCCGTCAACTCCTGAAATCCACGTTGCCTCTCAAAATATAAACATTCAATTTATAGGTTTCGGAAACTGCAACATTGGTATGAAATATCAAAGAAAAAATACTTTATTGAATAATGATGTCATAATTACCAAATAATAATGAGTCATAAGGGAAATACCAAATTATTGACATCATGATAAAAGTTTTTTCCCCTCTAATCTGCATCGAGGTAAAAAAGCAGACGATTCACTCAACTCTTCTTCTCACAATTCACGTTGTTGTATTTTCTGAACTTTGTTATTTCATGAGATTATTTAGTGCTGCCTTTTTTTTTTATCTGGATATTTTGTGGATAAATTAAGAATATTTTAAATTTCAGCCCTTTTTAAGACGACGACAGATAAGAAATGCACTCATGATTTTACTGCTTGCAACGTTGAAAAAACGTAAACATGTTGCATTGACAGTAATGCAAAAAGTGCAGATTCTGCAAAAGATGGAGGGCAGGTTCCACTCCTCGGTTTATAGCAGAATCGTATGGAATTGCAACACGATTGTGTATTATATACGGAAAAATAAAGAAAAGCTGTTGAAATTTTGCAACAACAGTGATTCTAACACCAGAATCTGAAACCAGAAATTTTTGCATGAGGCGAAATCGGCAAACCTGGATGCTGTGTATAATGTGTATATAATGCTGTGTATATAATACAATGAATAATGTAATCAATATATATATTTAATTATAATTTAACACATATAATAAATTAATGCAATAATGTATATAATAATTTAATTAAATGTATCTAATATGCCTTATTTATTTTGCACTTTGTGTCTGAATATTATGAATTATATTGTCTGTCCTGAAATTTGCAAAATCCTAACACAACCTCTGATCCCAAGCTTTGCGGATTTCTGGAGTTTTGCTGTATTTATTAATTTCTCAAAAATATGCTTTTTAAGTGACTGGAGGAAGTGGTTTGCTGCCTTGTGGTGCAAATGTTCCTCCCTTGGCTAGTGAGTCTGCCTTTTTGTTACCGTGGATACCTACATGGGAAGGTATCAAGGAAATTGAAAGAAGATTGCTTTGTTGTGTTTATAAAGAAAGTTTGTTTGTCTTATTTCAGAGATAATCTAGGTATCTGTGTCATGGTTTATAACTACAGCCTGGATGGTTGCTTTGGAATCAACCAAGATAACTACTTGAGAGAAACAATCATTGAGGTTTTCCAGAGCCAGTGAGGTTGCAAGGATTTCTGCATCAAAATTCGACATGAAGTGTCCCACAGAAATACATTGAGAAAACAGTTTACAGCATGCACCAGCCCCAGTGTTGTCCTGTATTTTAGAGCCATCAGTGTATACTCTAGTCCATTCGAGTTCAGGGTATTGTTCATATAACATACATAATGTGTTTGATTTTAATGTTGCATCAGGAATGTTTTTCTTTCCCAAGTCATATATATCTAGTGGTATTTGATATCAGTATATTCAAGGGGATTAACCATGATCTTGTTACAATTAACTGGTTTGTTTTCATCTATTTCTTGTAATAATTTCTCACAAGCCTATAGGGGAGATATTTGGGTCTTCGTATTACTTGGTTTGCATTCATTCATTCAATGCACTCCATGTGATGCTTTCATTTTAATGAATGCACCAATTGCTTGTTTCTTGATTTCTGTAACAATTGGTGGGTTGGAAGTATAGCTTTGCATAGCTGTAATTGGTGTAGTTTTCACTTCTTGTGTGATAATTCGAAGAGCTTTGCTTTGGGCTCTTTCCAAAGAGTCAATCTTCCCTTGTATGGTAGAGATTAACACCTCACTTCCATATTTGAAAATAGGTTTAATGTAAGTGTTGTAAGTTTTATTTAGGGTAGCCTATGAGCTTCCCCATTTGGTACCGGCTAGTCTTTTCAAAATTGAGGATCTTTTCTCTACTTTTTCTATAACAGTATTCACATGATTAGTAAAGTTTAATTTGATCTCCAGCACTACACCTAGATATGTGGTACTAGTGCTTTTTTGAAGAATAGCATTATCTATTTTTAATTCAAAGTCTGTATTCACGTGTCTCAGAGAGAAGAACAGGTAAACTGTTTTGTTTTTATTCATAATCATATTGTTTTCTTTGGACCAGGTCTGCATGACTTCAAATGCATTATTCATTATAATTTCTTTCTTTTGGTCTTCATATTTTCTGGAATTTTCTGCTTCTATCCAAATAACAACATCGTCTGCGAACATACAGGCATTAATACATTTAATGTTTTCTAACTTGGTTGCCAAATCATTTATATAAATATTAAAGTGGCCGCAGTTGCTAACTGCTCCTTGAGCTAGATCTAATTTACTTCGTTTATAATTTGATTTCTGTTTGTTCCATCTGGTCCTCGCCCATCTTTGGGATAAAATCATTTTGTACTGGCTATACATTCTTCTGCCAATTCCATAAATGTGAAGTTTGTTTAGAAGTCTCCTTCTCCATATTGTGTCATAGGCTCTCTGGAAATCAATAAAGATAGCCAAATAGCTTCTCCCCAAATTCAAACCTGTTTTAATTTTGTGAACCAACTTCAAATTTGAATTAGTAGTTTACATGTCTTTTTTGAAACCAGTCTGTTGCTCTGCCAGATTTTCGTTTTACTCCAGGTAAAACCTTAGTCTTGTAGTTATCATTCTTTCAAATGTCTTGACTATAATGGAAGTCAGCGAGATTGGTCGGTACAATTCTATATCTTCAGGTGGTTTTCCTGGCTTTAGAATCGGAATGATCTTTGCCTTCAGCCAGTTTTCTGGGAGATTGAGTTTTGTATTCCAGAATTAATTGTAAATCATTAAAAGGAAATTTCTTGCAGATTACTCCAAATGTGTCATGAATTCTGGGAATATATTATGTGGTCCTAGGTGTTTACCATTTTGAATATCTTTGATAGCCTTATTCAGTTCCTCCATTGACAAATCCTCTGTAAAAGGTTTTTCTAGGTTCCAATACCCTTTATTTAGTACTTCTTTCGTATTTTCAGCATTTCTTTTCCTGCCTCTTTTGCTCTTTATGGAGTGAGTACCATTCAAGATAAAGGTTATTGAATATTTTAGCAATCTGTCTTGGATTGCTGACATTTTTTTTTTTCATTTTTTTTTGATAGGTGGTTAATTCTTCATGTTATTTTGTTAGTCAGTGTATTCATTATTTTGTAAGCCTTATTTTCATCAGTTCTGTAATCTAATTCATTAAGAAACCTATTCCAGAATTGCCTTTTGGCTTCTAAAACTTTCCTTTTCATTGCAGCTCATTCCTTTTGTGATTTGATCACATCTTGTTTGCATTTTTTATTAGTTTTCCCCGCCACTATTTCAGCTTCCTTTCTTGCTCGCTGTCTAATTTCTCTTTTCTTTTCTAGATTAGTGTACCAAAATGGTTGGTAGTTGGGCCTCTTGCCTCTCAGGATGTTCTTTTTGGCACACTTTTGGAGGACTGAGGTAAAAGCTGATTCTGTTTGTTGAGGTGAAGCATCATTCGGAAGAGTGTTTATTTCACGTTCCATATCTTCTGTGAAGGCCTTCCAGTTGGTCTTTTTAAAGTTCCACATAATTCTTGCTCTATTTCTTATCTGTTTTTGGTTAGTAGTAATTGTTGTTTTTACCATTTGGTGGCCACTTCCTGGGTCCACAATTACTGTTTTCTTGCAAAACTTTTGCTGAAACTATGGTTAAATCAGGGTTAGTAGAACTGCCTGAATAGTGAATGAAGGTGCTAGGATCATCTTTATCATATATAACTAACACTGCATTACTATCTACAAAGTTCTCAACAATTTGCCTTACTTGGTTTTCGTAGGTGTAGCTCAAGTTAGGGGAAGCAGCACTGAAATCACCTACAATTATAGTATAGTATTTTGATGAGATCTTAAGGTGTCTAAATTTAAGTTTTTGTTGTTTGGTGGACTATGTATTCCAAAAATTTTGAAAAGAGTATTCTCATTCCAAACTTTTACTCCCACAATTTCTGCATTGTCATGATTGTTCATTGTTTTCAACACCTCATATGATGATGTCAGTTTATTTTGCACTGCCACTAAAATACCACTTGCAATCTGTCTGCTTTTGAAAAGTCCATAAATAGTGAAATTTTCCATATTATAATACTTTATTTTGGCTTCTGTAATATTTGCTTCTTGAATCACCAGAACATCAATGTTCTCCTCAATGACTACTCTCTTAATTTCTGAAAACTGTTATTGTGATAACACATATAATTTGTTAATGCAATAACTCGGGTACTCTTCTGTTGTCGAGACTGGATTTGGAAACGTAGGAACGTTTGCTCATGTGTGTGTGTATATATATGTGTAAATACACACAAAAGTATACATACGTACATACATGAACACATACATTCATACATACCTGCATACATACAAACATTTCGGAATCCGATCCTGATAACAGAAGAGTACTCATACCATAACTCATGACTGTTTTTCACACCTTGTCAAAATAACGATTTTTTTTTGTTAAATTGAAATGTTTTTGGCCAATTTAAACAATACTGTGCATCCAAATATATCATAGAAGATCAACTGTCTTTTCTCAGACTTCTTTTATGACTGATATTTTCTGTTCTTTTTGAATAAATGCTGATTTTTTTATTTAGTTAATAATTTATCCATGGGAGCATAGTATTTTAAATTAAACTTTCTGTGTGCATAATCAGTTTATATATCATGTTTTATGCAATTTAGATTAAAATGCTATAAGTAGTATCTTTTGTACTGTTAATACATAAAAATAGATGCTTTAAAATTATTATATTTTTAAGTAAGATAAGTTAGTAAAATATAACAAGATAGTGCAACAACAGCAATAAAGGGAGGTGAGAGAAAGCAATTTCAGCATAGAAAAATTAGTGGTTAAAAACTTCTGATCAGTTAGGAGACTCAACAGAAAAGGGTAGCATAGAAGAACATTCCTAAAATCATTTCCCAGAACAGAATCAGATTTAAGATTATCAGATAGACATTTTTACCAATTCTTAGTTATTTGTATTATACTATTGGTCTTATATAAAATGATTTCCGATTCTATGAATCTAAATTTCTGCTCCATCATGGAATCAAATGGCAGGATGTGACACAAACAGCACAAAGCAGTAGATTCATGTTTCAGATAAAAAGCAGCTCATTCATGCAGTGGGAAATAGTTTTATGATCCAAAATAGGTTCTCTAATTCCAGCAAAGTAATCCCTGAGTATGGCATGCTATTTAAACTTAGCTGCTTATAAGATGCATTGATTTGTGGCCAACATCTTTCCTTTAGAGCAAGGCCACTTTCAGCAGGGTGTTTTATATCACTGGATAGTTGGTTTCAGAACGATTTAGCATATATAAGCAAATGTGCAAGCTTAGTGTATATGAGTGTTCATCTTAATCCTGTTGAACAAGGATTGCTCATGTGTGAAATTGAACTGTTATTCAGTATGCAATAATGCAAGACATAGGCTAATATATCCACAGAGGATTAAAGTGCTGTTGTGCATGTTCTTATAAATTTTAAGTGTTATAGTTGGAAGGTGACAACTGCTATATTGAATATATCTAATAAAGTAATAAGTTCATGGTGCATTTTAGATGCTCACATTATTTTAATATAAAATTTTGCCAGTGTTTGGCAGGCTTCTTTCCTTCATTTAGTAATTTGTATGTAAAATTCCTAAAAATTTTCATTCCTAAAAGATGAATTTAGTTTCTAGTTAAAAAAAAAAAAAAAAAAAAAAAAAAAAAAAAAAAGTTAAAATGATAAAAATAACATATATTGGAATACTATATTAAACGACAACTGCTATATTGAATATATCTATAAAGTAATAAGTTCATGGTGCATTTTAGATGCTCACATTATTTTAATATAAAATTTTGCCAGTGTTTGGCAGTCTTCTTTCCTTCATTTAGTAATTTGTATGTAAAATTCCTAAAAATTTTCATTCCTAAAAGATGAATTTAGCTTCTAATTAAAAAAAAAAAAAAAGTTAAAATGATAAAAATAACATATATTGGAATACTATATTAAACAAGAATATTTATCAATACTCTTGCTAATTTTCTTGTTTTCTTGTTCTTATTTACAGCAAAGGAAATTGAAGAAATCTGGCTATGAAATAAAAGAAAATTCTACTGAATTTTTGAAACCTTTAGCGGATTCTAATCTGTTAGTGAAGGAGAAAGCTTCTAATATTGATGAGTGTGAAAAAGACAAATTAACAAATGGTTCCTCTCTCCTTCCGGAAAGCATTAACAGTCAGAATAATTACAAAATTATAAATGAGGAGAAGGGAAAATTAAAGCCTGTTAAATCTTATCCTGTTAATGGTGAGGTTAGTACTAATAACTTTTATGCTTAATAATTTGGTATTTAAGATGACATGCTTTTGTTTATATCTATAATATTTTAATTAGTAACAGTTAATTTTAAAATATAGTTTTCCTATTAGAATACAAAACTCTCTTGCAGTTCTTTGTAATTCTTTTCATGAATGCATTCCATCATAAAATATTAATATTACTATTTATGCTACTTTTCTTTCACATTATTAAGTGCCCAGATTGAAAATTTTAATACAAGTGTTGCATAACTGTACTTAATTTTGATTTCCTAAAATATTATTTCTTAACACTGACTGTAGGTGTTAGGATGCCTCGAATATTTCCATCATTTTAAAATTTATTTATGTATAGCTGCTTTATTAAGTTTTTAAAACATTTGTATTTCATTAATTTTTTTAATCAGAACTTCTTTTATTGTAATCATTTTTATTACAAAAGGTACATATATATCGTTATAATGCTATACTATCTAGTTGTAATGAAAATTTTCTGCCAAAAAACGTTTTTAATAAAGTTAGGAAAAAAAAAAAAACATGAAAGCAGTACCTTTACTGTAGGCAGTGATGACCATCCAAATCTTTGATTTTCTGCCAATGTTCTGGTAGTTTTTCAAAGCCTTGAGCACAGAAACTTGGTGACCGTGAGTCCAAACACAGATCAACCTCATTTTGGATATCTTTTGCAGAATGAAAGATGGCACAGTGCAGATGCAGATGGTATGGAAAAAAAAAAAAAATTACTCCTTTAGATATAGGAAAATCACAAAAAGCAAGGTGCTTTAAACATGTTAAAACTTGGCCATCAGAACATAAAGCAAATAAGAAAGCATGGATGACAATAGGCATTTTAGCAGGAAAAATCGAAGAAAATAAACAAAATTGTGGAATTTTACTTTTTATGGATCAGTTTACAGAATGTGCTCAAATAACAGATTTCTTACAAAATGTGAAAGTTATTTTCTTTGCAGCAAATTGCACTAATGTAGCATAACCATTAAATATATACGCCATTAAGAATTTGAAAATGTTCTGTAAGCAAAGATTGATTCGAATAGCCCTTCAAAATATAACAGGAATAGCATAAAGGAATAAATAGGAAATAACATAAGAAAATTTTAATATTCTTGAGGCTGTGAAAATGATTTCAATTCTGTGAACTAGAACAAAATCACAAACAATAAAAAATTGCTTCATTAAAGGGAGATTTTCAAATGCAGAGTCAAGTGAAAGCGTTGACATTGAAAATGATGATGAAACTGTGATTACAGATGAAGAAAATTGGAAATTACTGGGATTAGACATTGCAATCAAGGAATACATAAATTATGATGCCAGTGTAATTGCATCAGACTTAACCTTCTAAAACCGGGCCGAAATTCTCATAATATAGCCTTCAGACCGGCGCGATACGAAACAGTTTTGCCCCTTCTTTGACATTTTCCTAATGAGAAAAGTCGTTGGTCCCCCTCCATGGATGAAGTAAAATTTACATGTTTGTCGGACACTTACGTCCCATAGTAGAGGGGCTGCTAGATTTGCAATTTTTTCGATGATTATTTTGCTTTCATTTAAATGAAGTTCTAAATAAATAGTGCATAAATAAATATGCAGTACTGGATGCATATCCAATCAATGCACAATTTATTTAGAACAAAATGTATGCAATGTTTATATTTCACTCACTATTTCTGATCAATCTCGTAAATAATTTGTGAATTTTTTAACTTTGTTTTCACTCTTCATTTATATTCACATATATTTGTATTAGAAATTAGATAACGAGAACAAAATTTAACAAAATATAGTAAATACGGACTAGATTTGTAAGTCTGCAGGCTGGAATGCGATTTTTAATAACATATTTTCATTAACAAAATAATGGTAATGACTAATTTAATGAAATAATAATAATAATATTTATTACCATTAAATGATTAGAATGAAATTCAATACAATTAGATTTTGAGATGAACTTACAGCAATAATAAAGCTTTACATAACAATAACAGAGATTTAAATCTGCTTTTTTCGATAATTTTGTTATTATAATATAAAAATCAAAATCCGAGATACATTGGTTGTGTTTCATTTCATCATTTAACTTTAACAAATATTACATTGGACTATCAGGCAAAGGAGGTATATCTTTAAACGAGAATTTTTCTTTGTAAAATTGGCTTTTGTTTATGTTAGCAGGTGAAAAAAAATCTGTGACCTATACATGCAATCATCAAAAGAATTTTTGAGAACAGTTTTAAATGTTTCGTGAAGAATTAATTATACGTCAATTTCTTTTCATAGGTAGAAATTTCGTCTAAAACCATCGTTATATCCAACAGTTGAAGTCTATTTCATTTTCAACGAATATTCTATTTGCACATAATATATTTTCTAATTTATTTTAGAAAGAGTAATCTTTCACGTTTTCAAAAGAATAAGGACATACTGGGTGTTGACACAATGTAGTAAATCTGTTTTTCATATTTCTTCCAGTAATGAAAACGATTACCCTGGAATATTTTCAAAGCAAAATTAAGAAAACCGTTTACGCCAAATTTTGCATAAAGTATCTTCTCATGTATTTTTTTATTTAAAATGTGAAATTTTCTTTTTGAAAATATAAAAAATCATGAACGGAGCAAAATTAATTCATGAGAAATAACTTTGAAATGCAATAATTCCATCGTAATATAAAATAGTGGAGAAAAATGCAATACTGTTTATTTATTCACAATTAATCCCCTCATATGCGTAATATGCGTAATTTATGTACTGTCGATTGAGAAATATAGGTTGGTAAATTAAACCGGTTATTTCAATACTTTTCCTTTATCAATATTTTTACGGGCTCTTCAGTAGAGCGGTAAAGGTGGCTGAACACTTGTAGCTCGCTTGGGTTTGAATCCCAGCTAAATAGTTGGATTCATGGTTTCTGTGTAACATAAATGCAAGCCAGCTGCTCTTAGAAAGACCTCCGCGAAAGCATAACTCTCCTTATACAGGTAATTGTTGTGTGCTTTGATGTAATTCAGTAAGCGAACAAAATTAATCCAATCAAACCCAAAGAACGGGTTGATTACATGTGGAGTTTTCCACCAGGAATGTAAATGCGAACAATTTTCTCTTAAAAAGGTTTACACGAAAGCATCCATCTCCTTAAGCAGATAACGTTCGCGTGCTTTTCCGTAATCCAATCCTAATTTTCATATATTTAAGTTCACATACGCCTTATTACAGACAAAATAACAACCTTTTTTAAAGATATTTTTTTATTAACTTGTCTGAATTCCCTTTATCTCTTGAGGAGTATAAGAATTTCAGCAAATAAAACTGGCCGAAATTTTATACAATGTGACTGATGTTTTGATTGAATTTAGAAGTAACGTGAGCTTTACTGATATTTAAATACTTTTTGGCAGATCTCATCCTAAAAGAGGGTCTAAAGATAAATTGATTTTATTTAATTTACAATCAATGAAAATCATTGAAAGCAATCACTGAATGAATGAAAATCACAAAAACTATTATGCATACAATTGTCTCTTATTTATCTCCTGATAAATCAGACAAAATTGCCTACATAATAGAAGCACTTTGAAATAGTTAACAGTTCTTAAAGGTTTTATGCACTCCACAAAAAAATGTCAAAATAAAATCTTATTATTCATAAGTATGAAAAGGAAGTAAACGATAAAAGCGGTTTTACCTATTTTCTAGAAGAGCATTAAATCTAAAATATTAATCTATTCTTATTTGCTATGATTAAAAAACATGAAATATGGTAAGCTTAAAGAGCGTGCAATATCGCTGACATTTTAATCATAGCAAACGTCAGTACTAAAAAAATTAGCTTTAAAATTATGAGACAGATTGAATGAGAGAGATGGCCTCTATTTGATTTTCAAGTATATTGGCGCGAGACGAAACCTGCGGTTTTTGCCAAAATGTAGCCAAACTGATAAGAAGAGGGAAATAATGTGTAGTCAGCGACTACTCTGAGCAGCGACAATGGATCACCCAGAGATCTACAGATAGGCGATTCTCTAAAAATAGGGAGGGCATTCTCTAAAATAGGATGGTACGACAGTTGTACCAATGCCGGCGTCTGAGAAAGTCATTCTCCTGGTACAACTGCTGTACCAGCCGGCTTCAGAAAGTTAAGCGCAGTTGAAGAACTGATTGAAAACATTTTATCAGATGAACATTTAAGTAGTGGAGATGATGAAAAAAATGATGAAATATTCCCACCTTCTTTTCAAAATGCTATTGCATTGACACCCTCAGATATTTCTTTGTGTGTAATAATACAAGCGAGAAAACATTTCAAGAACTAAATTTGATTCATAACACTTTACATAAGATTCAGAATCAAAAGTCACACCAAGTGACAATTAAAGATTTTTTCCTCAAAACAAATTTTAATTTGCTTTAAAATGTTCTTGGAAAAAAATTTTACTTATTCAAGATGATAATTAAAATAAAGGTGTGACCTTTTCCCCCCCCCTGTATTTTACATAACTATGTATAGAAATTTGCATTCTTATAATCTTAAAATATTAAATGTGTATTAAATTTTTTTAAAAAATATTTATAAAAAATGCTTAAAGTATTAATGTTATTTAAGCATTTATTTAAAAGATTAATTTTAAATTTGTTTGAATATAGTTAATATTTTAAACAATTTAAAAGTATAATAATAAAATTGTGTGATATCAGTAATACATTAGTAGTATCAAAATTGTGCAGTTACTATATGTATACATGTTTGATATCATAAATTAAAATTTCATTTATACGCTTTTCTCATTTTCACATCATTTTGTGAATGGTGCCTTGAAAGATGTATAAACTATGTTTCATTGTATAGCTGTGATCTAACTGAGGAGGAGCCGACTGAAAATTCAACATTAGTAGTTAAAAATGAATAAATAAAAAAAGAGTTGAAAGTATTATGTGATGATCCTAAGGAAATTAAGTTTTTATGATATATAAAAAAAAAATTTTGCATCTGAAAGCCAGGTTTAGCATCTAAATTTTTTGCAGTTGTTTTAGCTGCTCATTTATGACTATTCTAGATCTTTTGTCTTGTTGATATAAGTGTTCAAAATATCTAAATTTTCTTCCTTGAATTTGACTTTAATTCTAAAATACTGCAGTAAATAAATTAGTTTTGTAATTTAATAGATATAATTACTTGATCTCAAACAGAAACCATACAATAAGTAGAAATATTATTCTTTTTGCAGTGTTTCTTTTATATTATGTATAGAGATTGAATATTAAGTGTAATTGCTTAGCATATTCTGTGTTAGTCATGCCTGTATACAAATTCATCTTTAAATTGCACAATTTTTTCCTCTGCTAAGTTTTTAATATTTTTATTGCATTAGTTTTTTTGTTAAAAATAAAGAGCAAACTTTCAAACATTTATTTAAATTCATTAATTTTTCTTCACACTTTAAAAGCCTGATATGCTGAAGTAACTTTGTTCAGGTATATTATCTAGAGATACATCAAATTTTTGACTATTGTTTGATTATTTAAAGTGAACAGTTAAGGCATCTTTTAAAATTTTTCCATTCTGAGCTTCTGTTTGCTTGGTTGGTGCCTAAAGCTCTTTATGCTGCATACTTATTGACAGCACAAGCAAAAGTAGGTGCAACATCAGAATTTCATCATAGTTTTGAAAGATATAGTCCCACTGCATTTACTGTTCAGCTTTAACCAAGTTCTGATGGCCAGCCTTCTGGGGCTCAGATCTAAAAGTCTCTCATTTCTCTTTTCCTACCACCAAACCTCTCCAGAAGGCATTGAGCTAATCAATATTTTAAGTGATCCAATGCCGCACAGACATTATACACTTACAAACATTCCAGTGTTCTTTGGAATTTGAAACTGAGCCCAATGATAGGGCAGCTAACAGCACTGACTACTATTTTCTGTATGTTTTTTTACTTTTACATTATTATTTGTTGCTTTGAAAATTATTTGCTTATGATATCACCATTCTTTCTGAAAATTAAAATTACTTTTTTTATACTTCTGTACCACATATTTATTTTGAAATGTAATTAACTATTGATTTACAGATTGCACAGAATCACCACACACATCATCATGAACATACTGTTCACTTTGAAAAAGGTAAATCTACAATTGGAACTGTAGCATGGATGATTATTTTTGGAGATGGATTGCACAATTTCATTGATGGTTTATCAATTGGAGCTGCATTTTCAGAGAGTATTTTAGCTGGAGTTAGCATTTCTGTTGCTGTTATTTGTGAAGAATTTCCTCATGAACTAGGTAATTTGCATTGAAAAATTTGTTTTCTTATAGTGAATGCTTTCGAAATTTAATAATAATGATTGATTATGAGTTGCTATTAATCTCAAACCTCACTTTTTTTTTTGTCTGCATTACTTTTGAAATGTTGCTGCCAAATGTTATCACAATTTTTAAAGAAATAATACAGATATAAAATAATGTATCGCAAGGATTACTAATAAAAGGATGTAGTCACCAAATGTTATTCTCTTGCAATTTTGAAAATAAATACCGTAATGAATTTAAAAAAATATGGAAACATTTAACACTATCAGGAATTCTAAAAGTATCCCATATAAAATATTTTTCTATGGGATATTTTTTACATGCCAGTTTGTTGTCATCTAGCAAAGTGTACAATGTTTAAATTTAGCCATTCGGAAAAGCGAATTTTTGTTTAAATTTAATCTGCCTATTACTGATTAACAAACTAAGCAATTTAAAAGCAATAAATTTAGTTCTTTATATCTTTTATTAACTATCAGCTGATTACATGAAATTAGACTAGCTGGATTATTAAAAGTTATATATATTTTTCTTTTTTATAACTATTTAGGTGGTGAGCTGTGCCAATAACAAAGTTAAAAAGGACAAAATAAATAAATAAATAAATAAATAAATAAAAAATCTTTTTAAAGAATTAATTACTCTGTGACAAAAAAATAACATGTCCAAGAGTAGGTAGATAAACTGCTAGCTCAACAAGAGCATAAAAAACCTTAACCCTCTGGTGTTATGTTAAAATCTAAATCCTTTAAGATTTTCTTTTTAGCCTTTTTTTATATAATTTCTTTAAAATAAAGAAAATAAATTTGAAATAGTAACTCAAGAGATCAGACACAGTTTATGCTAGATACTTTTCAGTTAACTGGGCACTATGTTGGCTCCAAATCTAACTAGAGTTAGAAATGACAATGCAAATGATACATATAGGTTTATGAAAAGAACCCAGATTAAATCAGAAAAGTCACAAATAAAAAATGCAGTGGGGATTTTAGCAATTAATATCAGATTTCTTAGAAGGTTTCATTTAGCACTTCTGGAAACATTTGTGTCATTCTTGTGACAGTGTACGAGTCCAGTTAAGGGGAAAGTTAGATGTTGATGGATTCACATTTATTTGCCATTCTGCACTGAAAAATCTGTAATCCATATCTATTCTTTCCTCTAAATAAATGAAAATAAAGTAAAATTTAATTTAACAAAACACAAATGAAAATCTACGAGTGAAAATTATCGGATAATTTTCCCACAGAATCGGATCGGAATTATCGGATCATTCAGAATGATTATTTACAAAGCTACTCATATCATAAAAGAAAACAAAGGGAAAATCACTGTTCTACCTATAATAGAACCAAAGTTACCATTCCTAACGTTTAAAAAAAAAAAAATTGATCGAAATATCTTAGACTGTTCTATAGTTAGAAACAATTTGAGCCAAAATGTTGCATTTGAAGAGCTCTTTCATTCGCAAAAGGAATTTTGACTCTGCCTATAATAGAACAGATGTACCATTGGGCGCAGTCCCAGATCTAGCGGAGAGCAAGCCGGGGTTCTTGCCCCAAGCGGCAACTCTTGTGGGCGGCAAATTCAAATATAATGCTGGATCATATTTGATATGTTGTTTGCTAAAACAGCTCTCTAATTCTAGTAAAATGTTATTAGTTTTAAGGTTAAGTTTAAAAACCTCTTTTAAGAAGATTTATAATTAAATACTAAGAACCCTTTTAAAAGAACATGAGTTAAAATTAATTTAAGTACAGCCTATTACAACTATAACTATAAGATCAGAAAAAGGTCAATAGAAGGACTCCAGGCATCACTGATGGAATCAGACTGACCCTATCAGTAGTTTCTGGAGTCCCTCTATCGTTTCCTGTCTGTATTCAAATGAGAAATAGAAGGATAGCTTGTTGAAGAAGTCACCTGGTTTCCATACCAACGTCTGCTGGGAAATGGAAAAGCTTTTGTAACTATTTTCTAAGAGCTAATCCCAAAAAAGTAACTTCGGGCCATCCTGGACCAATGAAATAATTCAAATTCATATTCGTCGAATACAGTCAAAAGTCTTTAATCCGGACTCGTCGGGACTTCGGTGATTCCGGATTATCGATTTTTCCGGATTATAGATCATCAGTTTAAATCTGGTAAGATGGCATGCAGAAATTATAAAATTAAAAATATGAAACTGTAATTTATAAAATAATGAGCAATTATGATCTAAAGGGTATCAAAATTTACAAAAAAAAAAAAAAAAAAAAAAAAAAAAGAGCTTAATATTTATTTGTTTATTTTATTAAACATTTCTTTCAACGCGTGCATGTGTAAAGCATACATTATGCATAGCCGAAATTAGAAAATTGCAACCAGAAAACTATTTGATTTGTATTCGTGATATTTATAATGATGGGGAATTTGATTTAAATCATATCAAAGACAAAGTGCATCGAGATGAAATACTACATTTAATAAGGAATTATAAGCCGAATAAAATAAAAACATTTGCCCTGAAGATAATGATAGTGTTGACAGATCAACTTCCAGTTCATTGCGCCCCCCCCCCCCCCCCCCGCGCAGAGCAGCGTGAAATTGATAAACAGATTTCGGAATGGTTAGATAAACAAAGGATATGCCTTTATCCATTTTTTGGAGCAATTCCACTTTTTGTTTGATGGACATCGAAACATACTTTCGTTTTCATAGAACCTTTGGGAGCTCCAGCATCGGAAATTCTATTTGACATAATCGAAAGTTCTAGCTTACTTTTATAAAATTGCTCTTACAGTCTGCAAAAAATAATAAGCCGGATCCAATTCGAAGATTAAGGAGCAACGCAATCATCAACATTAACTGAAATAGACAATTAGATAATTTTAGCCTTTACCGTCCGATATACATTAAACGCGCAGCGAAAACGTATTTTGCGCTTGTGCACACGCAAATGCGCAGTCGTAAAGGTCTTACACGCACGCTTAAACGCCTATGCGCATGCGTCAAAGCGGCGCATGCGCAGAAAGTTTTTAGCTTTGAGGTCCGGATTATGGGTGTCCGAATTAACGACTTTTGACTGTATATACAAGAGACTGTCATTGTATCTTCAAGATGAAGCAGGCATTTAGACTTCTTGCAGCCAGTCGGCAGCTTAGACTATTCCGAGTCAAACGAAAGTTTTTTTTTTTTTTTTTTTTTTTTTTTTTTTTTTTTTGGATTTGACTCGGAACAGTAGAACGCATTTTGGATTTTAAAGCTAGATTTATTATTTTTATGGCTTTTTTTTAGTTTTCAGGTCTCTTCTGTACTCCCTTTTTTTTTCCATATATATGCTTGATTTTAATAGCCCGCACTATATTTAGCGAGACGCGAACATTTATTTAGGTTCAGTGTAATTACGTCAATTCTTAGTTATTCTTATTAAGGCAAATTCATAGTGAATTTCATTTAGATTAAAAGAAACCATCTATGCACCGAGGGGAAGAGAAGTGGAATATAGAAAACGATCCAAAGATAAGGCCAAACAGAGAAAACAAATTTCAGCTAAAATGAAAAAATAACTTCACGGAAGAAGTAAACCGTAAGACCCTGCCACAATTCCGATTATGGTGAAATTCTAGAAGGTATTAATATTTCTTGCAATTTGCACAACCAAACATGACTGCATATATCATCCGCAAACTATCTACAAATCAGTATTTTAAAGAACATCCTTCTTCATTGACATCAAACGAATAGCTGGAGGACATGAAACCATGATATAAAGATCTCTTCATTTAGATGGGGGTGGGCAGCAGAAAGGTGGAAAATTTTTATTTGTTGGACCCATGCAGTAGGCTGGTCATAGAAAAAAAAAAAAAATGAATGATCACCAACAGTTTTTCTTAAGCAGTCAATCAGTATTATTAGCTGGTAAACATCCAGAAAACATAAATCTCTGTCCAATTGAACGTGTTGACATGCGATACAGAACATTAACAAATAATGAAAATATTAGATCTTGTTTTACATATTCTAAAAACAAGAATGCAATTTTTTGTACACCCTACAAGATTTATCAGAAATATGGTGCTGCCGCTAGAACATACTACAGGAGATTCATTAATTGGAAAAAACTTTTAGCAAGATTAACTGAGCATGAAGCAGCTGGAATCCACAGAGGTGCATGATTAAGTGGAAAATTCGAGAACAACAAATGAAATCGTGCCAAGGAATTGATCACGACACTGAGCGACTCATTCACATAGAGAAACAAAAATGGAGAAAGATTCTATATAGTCATGGATGTGGTACTGTATCTTTCAACAAACTGTCATTCTTTTCTTGGGTCTGATGAAATCCCAAGTAGCCCGTTCACAAAGTGTCCTCGACCTAGCAAAGGACATTTTCTGAATTTAAGTTCTCCGCTTGCCAAACATAATTCAATTCTTAGGTACCAGTCAAAGCACCTAACAAAGGGAAAGGAATCACATTTATCAAAGATAAGTTATTAACTTAAAGGCAAAACAGTCTGAAGTAGCATTTTAAACGATATTAAAGAAGCCAAATACAACACAATAATGCTCGACTGCACTCCATATGTCTCATACAGGAAAAAATGAACCAGGTGATTCAATGCGTAAAAACGTGTGGTGATATGTGTGAGATAAAGGAAAATTTAATCGATTTCATAGAAGTTGGTGGAAAGATAGGAGAATGTATTTCTGAACGCATTGTAGAAAATTAGTGTTGTAATTGACACTTGATGGTTTAGATATTGGATAATGTTGGTGTCAATCTTACGACAGCGGGTCTAATGTGGCTGGCATTTCTAAAACAGTACAAGCTAGGATTATAGAAATTAATAAGCTGGAGAAATTTGTGCCATGTTTGGCTCACTTCTCGTATCTTGTTGGTGTGTATTGCTTCTTCGTGCCCGGAAGCAGTTAATCTGTTTGGAATTACTCAGAAAAAAAATTTTTTTTTTGTTTTGTTTTGTTGAATGCACTATTCGATGGTATGTAATGAAAAAATGTACAAGATACAACTTAAAAGGAAGCAGCCAGACGAGATGATCAGCAAAATATGTGGTTGTGAAAGTCCTTCTAAATAATTTACCGGAAATATAAAGTATTTAAAAGAAATTAAAGATATTTCTCTTAATGCGGAATCAAAGCCCGAGGTACGACATCTGGTACATGCTGTGAAAAATTTTGAATTTACTATCAACCTGAAAATTTGAGCTACTATTTTTCGAGAATTCAATCGAGTAAATATAGAAATTCATAAGGAATTCCTCTTCCATGTTCTGCGTAGTTAACAAAAGAACTGACCAAAACTGAGGAATTGTAAAGAATGAGAGAAAAATTGTATGGAATATTGAGAGAGTAAAAGAGTCTAAAACAGTAGCTAAAAAAATTGCGCTTGAGTCTATTCTAACAAAGAAAGAATTCCAAAGCACAAAAAGCAATTTGATGAACTGTTTAAGGAGAATCATGAACACTTCAACCTGTTTAGATAGAAGTTTCAGAAAATTAAAACATATCTACAATCATCGGTGAGCCAGGATCGTAGATATATCTATTAAATAATATCTACGATCAAGTCTCGCAATGCTGGCAACTGAAAATCAAACCGCAGATCAAGTTATGACGATTCCATGCACTTATTTGTAGAAAAAAAGGTTTACAGAGTAAAATTTTAATTTTCGTTACTAATTCTATGATATTTAATAGCGTTAAGGCAGGTAAGAACTTAAAATTACTTATGAAAGAGGAAGTATGAAAACAGGACAGGAAGCACAAATACTCTTAGTAATAGCCCATATTCTGTATAATCTTTTCAGAATATTCTCTTTCGGCAATAGCCCATATTTTGTATGCAATGATCCCCATTAGTGGCTGAGCAATAAAAACCACTGAGCACTAGTAGTTCGGTCCAAGGGTCAAATATATGTGATTGTGCTGGTTGTATGAGCATTTCCGTAATTTTCTCTATGCGTAACGAGCTAGTTTTCCTTACAATTTTTTTTCTATGGGGAATCCTCCTTCCTCCTTTTCCATGCAATGCCTAATGACAAAACACATAGTAAATAATCAGACAAATGTCCTCAGCAGTGGCCAAGTGATTAAGACCGCTGAATACTGGTAGTTAGTTCGACCTTGCCTGGGTTGAAATCCAGGAGAACGGGCTGGCAGCATGGTTTGTTTTTGTGGATTTGCTCATGTGTAACGTGAATACGAGCCAGTTTCCTTTATAAAAGCAACTCTGCTCTAATCAGATAGCCCTCCTGTCTTTGCCATATTCATATAATCTAACCTAACCTAATTTGGCCAGCATGCAATAATAATATGGAATAGTGAGAAGCTTCGAAGATGCTCGTTCCCCCTAGAGAAAAACAAATGGTGGCGAGGACTGGAGAGTTAGAAGCACTCAGGATTACAGTTAGGATTAGGATTGAATCCGAAAGTAAGCTCACCAGAAAGGCGATTCTCCTAGCAGGGGACGATTTTCTAATTATGTAACTTTGGTACCTATTTTCCCTTTATAACAAAACAAAACAAAAGCCACATAAAGAATTTAGTATAAAATGGAGCTTAGGTTTTTACCCCAAACCCTATCTATTTCTGTATTTATTAAACAAACTAAAACTTATTAGAGAAACTTAACACTTTACCGACCGCTAGCGGTTCAACAGCATAGGCACGTCTGACTGGCCGCTCGCTCAGTCACAGATTCTTCATGTTCTAAATAACTGTCAGGACAATCTGATAAATCATCTAAATAAAACTCTCCAGTACCATTTTTTTCGCTCATCGTGAACGGTAAATTTTTTTTAAAAACAGTGTGAAAATGTGGGAGTTTACGAAGCAATGCACTTAATGCAAGTGAGCAATGTACCTCAATACTAATAATAAAATGCAGGTGATATAGCAAATGGCAATTGTTTATCGCCATGGCTACCGATTGATAGGATATTTTTAGATAGCTTCGAAAAAAAGTGATTAATAGGTTATCGGTCAGCAGGCATTGCCTAAAAAAAGCCGATTAATATGCGATCGGCCGGTAGACGTTGGTGATGAAAAGCCGATTAATAGGCTATCAGTTGGTAGGCGTTTGCGATAAAAAGCCGATTAATAAGCTACCAGTTGGTAATGTGTTAAAGGATGGTGGGGGAGAACGGCAGTTTTAGCTTTTGTCCTACATCAGAAAAAATCAAAGATCCAGTGCTGATTGGGGGTATACCTATGATCGAAGATATCTCAGGAGGTGTGATACTTATTAAAAAATGAAAACAGCCAAAAATTTGCATTTGAGCTCTATCGTTTTAAAAAATTGATTCTACTCATAACAGAACCGAAGTTAACGTTCCTAATGTTAAACAAAAATCTAACTTTTGATCGAAGATATCTCGGGATCTATAATAGTTAGAAACAAATGAGAATGTCCAAAATGTTGCATTTGAAGAGCTCTTTCATTTGCAGTGACATCCCATTAACCAAAAAGTACCTAGTTTATATACATATAAAATCTGATGAAACATAATTATAATAATGAAGAAATTAATTATTACAAATGTTTAACTTATGTGAAATATGAACGTAGTACATTTTGTTATAAATAGTAATTCAGCAAATAGTGAAATAAAAGTACAACTAAAAAGTTTATGTAGTATATATAAATTTCAGTCAGTTTGCTTCAATTTATTAATTGCATTGCTTTTAAAATAATTTCAGGAGATTTTGCCGTGCTTCTTAGTGCTGGAATGACAATGAGGCAAGCATTGCTTTACAATTTTCTGTCTGCAATTACATGCTACTTAGGACTTGTCATTGGAATATTATTAGGAGACTTAGCAGAAGGTGCACCATATATATTTGCCTTGGCTGCTGGAATGTTCCTGTATATAGCACTTGTTGATATGGTAAGTCAAGGTTTCATGCAAGCTATAGTATAAACCTTTACCTAGATAAGAGACTAAGCACTAAATTCTAATAGTATTCCATTTTGAAATATTGTTCATGTAAATCATTTAGGACAAGTGCATAATTTTCATGTTCATACTGTAGTGTCATTAGGTTTTTTTAAAGCAGGAGATGTAAAAAAGGTGCTATGCACCTTTGAGGTGCTATTACACCTCAAAGGCATGTAGTAAAGAGAGAGAAAATACTATCTTACATTTTCCCCACCTGAAGGCAGCTAGGGTAAAGGAGACCTAAACAATCAAATCCTAGTGGTGAAGAATTTTCATTCGACTGTTTTTTGGTTCGGGCACCACTGATAAAGTCATTAGATTTTTTGAAGAAGAGGCAAAGAATATGCTGTGCCTTCACCAAGACTCGAACTTACCTTCCTATTGCTAGCCTATTCCTATTGCTTTCTGATTATTCTCTGAAGATGCATGATTAAAAGAGAGAGGAATTATACAGGAGCAAGATGATAATACATTTATTCCATCAACAAATTTTAACTTATTTTACTATCTATGGATTTCATAAACATAGCTCATAATCTAAAATTTCATCTTTTATATAATTTGTTATTCAGTGAGGAGGGTGCAAATAATCTGAAAATACCCCAATTGTTTGATATAATTAGTTTGTATTATGTTTTTTGTCTTTATCTAAATCAAAATGCTCTATGATTGAACTACATTTCTGTAATTTTAGATGGGAGAACTGAGTGAAGCCCTAGAAGAAGCTCGAGGGAAAGGACTTAAACAAGAGTTAAAAGTATTTTTCATTCAAAATATTGGTATAGCTCTTGGAGTGGCAATACTTTTTGTAATGGCTCGGTATGCTGAGCATTTCAATTTTGAAAATTTAAGTGCATTTATGTCTAGTTCAGAGGAAGCATTAGATGATCGTGTGAAGCAATTATATACAGGACTGCAAGAAGCCAAGAGTTTACATAGTCCACTAACTCCATAGTCAATTCTTTTAATTTTTTTTTGTTGTATATATTTCAAATCATTAGCTATCACAGAAGTAGTATGTGATTAATGGCTATTAGTGAGAATTCTTTTATGAAATTCAGCATGACTTTTTTTTAAAATTCAGATTCTATTCTGGAGAAAGATTTTCATTAGCATTGCTGCAGTGATTTGCAAATAGGAAATATGTACATAAATTACTTACTGAAAGAGCAAAGTACTAAGTGAATTATGTGCTGTATACTGATTGAATACAAAATTGCAAAATGACAGCTTTGGTTTTACACAGGAAATAATTATCTATAATATTTTTTAAATTGATGATTGCACTTTAATGTTTTATTTTTCAACTGAGGCATGATTTTTTTGAACAAACATCAGTTGGTGAAGAATATCTTTTCTAATGAATGTATTTATTCTGTCTATTGTGTGTGTGTATATATATATATAGAGAGAGAGAGAGAGAGAAGCAGGATGCCCACTAAAGTTCGGTACCACCCATTTAACTGCTGAACGGCTGCAGTTATAGTCATAAAAGTATAGTGTGTTACTAGATAAGGTAGCTTACAAAGCCACCTGGTGGAAAACAGCGGAGTTAGTGTCCTTATGTCGAAAACGATACAAGACAGAAAGAAAAAGTGAATTACTAAAGTTGTAGAGCTTCGTCGATTTAGTACAAAAAGACACCTTGTGGACATGAATGTTAAGAACAGAGCATTTTAAATGTGCATTTGTTTGTTCCGGATATCCTACACTGTGACATGGTGAAAGGATCTTAGAAAGAAAAAAACAACTAGTTATCACAAGCTACCTTAATTTTCGATTTTCAAACTTCTCCGTGTCAGTTGAAATGTACATCTGGACCCTTATTAGAACTTCATGTAGTATGTATTGTAGCATAGCGGTTGGCACATTTGCAAAAGCATCTGTAATATGTCATTGAAGGTCTTGCAATGTTTGTCGAGGGGACGCATGCACCTACTGATGAACTATCCTGACAGGAAAATGCCCATTGGAGTCTGGTCAGGTGAATGTGGAGGCCACTCTTCGAAACCACCATACCCAATTATTCGTTCTCCAAATTCCTCCATCAGGTACTGCTTTACTTGTGACGTCTTATGCACAGGCATGCCTTCATGTTGGAACCATAACCATCCATTCCGGAGTTGAAGCAATGGCAGATTCTCAACAAAATCGAGCATTATGTCTTGCAGAAGTCCTGAATATCATGAGGCCATTAATATACCCTGATAAAATACTGGGCCCATTAGCCTGTTATTATAAATTCCACACCAAACACTAATCGAAAACCGTATTTGATGTTGAACTTTGGCAGAACATTATGGATTTTCCAGTAACCAGTAATGGGTGTTCTGCCTATTGAACATTTAATTTTGCTAAAAGCATGCCTCATCAGTCCACACATTTAGAATTTTCCAAATGCAACATTTGAGAGGCCACAGTTTTCACTTATCTCTCTTGTGTTGGTGTTTGGATATGTGACAGCATATTGATAATACATCTTCCAATTGTACTTTTTGCCCTGCCTTAGCTGCTGTGCCGGATCGAAGTCAGCTAGTCATGCAGCCTGTCTTCCTGAAATGTTTCACAACCTGTAGGATGGTTTTGTATGAAGGTTGCGGGCCTGCAGGAGAACATTTCTGATACAACCGTGCTGCCGATCGTGCCTTGTGCCCACATTCACCGTAAAGTAGAAGCATCTCACAATAATCATTATTTGAAAATCTCTCCATGACCATGAGCTTCAACATGTAACTCCGAGGAGATATCACTTTTATAGCTGTTTCAGGCGAACAGGTGTGATGGTTTGTACACTTTTTGCACTTTCAAGTTGCGTTTAGTTGATCCGTTTTGTGACACAATTGTGCACAATCTGCATATTGTCTACTCTGTTTTTAAAAACAATCAGTATAAAGATACACCCCACGAGGTTTGTGTTCAAGTTTCATGATGTCACAGTTTCAGAAATGGTGAAGAAACAAATGTGCGCTTCCAGCATTCTGTTTTTAGCATTCATATCCACAAAGTGTCTTTTTGTACTAAATCGACGACGCTCTACACAACTGTGTAATTCACTTTTTCTTCCTCTCTCGTATCGTTTTCGAGATAAGCATGCTAACTCCACCAGGTGGCACTGTAAGCTATCTCATCAACTAACACATAGCCACTTTACTGTACCTAGACACTACTTTTATGACTATAGCTGCAGCCGTTTGGCAGTTAAATGGGTTGTAGTGGACTTTAGTGGGTACCCTGTATATATATATCTATCTTATTCAATACCACTAATACTACCACATATGGTTAATGAACACTTGTAATATGACTGTTGGGATAGAGGGCATTTTAAATTTAATTTTTAATTATTTAAGCCTATAATAAAGGCAAATATTTTTCGTTACAAACATTTGATGTTTTCAAATTATGTTCTTTTGGCCCCAAATGCATTCTACTTCGCTTCTATGTAAAGTCAACTTTCACCCTTTCAATGATTTGAGACTCTGAAATCTTTAAAGATGGTTTAAGATGTTTTGAAGTTTTTATTAATTATTTTTTTTAATGACATGTAAGCCAAAGTCTCAATGATGCATTATTTTATAACATAATAGTTAGCTTCCCTGCTGTTGGCATTATTATTTTGATTCAGCTTGTTAAAATATTTATTATATATATATATAAAATATCAGTTCCCTCTACTGTTTGGCAGTGTTATTTTGAACAGGATGTCAATATATGATTTTATGTTCCGTATCTTTAATTTCTGGAGACTAATTTTTAAATCATAACTGTGCTTAGCTTAAAGCTATTTAAAGTGTTGAACTGTAATATAAATATAAAAATCAGATTACCCTTTTTTTATAATTTTTAAATATTTTCTGAAAATTTTAAAGCAGATTCTTTTTTGAGATCATAATCTTAAATTTTAATACTTCCATTTTTCTCAGTTTGTTTACATGGAAATATTAAAAAAAAAAAAAAAAAAAAAAAAAAAAAAAAGAGAGAAAGAAAGAAAATTAAAATTTCAAAATTAAATATGCTTATTGTGTTCTCAGTGCAGGGAATAAATTTGGACCAATATTGTCTTCCATGTACAAGCAGCAAACAATCATATATTTAAGAAATACACCTTAATGATGCATACAATATCAAAACTTATTTAACAATATTTTGATTACAGTATTCTTGTACTTATTCAGAACTGCCTATAGTAACATACACAGTACAATAAGTATACTGTACAGTTCATTCCAGATGAATACATAATAGTTGCTTGAGATATGATGCAAATCTAATCTTCTAACCTCTAATCTTTCAGTTCCAAAATCTTAGCTCTTGAAATTTATCTAGTCCGGGGGGGGGGTGTTATATTAGCCCCTTTTTTAAAACTTCTACCATGTAAAGAGATTTTTTTTATGTATAGCATGTTATTATTTTATGCCTAAATTATTAAATAATTTATTGCGTTATTTAATCAAATTTAAATAAATTTGTGTAAAATCTGAGTGTCAGTTATATTTGTGTTTTAGTGTTAAATCTTAATATTAAAATTAATGCAATTTTTATGTGAATATCAATATTTTATCCACTGTGAAATATACAAAATGACTATTAGTCATATAGTAACTTATGCTTATTTCGCAAATGCAATGCATTTATAGATAAATGCTGTAAAATTTAATATTTATTATAATATTTATACTAATTTATTGTGTAATTAGAATTTTAATATTTGCCATCTTTTGTATCAGATACTGCAAAGAGCATATTGACTGATATCATATTTCTAGCATCATTCACCTAATATATTTCATTATATATTATCATAGTTCTCAACTCTTCTGGTTTTTTATTGCATCAAATGGTAGACCACAAAATCTTCTGGTTTTCATTTTTAGCTTTTAGCAAGGAAACTGTTTTTCAGCAATAAATGAAATTTATGAATTAATGATTTTGAATTTTTTAATTTGGGGTGAGGGAGAGTTTTGGCATAGTCTGAAATTCGGTTCCATGCCAGAGAAGCATACTTGCTGTTAAGTTATACATAAACTTAAAAGGGTGCTTTCCTTGAGCTTAACACAGCCAATGACCAGGATATTATATCAACATATGACATGGGAGGTAAAAACATGACATGAAGATGGAAGATGAATAGCAGGTGATTAATTCGATTGGTATGTCGGCAGGTAGTAAAAATTAGAAGTAAAAATTCTATACGCTACTTCATAAAAATGCTGCCCAGGAGATTCTGCTAAATTCTTGTGCCTGGTCTAGTCTTCGATATCTATTTTCTATGTCAGGATTCCATGCATCTGATCACCACCCATGATGGAGAGAATCGCGGTTACTAGCATTTTGATGACCAGGACAACACACAACCCGGATGAGCACAATGGGAGGACATATAGTCTTCACACACGCATTTCTTGGCTTCTACTATGGGACTACATACCACTAAACTTCTCATCTCTCCAGAACTGCATAGCCACAGGTTACGTAGGACGGGGATGCTTGGTGTCTAACATAGGTAAACAGGCGTATGTCTCGCACCCTTCCCTATCTAGTGGCAACAACTCCCTGGAGCCCCAAGAGGCTGTGTTGGGAGTTTATTGAGACATGAAAAAAGTTGTACATGGCTAAACAAGGGTGCTCGTGTTTTGTTTTACAGATTTGGAGAGACTTTGACTGAATAGAAATGGCAAGGAAACAAAAATGTTACAAAATTTAAAATAATAATAATAATAAATAAATTAAAAAAAAATAAAGGCAAGAGCAAGAATTAAAACATACGAAGAAATATAATTAAGGCATGTGTACTGCACAGCCACAAGGAAGAATACAAATTTCTCATCAGAATATGTTTATGCAAATTGATTGTATACTTTCAACTTTATATTTTACATTTTAAAAGCAAGCATTTAATAATATTTTTAAACTCTGTTCATGATTTGAGCCTCTCCTTTTATGTAGAGATTAATTGAGCATCATTGTAAAACTAATAAGTTTTACATTTTACAAGAATATTCTTGCAATATAGCTAAAAAAATTTTTTTTTACAAAAATTAAATTTATAGTTGAGAATAGAAATAATCCACAATTTAGACTTCATTTATTAAATTACAGACAAATTTAGTTTAGTTATGATTAATTTATGAGTGATTAAAATAGTTTAAAAATTAAATCTTTAGCTAAAGAAAATTAACATTTTACAGCAGATAACTGTTAAGAAAAGCATCAAAAACTATGTATTGGTTTGGATTTTCAATGAATTTGAATGGTTTATCAAATTTCTGTTAGAAGCATTGACACGTAACTTTTTATTGATGATCTATAATAGTAGATACGTTAATCTTAAATTTATTTTTTATAAAGTAATGAAACAGCACTTGTAAGAAAAGTAGTGGCATTGCTAATAATCTGATCTCTTTCTTATTCAGGAAGAACTTATCTATATAGTGAGTAAGGTTTAATTCTTGCTGATTTGGAAGAGTTTTATGTTACTCTCAAACTGAAAAATTGTGAATAAAAATTTATCATGTATTGATACACAAATTCAAAATACTACCATATACGACAATTTTTACGAAAATGTGATGCAAATTATTGAAATAATTTTATTTTTTATAAACTGCTCATAGCAAAATTCTATGATTTTATAGTTTAAATGTTACTGAACACACAAAATAAATAAATAAATAATGAATTTTAATTAATGCATTCACATCAGAATTATAAATTAGAATGTTTTCATGAATTTGCTATAAATTTTTCTGAAGTACTACCTTTTCAATTGTGATCTCCCAATGTGTGTAATCTTTGTAACTGAATTTCAGTGTAGTTAATTTATATCATCATTTGCATATTCTTCTTGCTTATCTTGATGTAAATCTCATAATAAATATGCATTACTGCTTAAATATCTAGCAATATTCACTGTCTTATGTATATATTAATAGATTAATTAATTATATTGACTATAAAATATTTAATATTTGTTTTCTTTTCTTAATTTATGTAAGATTTCATGCTTAAAGTTTAATAAAAATAAATCTGTGTGAAATGTTATATATATATAATAAATGATTATTTAAATATATTTGTTTCATTTCTAGTCAATGAAAAACAACGTTTCCTGAACATAGCAGTGATATAATGGATATGAAATAACAAAATATGTAAATAAATACATTGTATTTGAAGAGCAAATGATGTACAATTTAATTTTTCTTTTAGTTTTCTAGAGGTTAACTTTTTTTTTAAACTGTGCAGTATGTAACTACAGTCAAAAGTCTTTACTCCGGACTCGTCGGGACTTCGGCGATTCCGGATTATAGATCATCAGTTTAAATCTGGTAAGATTGCATGCAGAAATTATAAAATTAAAAATATGAAATCGTAATTTATGAAATAAAGAGCAATTATGATCTAAAGGGTATCAAAATTTACAAAAAAAAAAAAAAAAAAAAAAAAAAAAGCTTAATATTTATTTGTTTTCTTTATTAAATCTTTCAATGCAAGTTGTTTAAGTTGCTTTATGTGATAAAACTTTCTCTTTAATTCTATAAACAGACATAATTTCTTGTTCAGTTACAAAGTTCCGCTGTTCAAGTCTTATAATTGTTGTGTCAAGAACACCGACTAATTTGTCAATCGAAATTTTTTTGTTTTCAATAACCTCTGTGACATTTTTCTTCACTATCGGAAGTGAATTATAATGACGAGGAATTTGATTTAAATCATATCAAAGACGGAGTACATCGAGATGAAATATTACATTTAGTAAGGAATTATAAGCCAAATAAAATAAAAACATCTGCCCTGAAGATAAGGATAGTGCTGACAGATCAACTTCCAATTCATTGCGCGCCGCAACGTCCTCCCCCGCAGAGCAGCGTGAAATTGATAAACAGATTTCGGAATGGTTCCAGAAACAAAGGATATGCCTTTATCCATTTTTTGCAGCAATTCCACTTTTTGTTTGACGTACATCGAAACATACTTTCGCTTTGTAGATCCTTTGGGAGCTCCAGCATTGGAAATTCTATTTGACATAATCGAAAGTTGAAGCTTACTTTTTTTAAATTGCTCTAACAGCTTGCAAAAAATAATAAGCCGAATCCAATTCGAAGATTAAGGAACAACGCAATCTGCAACATTAACTGAAATAGATAATTTTAGCTTAGCTTATACCGTCCGTTATACATTAAACGCGCATGTGTAAACGTATTATGCGCATGTGCACACACATATGCATAAAAATATTACACGCATGCATCAACGCATAATGCGTTGACGCATGCGCAGAAAGTTTGTAGCTTTGAGGTCCAGATTATAGATCATTCGGGATTAATGGTGTGCGGATTAACGACTTTTGATTGTATTAAAAAACTAGTAAAAATAAATTTGTTTGCATGAATTTGGCAAACACAAATTAATTTCCTGTATAGAGATAATTAATGAAGCAACACTTAAAAATTGACAAAAACATGATAGTATTAGAAGATTGTGGCTTTTTCTTTAGAAAATAAAAATACTTTTCTTTCATTAAAAAAAGGATAATATAGAAATTTTAAATGGTAAATCAGAAACAATGTATGCATCTTGAAACCACTATATCAAACTCGTTTATCAGTTGAAAGCCAGTCAGTTACAAATTGTAAGAAGTCTACCAAAAATATATATGCACATACAAAATGTATACACAAATAATATCTTGTATGTAGTTTTAGAAGGTAGCTGATGTAATGATTAATACACTTTCCTTTCGATAGAATATTTATATGATTGTAAATTGTATATGATGTAATCAAATGTATACAAACACATATATATATTTATATAATAAATGAATCAAAATGGCTGGCACACTCTTACTGTTTAAGAAGTATAAAATCATTTTAAAGTGGTATTTAGGGTTTGAAAGTATTACCGAAGTGCAGTGTAAATGGAGACGTGAGTTTGTAATAAAACTTCCAGCAACGGAGACAGTTGCACCTGTGAATCTTGCATCATCAGGTATATCCTTGGAAAAGTTTGCATGTTCACCATAGAAAACTGCTGCATGATAGCACCTGAAATAGATTAGCAGTACAAGTATAGATTGCCTGGATGAGAATCTGCAAGGACACCAGATAAGAAAGAGCTGCATTTGAATTTTCTCATTGTTCATTTAATACCCACAAACGTTTATTTATAGGCTACAATAAAATATGCAATGTACTGAAAAAAAGTTAGCTATACCGGTGGACCTTACTTGGGAATTTTAAAAGGCGTATGCAGCAAATCCCAAGGCCTTTGGTACACCATTGTAATAACTGTTTGGCTGCTAGTAGCACCTTATATAATGGAACCATTATAAGCGAGTATGTATTTTGTAGGAAGACTGTGTATTTTTTAAAATGTAAATTTCATAATTGCTTGAGTTATAGGATGAGATGATAGGGTACTATTTAAAAAAAAATTTACAAAATGTAAAATTCTAAACCATTACTCAATTCTGCTGTTGCTCATCTCTTTCCTGTTCAAGTAAATGTTCTACAGAAATGTTTATGTAGATATACGCTAACTGGGAAATTTTAATAATGAATGTTGATTTTTATATGAATATATTATAGTTTAAGAACGTAATGCTGAACACAGCAGCACACTCCATTCATAACACATAATGCATTAAAAAATTGTTAGACACAGCAATACAACACATTCATGATTACATGAAAAAATCTAGTATGCTGTATTTAATTAAATACATTATTAGCATTTAAAAATGCATAAATATTAAATTACTTTCTAAAATTTTATATAAAACAATATTTAATTTGTAAAAAAGAAGTTACACTAGTATTTGCTTCTTTGTAATTAAAAAGTAAGAAAATAAAAATCTACACAGCTTGAGTCTTTGATTCGGATATAATATAAATTTTTTATGAGTCAAGAAGATTTCAGAAAATAAATTCAAAGCATATGCAAACAGTTTGTTCTTGACATTTTTGTAGAGAAATTTGTTTTATAGGTAATAAATGCATTATGATTTTATATAAAAAGATTTTAAGGATTGAAAAATGTATAAAAATTATTGCTTACATTTTTCAAATATCTGTTTTATGCTAGTTTATTTGAAAATTTTAAAATATTCAAATTTGAATTCCCATTCCTTTCAAATTACACAGAATCAGTTTTCCCTGGCTGGTTACACAGTTTTTTGGCTCTGAAATTTTCATTATAATTAATGCAATGTGTTTTCATTTTTTGCTATAATTGGCAGAAAAATTATATATATAATTACATGAAACTCGCCATTCTGATATGACAAAAATGTACTGTTTTTAGTTCTGGTCATAATAAAAATTAAAAACTGCTCGCTATTTTAATCTTGCTCAATCAAAACAATGCAGTTTAAAATTAATTCAGAGTTGTTTAATTCAGTCTCTTTGCTTCAACGCAATTTTCTTTCTTCATAACTAATGGGCAGAGGAAAATGTTTTCCATGATGGAAGTTTCCCTTGGGAATGACATTGTTTGCTACATTCATTCTTCCAATTTTTATTTAACAGTTTCTTAGTCATATTCAATACACATTTTGCTTCTCACATGTGAATAATATTGAGGATTTCCATTGTTTATTGTATTAGTACTAAATTTCTCATTTATATCTCTTAAGGTCCAGATGCTTATAATGTTCTTGCTTAAAATTGATCAAGCTGAAAGTTTTCTTGAGAGATGGCATGAGAAAAAAAGGAGAATAGGATTCTCCTAGTTTTGAAGAAGGCCATTCCTTAATCAGAACTGGGAGGGAACTTTGGCAGATAACTTTCTAGTGCTCTGCCTAAATTAAATAATCCAGTCTGATTTATTAGACTGGATTATTTAAACATAAAAATTATTATTTAAACATAAAATTGTTTAATATTTGCTAATACAAGATATGAATTAGATCAATATTTTAGGAAAGGTATTAGACAATGTCATTACTTGCAGAAAAGAATTTAATTTTCAAAGACAAATGCATGGCAAAATGTGAGACAGCACTTATCACTCATCATGGCCTCAGGCATCTTACAGATGGTAATGCGAGTTTGGTAAACTCTGTCTGAATTTTGATAAGGAACACCACACAGTGCTACAGGGCCAGCACCAGAACTTATGCAACCGGTGCAGCTGCACCAAATGGAAAAATTTGGGATGGAAAATTTTTAGAATTTAGAAAAGCATTCAGCAACAAAATTTTGGGAAAGGCAATGTTTTTAGAATTTAAGGTAGATGCTGGACGACACAATCTAGAGGCAGCAAAATTTTTTTAATTTAGAGAGGCAATGAGCTCAAAATTTAGAATTCACGGAGATTGCATTGAGCAGCAAAATGCCTAGAGCCAGTCCTGGTACAGATCTACTGGTCTCCAATATTTCTCAAAAGACTTTTGGCTCAATGTTATTTTAAATGACCCTATGTCGTAAAGATACTATACGTTTGCAAGCATCCAAGTTTCTTCAATATTTTGAACTTGGGCTCAATGCTATGTCAGTCAGATCCACTAAACACCATGCACATGGGGGACAGGCTTACAGTGATAGTGGTTGACCAGCAAAAAGGTTTGTAATTGGAAGATACAAGGCTTTCAGCATAAAAGAAACAGGATGATCATCATCTATTGATATCTTATTGCTATTTGCATCCCAAGTGCATGCAACTAAAATTTATATGGCTTTTGGCTCAGAATCGATGGGCAAGATTTGTGTTACCAGTAAATGCAAATAAAATTCTAAGAATTTCAAAGAAAATCATAATAATATTGGTGCAAAGTGTAAGCTGAATTATATCAGCAACATTTTATTCAATATATTATATTTTATGAAAAGTATTTGCAAACATATAAGTTTATCTAATGTAAGACTTGCATAGTTATAAGAATTCAACTGTATCGTAAGAATAATATGTTTATGTGCACACTAACAGAAATTAAACTAAATGAAAAGTTAGTTGTTTGTAGGAGGTAAGTTAGGCTCTCCAACCAACACTCAAGTTTAAATCATGCTCTTGTTAGCCTATTAGACGGAGTTTTGAAAAAAGGGTTTCTTTGAGGTTTAGTAAGTCAAGTGCTGCTAACATGTAGTTTGTCGTTTTGCTGGTAGTGTTTTCAAACACACGTACAAATGACACTGTCTCGATATTACACTCCAGTTCTTTTGGAGAGTAATGAGGGCAGAGATTTAATTGTGAAATATGAAATGTTTTGAAGTACTACATATTATGTTTGTAGAATATTTTTCCTTAAAAATTTTCTGGAAGGATATGAGCTGCTGAAAAATTGTAACCTGTGATGAAGAATCGAGATCTTTTGTATAATTTTTTTTTTTACACTCAAAATGTCATGCTATTGTAAGAGGTTGGCTATGAAAATTTGAGATAGTTAGAATTTAAGTTCTTTGATGAGATCATCAAGGACCTCTTTTTCATGTATTTAAATTCTGGCAGGGAAAGATATGGAGATTCATCTAATTTTATTAACAGTTAATTTTTAGTTAAAGCAGGTCTCCTTTCAGTCTCGTTTTCACCCATGCTTTCCTGCCAGAATACTAATAAGCTAGTGTGCATGTATTCAAATGAGGTAGTTCAGTACTATTTAAGGGAAGGTGATTTTAAAGAGTGCTATGCATGCTTGAAGGCCATGTCGCTATTTTGAATTACTAGTGATTTGATTCTGTGGTGCTAAGTGCTTCTAGCCATTAGACTTGTTTCCGGCAACTTCTACGAGTCGGAGCCTTCCAGTGTGATAAATTATCCTGCGAGCTGTTACGCTAAATTTATTACATTCTATTTTAAGTTTATCGTTATCTGCTTAAGCCAAAAGTGTTGAATTTGTGTAAGCCAAGTGGGGCTATCTGTGCAACTATATTGATCAAATAAAGGATTCTTTACACCCTTCTTCTGACTTTTCTGTTATAACTAAAGACCTGGGGATAATTCTTCATACAGTCTATTACAGCTCGTTAGTTTAAACTTTCAAAAAGAAGGAGACTCCACAATATATTTAAAAATAGCAATGAGTATTTTCCATGTATGTTAATAGGTAACAGTACATCCTAGTTCATGATATTCATTTCATTAGTCACTAAATACCAGTTGTATATGCATAGTTTAATTTAGAAATGGCAATGGAGCTTGATGACTACAAGAAAGGAACAGGGTGCTGCTATCCATTTTTGGAAGGAGGCCTAAAGGACTTTTTGTGAATGATATTTACAAAGGAATGTTTCCTCTTTATAGGAAAAAGTGCTTGTCATATAAAGATATGCATTAGTGAGTTGAGAAATCTTTTCAAGGCCACTCTAAAGTTTGTGAGGAAAACTGAAATGGGCATCTTGCCAGATTGTGACAGACTCAGCAGTGCAGAGGATGGAGGAATTGATTCAACAAATATACTGTACACGATAATAATAAAAGTAGCAGCACCTGTTGGTCCACAAGAAAAATCTTGGAGGCAAATACTTTGAAGTTGATGATGATGTACAAGATGAAATTCTAATGTGGCCGAGACAGCAACCCAAAGAATTTTATGTGGCACTGATAAAGCAATGGAACAAATGTATAAATTATAAAGATTATGTTGAAAAATAAAAATAGTTTTCAGATAAGTATCTCATTAAGTTATTTTGCAATTGCTTTTTGTGACTTATTCTACTTATTCTATTGTATAACTCAAACTTTCATTGGGTAAAAGAAAACATACATGAAATTAACCAGATTTAAACTAATGAAATAATTAATGATTTAAAGCTAGGTGGAGGCATTGATATTCACATTAATGATGTGTGATTTAAAAAAAAATTATTATTATTTTGTACGGGAAGGGGTTCAACACTGGTAAACAGACAGTGTAAAGTTATTTTTATGCCTCAATGTTAATATCTCTGCAGAAATCCATACTCCATCACATACATTTTTGTTCTATCCAGGTAATTATATGCGAGTTTAGATTACCAAAAAAATTATGATTCTACATTTCAGGTTCTATATAAAAACTATTATGCAGTCTTTCAATGTGAGTTTCTTTACTTAAAACAATTTAACAGATATAATCAGAAATTTTTAATCAGGAATAAAAATTACCTATTCACAAATTACTGCAATAATTAAAAATGCAGCATCCTTATTAGTTTACTTGTAATGTTTATGTTTCATTTACAAAGTGTTTTAATATTTCAATAAAATGGCCAGGTTCAAAAGAATAAGATGACTTTGTATGATATATATATGTACATTGGAAATAATGGCATTATGCAAATATGCATTCCACTTTTAAACTGCATCCTATAAAAGATACGAATATTTTTTCCCAAATTAAAAATCTATTGACCTAAAAGTTTACTTAAGAGTTTGGTAATATGATAAGAATGGTTATGATATATTTATATATTATGCCTCCTAGTTTGTATTAATCAAAACTAGGATTTTAGTTGATCAAAGCTGAATATGACAGGTTTAGGTCTTTTAACTTATGACATGCACATTTCTCGATTTCATCTATGAATATTCACTATGTTATGATATAAGCAGACAAGAGAATAAGAAACAATATATTGTAAAAATATATAAACTCAACATCAAAAAGTCGTTTCCCTAACAGGGGTTAATTTCTAAAATTAGAAGTGTTTTCAGGAAAGACATGGAAAATAAATAAATAAATAAAATAAAAAATAATTAATAATTAAAATTAGATAAATAGAAAATTAATAAATTGATTTAAATTAATGACAAGTAATTAGATAATACATTAGAATAGCTATGCTCATCTCACTTGGGGTTCCTGCTGCCGTTACGATTTCATTTAACAAATATTAGGCATTGTAGCCATACTCCGGCTGAATTTTAAACCTCTTTCTCAATATTGGTAACAACAGAAAACAATGATTTTCTTTTTTGTAATAAATACAATTTTCATTTAAATATATAACAATACTTTTTGGCTACACAAATTTAAAAAAAAATCACCATGACAGGATTAAAAATCGATTTATTAAATTGTTCTGCATTAATATGATAAAAATATAATAATATCGTTTAAAATTATTAAATAATTGTGCATGCTGATGAACAATTAGTTTTTTTTAAGCTTAGCATTTAATGGACATCAGAACATTACATAGGACTAGAAAGAACAATTTTAAATAACCTCATTTAAAACAAAAAGGTACAAAAATATTTCACACAATATAAATAATTTTTGAAATCATGGGTCTCCAGTGCTGATTACTTTAATCAGAGAAGTAATGTCATTGTTCTTTATAGCAGCTCTGCATGAATTAATCACCTGAGTTTTGGGCCTTCCAACTGTAAAAATAAAGAGGTATTAGAGAAACAGACAGAAGTACTACTAAACTAGAAAGTTACTTGAAAGTTATGATATAACTAAACAGATAAAAAGATTTCCAACAGAATATCACTGCTCTAAATTTTAACCAAACTCTGCTCTACATTATATTTGTTATTAAATTAGACAATTTTATTAATTTGCTAATTTCAACAAAAACTATTATAAAATATAATTAGAAACATAATTACAGGAATAACAAAGTAGCTACTTTCTAATTAAAAAATATACTAAAACAAGAAGTGACCAAAACCAATTAGAGAGATGGCATGCAAAAAGATGAACAAAGGAAGTGGTATTAAAATTAAAGGTAGATCTGATTTTTGAATATGTCCACAAGGTCTGGCTTAGGGCCACAGAATTTAAAGCAACCTATTATCATCTCTAATTTGTAATCATTTTTTTAAATTAAATACAAAAAACAAGAAAAACACTGGAGACCACTGAAAGAATGTTATGCCAAGAGCTCCATACTATCTTAATTAGGCTTTGACTGACTTAAGAATGTTCTTAAAGCTTCATATATGATTTAGGCATTGAATAAATGAATAATATTTTAAAAGAAAGTTTTAGTAAACAGCACTTTTTTTTATTAAATATCAAATTAATATTTTACTTGAATATGATAGCATGCAAAACTTTTTTTTTTTTTTTTATTAAAAATTATTTGCTGCTTCTCTTGACTTTGTCTTGTGTCATTTATAACATTCCTTTCTACTTTTCATCCATCAGATTAAAATATTAAAAAACATTAAAATTTTTATGGAGAACAAGAAATAATACTTTGAAATAATCTAAATACTTTGAAATATTTATACATGGAAAACTTTTATCATAAAGAATGGGAAACTACTTATTGAAATTAAATTTAATTATTGCAGCTGTTTTCTTTGCTAAAAAAGGCCACTGCAAAAATGAAAGTTAAATACATTTTAAAACATGACAGAGGAAAACAAAAATTTTTAATTTTTATCTTATTTGTTTAAAAGTGTAACTTTAAAATTTATCTTTATTTTAATGACATCATAATGATGTTATTATACCTGTTTAAAAAATTATCCTGGAATTTGCGAATTTCTAAGTAAAATATTTTTGAAAAACTGATTGCAAAAATTGCCAAATTTACAGAATGCAAAGCAAAGGAATTTATATTTGAAAAAAAGTGAGAACTTGTTCGTAATGCAAGTGGAAAAATTTAAATGGCAACCTGAATGTCTAGCAAAAATATGCATTTTAAACACAGACTTGATAATATATTGGCAAAGTGGCAACATTTTTTGCACTATTAAAATAAATAAAATTGCAAAATTCATAATTTTTTTTTTTTATTTATGAGTAAGATCTTATAACTAGAATAGTTTTTGTAAAAATTAAGAAAGTTAGCATATATGTACTTCACAATAAACATTAAGAATGAGAAATAAACAATCTTAATATTCAAATTAATAATAAACAATGTTAAAGATTTCTTTTTATACCTCTGAGCCTTCCTGCTCGTTGAATAATTTGATTTACTTGCTTTAGGCATGTCATAAGCTCTTCATGGTTGTTTGACCTTATTTTATAATTATTTATAAGCTCAGTATTCAAAGCATGTAAATCTTGATGCCATCGTCGCATGGATGCACTTGAAATAAAAATATCGGAATTTTTAAAAAGATTAATAACTGAAAATTTGAGCTTTAAAAAATAAAAGTTTAGACATAACAATTTTATATCAATCATTAATGGATTAACAGAGGAATAATAAGATTTTAAAAACTGCATACTTGTTAAATAACTTTTTGATAAGAAACAATAATTTAATGCAACTGTTTCATTAAATTAATATATTACAATAAAAGATGTATCAACTATTGCCATTTTATAGAGTAAAGAAAATATTTGAAATGGAACTTGTAACATTTTTTAATAAACACAGAACTAATAATTATAAGTATAAACAAATTAAAATTAATTTTCACAAAAAATGAGAAAAAAAAGTATTAATTTAAAGTAACCATGGACTTAGTAATCATAACAAGTGAACAAATTGTAACTAGCTTCCACAAAAAAAATCAGAGAAATTTATTTTCACATCATTTTGTTATTAAATTTTTAATTATTATATTTTGTAAATCAAATATGAAAATCTAAGCTACATATATATAGGAAAATAATAATAATAATACAGATTGAGAATATATTTTACAGTTTTGCAATTTTTATAAAACACATTAATGTAAATTGGGAAATTAGTTCACAAAAAGAAATCACTTTAGAATACGGGAAAAAAAAAAAAAAAAAGTGTCATTTTGGCATCATTTTTGATAAATCTATTACTTACTAATCTCTCATAAGTCGAGCATCTTCAGCTCTGACAACAAGATTTCTTATCAAGCCTGAATTATCAGCCATATCTGCAGACAGCTGCTGTCTAACTGATTGATGTTCATTTACCTACAGTGAACAAAATTTCTTTAAAACATTTTCTGAGAACTTTAACAGGAACTTTCATTTAATGAAATATTAATAATAATTTTCAGGCATAATTTGAGTGATCCTGAAATTACACCAGTCCTTAAGGAACTGTTCCCAAGCAAAAAATTATTCATATAAATAGATGAAAATTTACATATGTTTGTACAATATGTACAATATATAAATGATTGGATCTTTTCCCTTGCTTTGGGAAAGGGCCAGAATTTACGGGTGAACTATTATAATTAAAATACATTAAAATGATTCATTGGCTAATTCTGGATACAAAAAAGCAATGATTTTTGTAGACGAGAGATTTCAATGTTCCTTTTCCCTGATGAAGTGGCACTGAAGTCAACTGAATTACTCTTCTGTTATGTTCTTTTAATTTAAAGTATTTTTTTTTTAATTGGAGTATTGATTGTCTAGAAGTTTTGGGTTTTATATTTATTAAATTCTTTGTTGCACTTAGAGTATTTGAAATTTATTAATTATGAATTTCAAAATTTTTGTCTTTGTGAAACAGTAGTTCTAAATTTCTTACTTTATGTCTTTAATGATAATTCTCTGCAGCTTAAAGTGTGAAAATACTATAATACTATAATATTGCATATATATATTTTTTAAATTGTTTTGTAATTATGAAATACATATATAATATATATCATTTCATAAGAATAAAGTTAAATTAAATTAAATAATTCTCTTGCACCATTGCTGCAAGGAATGAAATTAGAATTTAACCAACATTCTCTATTCATATAAAGCAAACTTAAAGTTAATTAAAATTTAAATTATGAAATTTTAATTACATACAAATAAATGATTAATTATTGAAGTAATTTACAATATTATTTAAATTCGGAGAGCATATGTAAATTAAGTGCAAGTATCTAAAACCATGAATAAATGTATAATATTCCAAAATATTAATCCTAAAAAATTAAAAAAAAAAAAAAATCTAAGACTAAATTAATTTGCATTAGTGAATAACTGTTGAGCAGGCAGGAGACAGATCTTATCAAGGGGAATTTGCCTCCAAACCTAACTCTTCAATTACTCAATTTGTGTTTCGTCATCCATATAGGCATGGGTATTTTGTTTAAATTTTTTAGTAATTCACTGCATTTGATTTACTTTTGGTTTTGAATATTACTATATCCATATACTATATATCACATATATATATATACTATATATAATCTATTTTGCATATAACAAGGAAATTTATAAGAGTTTTAATATGCGATAGGTTAATGAGTTATTAAGAACAGAAGTGGTAGTCATTGAATTCACAATACCATTACAGTATCAAAAAATCTGAAAGATCCCACAGTACTGAACTGAATATCCCACAATCTTAAAAATCAAATATATATATCTTTATACTTTTATTTACGGAGTTTTATTTTAAAAAAGTCTGAAACTTTTAATGCACTAACTTGTGGATGATATTCTCAACAAGTTCAAGATATTGCTGGTGGATTACTTAAATAAATTGTTATATTCACTGCCAAAATCTAGCAAAACAGATTTGAAAAACTACAAATGATCAAAGGGATCACAGCCATTCACTGTTTACCAAAACACAACTGAAAACTATAAATACTATGGCACCATTTCTGTCTGCTCTTGCATCACCAGTGGCAGATTTATGAAGCAGAATGCCCATTTTACCTGAAGTTTTGGGGATCCTTAATTTTAAGACACAGGATATTTTTCAAATTAATTATTAACTTGAATACCCTTTGAATGTAGAATCTCTAATGTTTGCGACCTGCAAGACGCTATAATTCCATCTCTGGCCATCATCATCCAGTGTCAACTGCATGAAGTAGGTTTTTAACATTCTATAACTGATCTTTCACTGGCTCCACTGCAAGATAATTTGCACTGCTGCACTGAATTAATCTTCTGGCAAGGAGACACCTTATTTTACAGGTGAACCATGCTTCTACTTAGATTTCAGTACTGAATGCACCCATGTGGAAGCAAAACGGCAATACAGATAATCTAACATACAACCTAGAGCACAATATAGAGTTAAATCTCAGTACTATGGCAGGTTTTGGTTATAAATAATTTTAATTTTAATTGTTATTATTTAAAGTTCAAGGAGAGAAAGGCAAATTCATTATTTAATATGATTTATGTTGCTACACCATCTCTATAAATGACAAAATCCTGTTTTTCAATATGACAATATATAGCCACATACTATTTCAGTTGTATAGGTCGATATACCTTCATGGCTTATGTGTTCCGTAACTTGTCACTTATTGAACATAAATGGGCTAAAAGATATTATTAGTTGGTACTTTATGTCAGTAGCCTCAAACTCTGGTGTGTTCATTTCAGTTGTGTACTTTTTGCAAATATGGTGTCACGAAGATTTTATTTGATGTTCGAGTTTACATAATTTTTTACCGTTGAAAACTTGAATAATGTACCAGAAAATCTATAAACTGACCTCTGGTACAGACCTGATTAACTGTTACTCATACTTGTCAAAAAATAAGTACACTCAATTCATGCTATCAGTAAATGCTTTTTCTGGTTATACAATTTTATGTGAACAGCTTTTATTCATAGTTGAAAATTAATAAGAAATGTGACTGAGCAATGAACATTGACAATCCACAATGAATATAATTTATAGCAACTTCTTTCATTTTCAGTGAACAGGCATTATGAAAATCAATTTTATATTTACATACAAAATTTAAAACTATTCACTTACAAACATACATATTTTAATTTACATGTTGAAGAAAAATTTTGTTATTTATTCTCAAGTTTTATTCTGCTTGTAAAGTTTTCTCTGGAAACTTACAAGGTTTTCAATATTTGTTTACTTTTAATCTAAATTAAAGTACATTATTTAATGATTAATTACAACTATTAGAATTATTTGAAATAAATGACTGTCTGAAATATAGTTGTCAGTCTGAAATATTATTCAGCTGAACATTCTGAAACAATCTGCTGAACAGTTTAACAGTCTGAAATATTATTTAACTATCAATATATTTGAATTACAAAGTATAACCAACAAAAATGTCTTAAACGCTCAAAACTTTAGATTTCAGATAGAAAATTAATATAAAATTTGAGTTTCTCCCTTGCAATATTATCATTATTGTTTATGCACATTTTGATACATATTTAGTAATCAAAATTTAAAATTTAGTTAAATTACTTTTTATTTTGTTCATAATTTTTTTTTTTATTTTACTAAAAAAAATTATGGCACATTGGCTGTTTGCAGATTGTGCATTTGTCCCTCATGCAATTTGAGACCACTGCCTTACACGTCTTTTGTTAATTCAGCTGTAATAATGAATGAATAATGGTTATGAAGCACATTTCCACATCACTCCAGATAACATTTGTAGCTTAGTTCCTTACCTCCCATCTTTTCTCTAATGCTGGTTACATATTAAACTATCTTTTAATCCATAAAATTTTCAAACTTTTGCTCTATTGCATGAACATATGCATCATCAGAATCAGAATAATCCATCATGCAAGCATGAGAATAAATCTGATTTACATTCAGCTTTTGCAGATGCATTAATTTCAATGGATGATGGTAATGTACATAATAAGAAACACATTTGTTACCTAAAAAGTATTATAATTACATTTTATAATTAAGAAATCTTTTATCAATGGAGATGCATACCTATGAGGGAAAATATCAAAAAAGAAAAAATGCCAGAAAATGACAGTATGGGATTTGGCTTACCAAACCACATGCATACACATAATATGTTAAGTTTAAAAATAACTTTTCCTAAAATACTTTTCCATTGTTATGTTTGAATAAAAGCTTGCTTTATATTCTAACCAAATACACCCATTTCAGAATATTTGGATATTATATCTACAAACTTTGGAATTTAAATAAAATATTTCTTCAAGTAGAAAAACTAAGGCTTTTACTTTTGTAAGCATATTACTCAAGTTTTCCATTTCTTGAGGAAAGTGAGCTGTGACAGAAAGATCTTCTAGGGTTAGAGACTGTGCCAATGACTGTATCAGTTCTCCTGCTAATTCCATGTCATCTGTCTTTATAAATACCTGCAGAAATTTTAAAACTATTATTTTTAAATTTCAGTAATGTTTAAATACTACTTACTGAAAGCATAAATTTTTCATTTTCTCTTGTAATTAAAAAAATTGTTCTATATTTAAAAAAAATGTATTCTTTTGTATATTTTATGTTCTTTTAAAAACTGGTAAACTTTTCACATCATTTTTAAAACGCATTTAAAAAAAACTGATAAACTCTTTTCATGCTTTTTAAAAACTGAAAATCTCTTTACATGTTTTACATCTGCAAATGTGTAAAGATATAAATTAACAACGAGCTTAAAAAATTTCATGTCATATACCTTTTATGTGTATATTGCATATAACAAGTATATGACATGAGAAGTTTATCAAAGAGGCATATCATAGCATATAAGATCTTACACATTATAATATGTATTTATAGTATAGTACAGTATTTATAGTATCTATGTATTTATAGTATTCATACTATGTACTGTGTATGTATGATAAGTAGTTATAACATTTATAGTACTTATCATATACATTGTGCTATTGTAGAGCCATATCATACCATATAAGGAGTACATCACAGCAGTCATATTTTACATTTTAGCATATTAATGTTACTAACATACAGTTAATCTCAGTATACTTCATACAATATGCTAACTTACCAATTTTTTATTAATATGGAATTTAGATTCTGTTTTGTAACATATAAATGCTAGTTGAATAAAGAAAACAGAGAAATACAGAAAAATTAAGAAAATAAATAACCATTTAGTCAATGTTCACTTTTGAATGTAAACAAACAATATTTTGATTTTCCGAAAATACAGTGTGTAAAACACAATGGCAGTTTTTCATATATATGTCTGTAATATAATCTGCAATACCCTGATGATTGGGTGACAGCTTTAATGGAATGGGATGGTGCTGTTATAACACTTTGGCGAAGGCTTTTCTGCATAGATACAAAAATGGCATTTACAGACAGATGTGACCAAAGACAAGCCTTAATTCAAGACAAGGCATTTAGAAACACGGAAGGATCAAAAGTCATCTTGATCTGTGATTGGATAAGAGCTGTCCACATTGCAGGATTACATAAGAAGCATGAAACTGATTAATTTTGAAAGACACAGTTTAGAAAGCCATTATAAACAACTGCTACTTTTAGAGCAGAAAGACAGATACACAAATTGGAATGAAGTACAGGGCTATTGCTAACTTAAATTATAAATTTGATTTATATATTTTTTATCTGACATATTCTCCCCCTTCAAAGAGAAAAAGGCTTAGCGACAGAAAAACCTTTTTGAGAAATAAAGCATTAAACCATTAGCAAATGAAAAGGAACATAATTTGAAAAATGAAATCATAAAATTTGAACCTAAATAATTATTTAAATAATTTCAAAACAAACTTTCAGATAATATTTCAGAGTGCTATTAAAATTTTCAGTCGAATTTTTAAATTTTATAAATTTGTTTTTCTCTCAAAATGTAAATGTTTAAAGTCCTTCAGATTTTTCTCTCCAAAGATCATAAAGACTCTTATATTTTTCAAGAAACGATTGAAAAAGTTCTTGAAATCCTTATATCATTATGTAATCATTATGTATCCTTGAATGTCATTATGTAATTTTTACAGTCCTTTTCTTGAAAGTCTTCAGTGAAACTGCTGTATTCTAAATTCTAAAATTATGAAATTAAAAGTATGATATTCTAAAAATGATCTTCTGTCATTGCACATGTGAGATGTACAGCCACTATGAGGAAGTCTGTTGATAAGTGTCATTTACTGACAAACCAGATGGTTCTTCATAATTAGTAGCCATCATAGAAGAATTAGTAGCCATAAAAAAATAGTAGCCATCATAGAAGTATTAGTAGCATCATAATTAGCAGCCATAATTGGTAGCTTTCCCTTATTTGATTGCACATGTTTTCTGTCAGCTATTTTGTTTCTACATTCAAATGTCTTGTGCCTAATTTTCGAACAGTAATTACACTTCACGTTGTGATACTTTTTTTCAGCAGGAAAATTGTGTTTGAATTTACTCTCCCTTTTTCATTTTTCTTCTGTTCTTGAATCATTCTTTTATTTTCAGTACAGTATGCATTTCATGAATCTTGAGATGTTTTCCTATTGCTTGCTTTCCATTCTTCTAGCATTCTGATTTTCAAAGTTCAGGTAATTTCAATTCATCTCTTGATTCAATGGCACATCTAAAATTTTAAAAGTTTTCTGGAACACTGTAGAGCAGAAGAATCAATAATAAATCATCAGCTATGACAATTTCCATTCCTTAAGCTTATCAATTATTTCAAATAAATTGTTCAAATGTTCAGACATTGTTTCACTTTCAGCATTTTTCTAAACAAAAGTTGTTTTAACAGTGTAGTTCTCTTCATGGGTCCATTCGTTTCATACATAGCTTTGAGTTTATTCCATGCAGTATCTGATGTCACATAATACTTTACATCACACAGCTCACTAGGATTAGTGGCAAGAACTATGTCTGCACTAGCTTTTTATAATCAGCTTGGAGCTATTTCTTTTCATCTTTGGTTCCATTAGCAGGTTTTAGTATTTTTACAGTCACATAATCCCAGTGGTCATTTTTAATCAATACAACTTCCATTTGTAGCTTCTAGCTGTCAAAACTGTCTTTCCATAGAGTAGAGTAGGTATAAAGATTCACTTTTCTAGGTGCAAAGATTATCATAATTTTACTGTGCATTATAACATGTTGTTTTTTATTTACTTGTTTATCTTACATCACTTAAAGCATAGTTGCAAAAAATGTTTGATATTTAACTTCTTCATGCACTTCTTTACAGAAATGTATATTTCATAGACTTTTCATTCTAATTTAACTTGTTATACAATAAAATTATTATGTTTAAAAATTTATAAACATCACATATAAACACAATATAAAATCTTGCAAAGTAAACATTACCTCTGAAGATGAATCCATTGTTATAATCAATGGCTGCTGAGAACGTAAACATGTGAATCTTAAATTTAACTGATTTGTATAGTCTAAATCTTGCATCAGCAGGAAATTATTATTAACCCATAAAAGAACCTATAAGAATATAAATAATATTTATATTTGAAATACATTAAAAATGTAATGTACAATAAGCTTAAGGGAGTGGTTATCTTCAACCTTTGTCAGGAAACTCATAACACTATTTTGTGGACTATTCGTAAAATTTCCCCCTCTCCTTATAACTCCTGTCATCCCCAGAAAAGTAAATACATACTTCTTTACATTACACAAACTAATCTGCTTCATATTACTTGAGTTAACACTAACAGTGACAATAAAAAATTTTTAATTAACTATTTTACACAGTTATTTTTGTATCCCATATGACATTGAAAATGCTTTCAAATTTTGATTTTGACTTCAGGTACTGTGACAGGATCTGCATGCAACTCCAAGGTTTTGCAGATCACAGGTTGAAGATAACTAGCTTAATTAATAAAAGTTATGAAAACAATATAAAGTCTCCATTAGAATTATCCCAAATATTCTAATGCCAAAAAGTGAAAACATTAGGCCCTTTCTGATTATCTCCCTTCTGAAAGTCTCAAACTCATTGCCAACTTTGGAGAGAAATGCTTGCTTGGGTACTTTTATATCTATTTCAACAGCGCATTCTGTGCCACTTTTTTTCATTCTTCTTTTTTCATATACAACATAAACATTTCTCAATTTTTGGGCTGCTGCTTTAGTTTCTTTTTACTCCCCCCCAAAAAGAATTACATAATTATGGCAACAAAATTCTAAAATGCAAAGGAAAAAGCTTGCTTTTCAGCAAGCTACATTACACTCTAAGCATGCAGAAAGTTGAGATTTCGTCAAAGACAACAAAAACTACAGCAAATAGTCCATCACTAAAACAGAAGCAGTCACACTGGCAAAAAAAGTCTATAGAATTGGTAAACCATCTAGAGGGAAGCTACACCCACAGCTGGTTTGCCACCATCTTTGGATGATATCATAAGTTGCCACATAGATAATGTTTGGTGATTTTTTTTTCAATCCTTTTTTAGCAGCTTTTCAGTGGGGGTGCAGATAATCAGAAAGTACACAAAATTGTTTACCAATAGTTCATATTAATTGTAGTATTTTGACAAATACTAAGACAAAAATATTTATTGTTTCTTTTTATAACATTTTAATGACATTTACAACACTTGAAATTATCATTTTGCTTTATATTTACTAATTACTTACTTTATAAGTAATTACTTACTTTATAAGTACTAATTGATAATCACAGCAGCTTTGAAACTAGTTTATAGTATGCATTCCTACAAATTTAAATAATATATTTAAAAAAGCAAAAACTTCTACTCATGAAATTTTGAAAAGTTTGGTTTGGTTTATTTGATTATGACCAACTTAACATTTATAGGTATATCATGAAATATTACTGGTCTCAGTGTCAAAAAGTACAAACATTGTTGCTGACTACAGTAGAATTTGAGATTTAGTGCATGAAAACAGCACTTAGGTTCAACGAAGCACAATTCTCTTTTTTTTCCCTGTCACAGGAACAGTCCCTGAGCATTTTTGGCAAAGCAACAACGGTGGGGAAACACTTTTGGTGTTCTTCAGGTACCTTTAGACAAAAAGTCTCCAAACTGTTTGCTATAACACTGGGAAAGTCAATTTTGTCTCAGGGATCAATGGTAAAAGTACATTAAAAACCATTAACACAATAAATAATTACAGTATAATGATTTAAGCTGATATTGAAGTTAAGACCCTTTTTAAATATATAACTTTACAGACAAATTGAAAAGTTATTTCTAGACAAATATATTGTTGTAGAAAAATATTCTGAACTTTCTGGACTACTACTTACATTTTTGCTTCAAAACTCGTATATGATTAAAGCTGGTTTTAGCTACGTTGATTCCATCTTAACAAACCAAATAGATTTTGTGCATGTTTGTGGATGAAATTCGCATTTAAAGTTTGGGACCAAATACTGTTAAGTTGGCCAAAATTCATCATGCACACCTCCTATCACACTGATAATGACAGTAAATTAGGCTCTACTCTTATATGTGCCCAAGATCACCAAATGTGGCGATATGTGTTTTGCGCTGAGTTTTGGCGCAAACTTAATGAAACTATACAAATACTACAATCTACTAACTTATGAAAGTTTAACTATAATGCATGTTAAAAACATGTATAAATGCATGTATAAAAACACGTATAAAGTAACATATGTAACCTAAAAAATAACAAACACTTTAAAATAAACATTCTAAAAATCTTATTATCCTTTTTTGGGGAAAAGAGGGATCCCATTAGAATTATATAATAGTAAAGTGGAACTAGTTGATAAAAAGTTAAGAAATTCTTGAAGAGGCCAATCTGACAAAAGGGTTTGGATATATGCTTTAAGCTATCAAACAATTGACAAATTTGAGTATTCATATATGTAGTGGGGGAGTTGAAGATGCTAAATAACAATTCCAACGTTGTTTTCCACACCACAGAACATTTAATAAAGATAATCAGAAAAGGTACAAATTAGATTAAATATAAGTGCCGTTTGATACAAACAGGATTCTGTGTATAGCTTTTGCCAGTCTTATCACATAACCGATTGGTGCCTACTCGCACTTGCTGATGTATTATACAGTCAATTTACCACCTTCGCATGGAAAACTACAGTTCCTTATTCTACACCTTCACGTGTAGACAGACATCTCATCACCTTCGCGTGGGATAGCAGAAGAAAGTCTCTGTCATACTCCTCTTTCACCTCGCTGCTGGCGCATTGGTGAGGCCCTCTGGGGGTTGTGTCGCACTTACAGATACTACAGCTCATCCGTCCTGACACTTTTTCGTCCTCAAAAACACGGATCAGCAACACTGGAACATCAAGACAGCACCTGAAAGCAATAAAAAAAAAAAAAAAAAAAAAAAAAAAAGGAAAAAAGCAAAAAGAAAGAAGTGTGGAAGAACCACACATAGTTCTATACAGTAGAAGTCCATGGCTTCATGATATCAGCCGCTGTAGTGGTACATCCAGGACCTTCATGGTGTCCCACTTTTTCCACCTGGTAGCGATCTTTGCCTTTCCTCGCTGTTACACAATATGGACCGAAGAACTTTGGCCTTAACTTTAGTCCACCTCCATACTGTGTTCTTTGTATGGCAACTAAGTCGTTCACATTGTATACTTGTGCCTCTTTTCTCTTCTTGTTGTATGTTTTTCTATTCTCTTCCTGAATTTTTAGAATGTTTTTTCTTGCTTCCTCTCTCATATCTTCTCGATCTTTCATCATAATATTTTTTTCTTCTTCTTCAAGAATTTCCACAATCTTTAAGTCCTCTCAATTTCTCATTTTAACACCAGTGAGAAGCTCAAATGGAGAACTCTTTGTGCTTCTGCTTTTAGTACTGTTTAAGATCCTTTGTACATCTCCAACATATTTGTACCACTTGGTTAGATCATCTATGGATAATTTGGATAGGACTGGAATCAGAGTGAGATGAATCCTTTCCACTTGTCCATTTCCTCTAGGAACGCCTGTAGTTGTAAATATGTGCTGGATATTCTCTTGACTACAGTAATCTTCAAAATCTTTAGAGGTAAACGCCGTACCTTTGCCACTTATAATTCTCAAAGGATTACTGAAAGTTGATTGTTGCAGTTTCAGCTTCTGCAATGCCTCTTGAGCTGATGTAGACTTTACTGGATAGAGCCACACGAACTTTGTGAATGCATCAACCACGGTTAAGATGTGATTGTAGTTCTTATTTGTCGACGGTAATGGTCCTATAAAATCGATATGAAAAGTGCTCAAAGGGATACTATCTTTTGGTATGGGATTCAGCAACCCTTCACCCTTACCTCATTTTCTGTCGCACAAAATACATTCTACACAATTTGAAATAACTTGTTCAATTCATTTTCTAAGGTTAGGAATATAAAAGTCGATTTTCAGCAGATCTTCCGTTTTAGACACTGCGAAATGTCCCTTGTTGTGGATACTACGTATGATTTCTAGCTCTAATGCTTCGGGTACTACAAGTAATTCATGACCACTGTCGAACTTGTATAATACTCCATTTTTCACTAGGAAATCTTTCTTTAGTCCTTGCTCGACTAAGGATTTTAGCAACTGGAGACTTCTTTGCGCAGCTGCAATTTTGGCTGTAACTTTTCCCTGAGAACAAGTAACCATCATAACTGTGTTCCTACTTAATGAATCCATATGCTTCATTTGTTGCCCAGATTTGTGAACAATTTCATAGTCTAATTCTTCTAGAAGTAACGCCCATCTCACCACTTTACGGGTTAGATCTTTCTTAAACATAGTCTTCTGGAAAGCATCGCAATCCGTAACTATCCTGACCTTAGATCCTAAAAGGTAATTCCTGAATTTCTTTAGAGCTTCTACTATAGCTAAAACTTCAAGCTCATAACTAGATAGCTTCTCTTGTTGGAGACTAGTTTTTTTACTCATGAAGTAAATGGGGTGTAACTGTCCATCATCTGACTTTTGTAGCAGTACAGCGCCGAAACCATGACTGCTTGCGTCTGTATGCAATTCTAATGGTGCTCCCTGTTTAAAAATATGAAGAACCGGACTTGTCGATAAAAGTTCTTTCAATTTATTAAATGCATCTTTTTGTTCAGGCCCAAATTTGAATTCTGCTCCGTTACGAAGATCACTTAGTGGTTTCGCTATTTTTGAATAATTGGCAATAAATTTCCTAAAATACCCAGTAAGGCCCAAGAAACTTGAATCTGCTTAAGGTTTTTGGGTTCCGGGAAATTTTGAACAGCCCTGGTTTTTTTTTCAGTAGAGGGGCGAATTAGTACCATCCTCAATAACATACCCAAGAAATTCTATTTTTCTTTTCAAAAATTGGCATTTCTTAAAATTAATCTCCAAACCATATTCTTTGGCTACTTCTAAAACGCGTTTCAACTTTTCTAAACCTTCCTTCTCGTTTCGTGCTGGAATAATAAAATCATCCATGTAAGTAACAACAGTCTCATCCCGAATTAAATCTCTAAACACATTATAAATAAATCTTTGAAACACACTAGGGGACGTGCACAAACCAAAAGATGCTTTTAGGAATTCATACAAGCCTGCATGAGTAATAAATGCCAAATATTTAGTGCAGTTTTCCTCAACTGGAACATGAAAAAACCATTTTTTAAGTCTAATGTCGAAAAAAACCTTTGCTTCACCCAAACGATCTAAAACCTCTTTACTTGTGCCATAGGAAAAGAATCCTTAACTATTTTTTTATTTAACTGCCTGAAGTCAACACAAATCCATGTCTTCCCACATTTTTTTCTACACAAAACAATTGGCGAAGCATATTCTGAACACGAAGGCTTTATAATCCCATCCTTTAACCATTCATCTATTTGATTATCAACAATTTTTTGATCAGCAAAAGGAATTCTCCTCGAACGCTGAGAAACTGGAATTTCATCTTTTAATATTACTTTCATTTTTAAGTCTGTACTGCGCAGCTTTTCTAACGGTTTATACTCATTAATAAGAGTGGAAACAGTATTGCGTAATCCTTCATCTTTAATATGCTATAAATCTATTTCGCTGTCTCCCTTAATGGCTGCAGAAAAAAAAGACAAAAAATTCCTTTCCGACAACGCGGCAGAATCATTTTCATATTGCGTAAACATCACCTGGTCACAACAGATCATTTTTAGACAGGAAGGGGGGAAAATACAGTCTGTTATCAAGTCATCAACCATTGCTGCTTCTATCAATTTTTGTTTTTTGCTTTCGCATAAAGAGAAAATAAACTTAGCTGTTTCGGCATTAACCACGTGGCCAAACGAACTTTTGAGTTTTATACATCCACTTGATATTTTATTCGGAAAAAGAGATTTCTTTACAACTATCAATTCACTTCCAGAATCTATTAAAAATTTTACTTTCTTAACATCAATCAACAGTTCAATAAATTCTAACTTATTTCTAGCTGCATTATCTGATTCAATCTCTAACCCAGATACTTTTTTTAGAGATGAAATTTCCTCCTTTTCTACCCGTTTGGGACAATTTCTCGCAAAGTGAAATAATTCCCCTTTACTCCCACATACATAGCAAATACGTTCTGGTTTACTACTGATTTACAATTTACTAAGCTTCCCTGAATCCTTGAAATTGCTCTGAGCTTTTCTAAGATTGTTTTGGGGAAAAATTAAGCTTTTTATTTTCTGGAGTCGATTCGACTGACCACTCGCATATCCAATGATTGACAAAGTTACTGATATCAGCTAAAGATTTACCCCTGGATGAATAAAATAAAGCCCATTCTCTTCCCAACTGATTTGGTTGGAACCAAATTTGGCCCTCCTGAACACTAATATGTTCCTTTGTTTTAGAATTCAGAGTTTCATACAACTTATCAGATACAATAAGATCACACAATTTCTTAAAGTCATCTACCTCTCTTAACTTGCAATAATAATTGAAAGTTGCACTGAGTCAAGACGCGAACTGAACATGCGATTCAGATGAATGTCTCTGAGCATTTTAAAAATTGGTCAAACATTCACGCGGTGTCGGCTGAAATTCTTTCAAGATTAGAGTTTTTACTTTATCATAATCCGCGATTTCTTGTTCAGAAACATACATTAAAACATTATTACATTTATCACCTAATAAATTAATCAACACTTCTGATTTTAACTCCATTGGTACGCTTTTGGTAGTAAAAGCTTTCTCAAGTAACTGAAAAAACAAATGCATAGCTTCCGGTTTCTGGGGTACAGTTATAGTTAGTGTTTTGATGCTTTTAATAATATCTTCGACACTAGTCTGCGCGTTTCCTCTATCACTCGATAATGATTGCGATTTTAAACTTTCGAACTCAATCTGCTTCTCAATTTGAGTAAATTTAAGGCGTTCGATCTCTAACAGATAGTGTTCATTACTTGTTTTAGGCATCCGATCCTCTGCGATCGATTTGACAATGCCACGAACAAATTTAACATTCGTTTTGAAAATATCAGAATTTTCGATAATTTTTCTAATGTCAGCTTTTTTAGCATTTCCTGGAACAGTCTATCCAATTTGTTCCGCAATTACTATTAAATCACTTTTCTTTAAATTATTTAAGAAACTCATTTTAAAAATGAAATAAAAGTATCACTATCTTCAAGAAAGAAATAAAGAAAAGTTTTCACAGTACCTTCTCTGAAGTATCCAAGTATGAAGTATTCAAATATCAAGTATCCAAATATCGCAGTCAGAGCCCCCACATTTTTTGTAGTGGGGGAGTTGAAGATGCTAAATAACAATTCTAACGTTGTTTTCCACACCACAGAACATTTAATAAAGATAATCAGAAAAAGTACAAATTAGATTAAATATAAGTGCCATTTGATACAAACAGGATTCTGTATAGCTTTTGCCAGTCTTATCACATAACCGATTGGTGCCTACTCACACTTGCTGATGTATTATGCAGTCAATTTACCACCTTCGCGTGGAAAACTACAGTTCCTTATTCTACACCTTCAGGTGTAGACAGACATCTCACTACCTTCGCGTGGGATAGCAGAAGAAAGTCTCTGTCATACTCCTCTTTCACCTCGCTGCTGGCGCATCGGTGAGGCACTCTGGTGGTTGTGTCGCACTTACAGATACTACATATGTGAATTTTGGCAGCTAAAATTAAATAATAATCCTATATCTCATGCTTTCTAGATGCTTCTTGGGAATTAAGTAGTTAAAAAACTGAAGAGAATAGTTTGACATAATTCCTCATCTTATTTACAAAATGGTAAATAGAGGCTGAAAGCCTATTCTACAAAATTTAATTCCATATGCACATAGCACTTAATAAGAGTTCTGCCTATTTCATTCTTTACGATATATTAAAAAAAATATGCAATTGACAGCAGTTTAAAATTCAGCTATTGTAAGAAGGATAATTTTAATGACAGCTAACTTGTCTCCAATACCAAAAATAGATTAGTGTTTCTTTCTAAGAGGCTAAAATTTAAACATCATTTTGCTCTTTACTCAATTAAAGAGAAAAATATCACCAAATTCAATTCTAATGCTTTTAGAAATATTAAAAATTGAAATTTTCAATAGTTCAAAAATTTTTGAACACATATACTTATTATATTATAAACTTCACATATTAATAACTTTAAGCATTTATATTCCTTCAGGGACACTTTTTGGCTGCATAATGGGTTTTGATAGATTTCCCCCTGTGTAACATGAATACCAGACAGTTTTTCTTAGGGAGTTCTCATAAAGGCATCCCACCCTTAGGCAGATGTTCTTTATATGTTTTACCTCAATAAATTAACTTCATCTTTAATTTGAAAAGAGACTGAAAAAGTACTATTTCCATCAGGGAAAAAAAAAAAAAAAAAAAAAAATTATATGTTAAATATTTAAATGGCTTATCAAGGAAAAACATTTATCAAAATGGACTCTTAGGACTGTCTTGAATAATTTATACTCTGTTTCATTTATATTTATCAATGTTTAGCATTAAAAATATTTTTTAATATTAATATTTAAATAATGATCGACATCTTCCATATATTTTGTGTAATATTTAAAACACAAAAATTTTGAGATGTGAGCTAGTTTCCTTCAGAAAGGCCTATTATTTTAGCAGTTTTACATAAAAAGACAATTTTATGTTTTCGATCATTTCATTAAGAAATAATTTATCTATTTTACCTCCTACGTGAGAGTTTTGATTCCGAACAATTAAACATAATCACAAATAATTGATAATTATTTATATTTATAAGTGTAACTAACCCGCTGAATTCTGTCATTGAGGAAGAATTTCACATAACTCTCAGGTTCTTCATCCGTATGTTCTGACATAAGGGCATACATTGAAAACCTGGGTAACTGTCTTGTTAATTCAAATACATGAAAGTGTACACTATAAACAGAATAGAAAAATCAAATTTATTAAAGCTTGATTAATTAAACAACAATAATTTTTTATGAAAATAAATACAACACAACAAATAGGTATACACAAATATAGTCATATCCCATATTTAATAAAAAACTTACAACCAATAATAAAATTCTTCAAATTGAGATAATGTACTAAATTTCAAGACATGAAATACATTGGCATATACATCTACATAATAAAATACATGAATTTAAACAAATTTAAATTTAAATTTTAACAAACACGTATAAAAGTAAAAAAGTAAAAAATTTAAAAAAAGAAAGCCAAAATAATTTTAAAAAAAATTTTTTTTAATGTGCAAACATATAAAAGATTTAATTCTCAAACTAATCTACAATATCATTTAAATTCAGAAGCATAAGCAAATCAAATGCAAAACCAATCCATGAAAATAAATTCACTAATTTAGCAAATTAAAATTAAACCAAACAATTTTTTTTTAAATGCATAAGTGAATGACTGTTGAGTAAGCAGGAGACAGACTTATCAAGGGGAAGTTGCCTCCAAACCTAACACTCCAATCATTCAATTCGTGTTTCGTCATTCATGCAGGCAAAGGTAAAAGTCAAAACCAAAAGTAAAAAGTGAAGAATGTCCAAACAGAAATACCAATAAAGTGGTACCCTTAGAAATTAGCATTTAAGAATTCAAGTTCTAAAAGGAAAATACTAATGAAGTCTTTTGAGAAACAAGCAAGTAAAGTCAAGTATTAAATTAAACTTTTTTTAAAAAATTAAATTAAAAAAAATATTAATTTTTTATAAAAAAATAATCTAGAAACCAATGTATTTTAGAAACCCTTGTCTACAGAAACCTCCTGGACACGAATATGCATATCAATAAAAAGAAACTAAGAAAGAAAGAACTAGACATAATCCATATAAACCAATAAGAAACAAAAAGAACTAATTTACAATTTTTAAAAAACAAATATATTTAAAAATATAATTTCATATTTAGAAAATACTTAAATACTACATAAAAAATTTTAAAAGGTACTTAAAGCAAGTAAATAGTAAGTTTTAATTCTAACTTACCTACTATATGAGTGTTGGGGTCTGCAAAAGTGTTTTTAAAGAGAAGTAAAGTAAGTGTGTTCTTCAAATAACTATATAGATGGCGCTTATGTAGGTAAAGTTGAGTGTCAAGCTGCTATCTTTGTTGTTTAAAAAATTTTTTGAAAACATTAATATTAAAATTTTTTAAAAAAATTAAATTTTTTAAAAAAATTTTATTAGTATTTTTTAAAATTTTTATTAGTGTTCTAAAAGGAAAATACTTCATTAGTATTTTTCTTTTAGAACTTTAATTCTTAAATGCTAATTTCTAAGGGTACCACTTTATTGGTATTTCTTTTTGGACATTCTTCATTTTTTACTTTTGGTTTTGACTTTTACCCTTGTCTGCATGAATGACGAAACATGAATTGAATGATTGGAGAGTTAGGTTTGGAGGCAATTTCCCCTTGATAAGTCTGTCTCCTGCCTACTCAACAGTCATTCACTTATGCATTTTTAAAAAAACTGTTTGGATTAATTTTAATTTCCTAAATTAGTGAATTTATTTTCATGGATTGTTTTTGCACTTGATTTGCTTATGCTTCTGAATTTAAATGATATTGTAGATTAGTTCGAGAATTAAATCTTTTATATATTTGCACATTTAAAAAAAATTTTTTTTTTAATATTTTGGCTTTCCTTTTTTAAATTTTGGCTTTTTAAATTTGCTTTTTTACATTTATACGTGTTAGTTAAAATTAAAATTAAAATTGTTTAAATTTAAATTTCATTCCTTGCAGCAATGGCACAATGAATATTTAATTAAATTTGTATTTAAATTTATTTAATTAAATTCAATTTATTCTTATGAAACAATAAAATACATGAATTATGTATTTGCCCCATGAAAATCTCAGTAAAGTGTTTAGAACATGTTTCATACATAAATTATAATAACAAACTACCCTGATTATTATAGTTTGTTAATGATATCAGCTACCATATAGATGGGTCCAGGTTTGAAACTTGGAGAAGGCATGGCTGTTTATAAATGATGATATGATACACTACAGTTGAGCTGAAAGTCTCCTCAAGAAGTTGGTGGTTGGGATAAAAGAGATAAAAAATCCTTGGATTCTACTTACTGAGAGGTTCTCCCTAAAATTGGAATAGAATCATAGTAAGCCCTATAACCTAAGGCCTTAGCCAATAAGAAGCATTGCCCTTTTCCTCCTGGCTACCATAAAATCTGTAGTACTGATATGGAATCTGATTCCATATTAAAAAGATTTGAAACAGCAACATAACAGCAGAATTTTTGAAAATTTAATTTACCCATTAAATTGCAAGTATTCCTCAGAGAAATCTGAGTGCATCTTTGTTAAAATGACCACTGTATAAGCCTTTAGTGACATTTGAAATTTGCATATCATAGACTGAAGGCTAAATTTGCCAATTTTGATAACAAAGCACAATAGCTCCTTTAACATGAAAGTAAAAAAGTCTTATGTTTAAGTCTGCATTTGTTAAAAATATTTGTTATTAGTTTTTCTCAAAATCAAAAAGAACTTTATTCTCTATCTCACATTTAATTAGAAATTACTTTGCATTCTCTTGATTTGAAGCAGCACCCATGAACATGATTTCTTGTGCTTCTTATCACTATGGATACTGGATACAATGCTTATTTCATTATCATACACTATTCCGAAAGATTAGTTACCTCTTGATACAAACTGAATAATGATTGACATATAATCATTGATGGATTTATGAAGTGAGGGTCCACCTCATCTGAAATTTTGGTGGCCCTTCATCTTTAAGACATAGTATATGTTTTATTTGTAAAATTTAATAAGTGACCCGTGAATACAGTTGAAATGCAAGGTCCTTTGTAAATGTGATATGTGCACCTTCATAAATCTGCCCTTGCATATAATCTGAAAATTGGTAGGTCTGGGAAATCTCATTCCAATTTTCTACAGTGCCCTGTTCCCAGTTCTCTAAGGTAACAATGAAAGCACATTCAGTTTGACTTAAAAAAAGTTGTATAAAAAAAAAAAAAAAAAAAAAAAATTGCATTTCAAAAATAGTTACTGATAGCGTTTGATGTAAATTCCTTGCCTGAATCTCAGACAAATCTCATCTGTTTACTGAACTAGCATGCTTTCAGGAAAAATTCTTTTAATCCTCCAAGTTTTATGGGTTTAGCCTTGAAATTTTGAAGTTCCATGAATTGTCCTGAATAAATAGCATTTTCTTCATCATAATCAAAAAACGACTCTCTCACTTTGTAACTTGATTCTTTTTTTTCCAATATACATCCAACTTGAAATCGGATACAATAAAAGCAGGCAGAAATTTTCATGTGTAATGAATAAGAAGGGTACCCTTCTGTATGGAATTTTACGTACATAATGTTGAGAGGGTTAAATTCATAAATTTATTAAATAATTTAAAATTTTGATAAATAATTTATACAAGATAGAATATTAAGTAACTTCAGATTTTTTCCCTTAATGTTTATTTTGGAAAATGGAAAAATTCAGTAAATCAACAAAATCATTATACCCTGATTCATTAAATTGGAATAAGATTCCATAAGAATTAAAGTATCATTCTTTTCTTTATGAAGAATATTCATTTTGCTCAAAGTTAAAAAAAATGTAAGTTATGACAGCTCATGTTTGCATATTTCCACACATAAGTCAAGAATTTTCAGTGAATTTTTTTTTTACTGCTGAAGTTTGAGACTTGGTTTACATGTGAGCTCAAAAGAATTTACAAATAACTTTATCACTTATTGGTTAGATAAGTTTTAAAATACTATTATTTTATTTAAGTGTGATCTACATTAGTCAGATTCTTAATATCATACTGGCATCACACTGAGAATTTTCAAGAAGTTTTGAAATCTCTCTCTGTATTTTCTGTAAATCTGTATTTAATTTCTGAAAATTAAATACAAGACCAAGTTAATGCCATCATACTTCACTTTACCATAAACACTACTTTCATCCACCTCATACAATACTTTCAGTTCTTCCCACAGAAATGCTTAGCAAAAGTGATAACTTTTAGTTTAAATCAGCAGAATATACAGTCCTTTTTCATGCAGGTACAGCAAAAATGAAAAGCTGTATAACACAGATGAAAAGCTGTAGTTTATTCGTACAACTGAGGAGGGAATCTTGTAGTTGCTAGAGGTTGGTTACCATAGTTGAGAATGAAAGTAACATTAGCCTTGCTATTGCAAAAGCCCTAAATGATATACAATGCTTAAAAATTGGAAGAAATAAATGCCAAAAGTGATTATGAAAAATAAAACACTAAAAGTTTGACTCCAATAAGAAAAATTGACTAAGATATTTACTTTCAAAATCTGAGATATGCGACATTTTTAACTTGCCTTATGGGGCTGATTAATAAATAAATTACTTAGAGGTTGATTCCCTCCTACCTTAAATGCTATTCTGTGGCCTTTATTATTATTTACTAACCTATAACATTCCTTAATTTAAAATTTTGTTAATATTGGTATGCTGAAAACACTTTTTATGCAAATAATTAATAAGTTTTCATGAGCTAAAAATATGTTATTAACATTCTCATGAAGTTTTATTACTTTAGAAGCATTATCTCACATTCAGTGGGAAAAAATATTTAAAATTTTTAATTCATGAAAATAATGTTATGAGTTGGCTATGTGTTAATATTGAAGCCTGGCACAACTTTTAGAACATTAACTCTGTAAGATTCTGTGTAGACGATTATCTTGGGGAAAAATATACATATATATATATATATCGATCAACACGTTTCAAAACAATTTGCATAGAATTGCTAATCAGTTAATCTAAATAAAAAATCGTTTTCTGTATGTATTCATCTAGTGATGTAAAAATGCAAACATGAGAGTCACTGCTTTTGCATATTATTTTTTATAATAAGTATAAATTTTTTCTAAACATAAAATCTTTCTAATTTTCCTACAAGTGTAATTATCTTCCTAATCATCCAACAGAGACCATGAGAAATTATAAAAATTAGATTTCATAATTTTTATAAAATTGATTATTAAAGATTTTAAAATACTGCACAATGAATATTTGCATTATTTGATACATTTTGTAATTGGAGGTATATGCCTACAACAAACTGTTGTGAAAATAAAGGCAGGGTAAGGGCTATGGTGAATATAATGTAATATAGCTGAATTTATAGGGTGATTTTAAATTTTGGATGTATTTGTATAGCAAAATCTTATCTCTTTGGCTATACAAGAATTAGCATATATTTGGAAATACATAGTATTTTTCAAACATAAATCTAGGTAACTGGCCTCAGATTAAGTTTGTGTGTTTTTGCAGAGCAAACAATAGGATAAGAGTAAACATCAGAGTATTCAACATCAGCATACAGTACCAGACTATCAGAGAGAAATCATCTTTACAACTTATTATTTTGAAAGACATGCTACATATTAATCCCTAATCATTCATATATTTTCTCTAAGACTTTTCCATTTAAAAAAATTTCTGCATTTGAGAATGGATGAAGAATAAATATTTAACTAACGAAAAATAAATGTGTTAGTTTAGTTTATGCCTAATTGTAATAAATTTTATTAGTATTCCTTTTCTTAGAGATTTTTAAAAACAGTAGTTTTATAGATAGCAGTTATTACTTCGTGCAACAAAGAATTACAAAACTGGTTTAGGATTAAGAATCAAGCCAATGCAAACATTTTAAAAGATACATTATATACTAAAAAATAAGTCAGTATAAACTGATTATTATTACATATTAAAAAAACAAATTTACTAAGTTAACATCCAACATGCATGAACATTCTTTGAAAAAGATCTATTTTCAAAAATGATACTAACATTTATTCAATTATAAATATTAAAACATTTTTAAAAAACTATGACAAACGTATTTCAGTGTTGCTTTATAATTGCTTCATGATTTTATTATTTATATTTTTATTTATCAGGAATGTAAAAATAATTCATTTTCATAAAATTTATCCAAATCCTTTTTCACATTTGAAATCTGATTTAGTAGACTATTTAAATATTAAAAAATTAGTAAGTATTTGCAATATGAAGAACTCTGGGTACTGATTTTAGAAATAACAGATGAAAGATATAATATTCTTACCTTCCTTTGTAGCCAATCATAGCTTTGATGTGTAAATCTATTGGCAGATCTTTAGGAGGCCATAAAGGAATATGTATTGACGAAAATAGTTGATTTTCTTTGGGATGGCTGTAAAGTGTTTCAAAATAATTATTTAATATCTTGTTTCTTTTTACTTCTTTTGTATTCAAAGAGTGTGAATTATATATTACAATTTTTAATACTGTATATACATACTTTTAAATCAATTATTAATCAGGAGGAGGAGGATAAGAAAAAGAAGAGACAGAAGAAAAAGGAAGGAAGGATAAGGAAGTATTGAAAGATAGGAGGATAAAAAGAGTAATGGAGAAGAAGGAAGAGAAAATGAAGAAAGATAAGGAGAAGAAAAAAAAGGAAGGTATAGAAGAAACAAAGGAAAAAAGAAGAATACAGGAAAATGAAAACACTGAAAAAAATGACTGTGCTAAAAGCCTCATTGCAGAAACAAACTTAAATTTAGGTTAAAATTTGCCTAGGAATTCGAATGAATGATATTACTTGAGATTTTAGTGCTGCTAGTAACATATATATGAACCTTTTGGGCTCTTTTTTAGTTGATTAGATAGCACATTATAGCTACTCATAGCAATAAATTCCTATTTCTGTTTCATCAGTATTTTCATCAAAGCATTTGCATTTCTTACTTCCTGTTCTCCTTTTCTATTAATCACATAGGGAAGGAGTATGTAGCATTTAACTTTATATTGGCATCAGTAATTGCTTTGTTCAAATTTCTTAAATTAGATAAGGTTCAAGCTATATAATCAGAAACAGAACTGCCAGTGGTTGACCATATGTCTTGTATTGTCTCCAGTGAGATAGCACATAACAGACAATTCTTATTAACAACAAAGAGTTCTTTTTTTACTTGTTGTTTCACTTCTGTATTTTGCAATTCATTGTTTTCCTCAATCACTTCATCTTCAGGCATTTTTTGTAATGTCAGTCTACATTAGTGTTTCCAGCAACACTAAAATCTTAGTAAATTTTATTGATTCATATGCTTATGCATCTTTTTGAACTAAAGGCACAAATAAAGATTTAACTTTGTTTATTTAAACTAAAAATATATTAAATAATCCTCAACCACAGCAAGTTTGACAAATAATAAAAAATGTATAAACATAAAACTAAAAATAGTGAAAATATAAAAAACATGAAAATAAGAAGTAAAATGCATGACAAAATTAAGAAAAAATTAATATAAAAAACATGAGAAAAATGGAATATCTAAAGTAAACAAAAATACCATACAGCAGCAAATCAAAAATTGACAAATTCTCTTCATTTTAAAAATAAAAAGGAAGAAGCCATATGAAAATAATGGCGAATGAAATCCCTCAAATATTTCTTCAAAAAGGGTGTATAATTTTCATAGCTACATATGTAACCTCACTAATTCACTTACAAAAATATTAGAAATTTTTTAATAAATTAACAGTAAATGAACTAATGAATACACCCCTACACAGCTCCAGAATGTTTTTTAAAAGTGATTAAAAAATACAAATAAAAAGCAATGTGTATAACTAAATTAAAATAAATCAGTAATTAGCATGGAAAAAAAACAATCTAAAGATTTAAAGTTTACCTATGCATCATTATCTGAATGCCAATCCATTAGTGAGAGTAATAACTGAAAGTGAAGTTGTAACTGTTGTTAATTAAATGTTTGTTATATTGCTGTGTGGTATTGATGTTTCACACTTCTGCAGTTTCATTGTAAATATTCCTTTTTGTTTTGTTCTTACATTTAAAATTTTCCCATGTTATCATATATTTTAATTTTTATTCATATGTTTAAAAATGTTTATTGTTTTTATTGTGTTTACACATTTTGTAATTATCAAACTGGTTCTTCTTAGGTGAGAAATTTTCAAAATATTGGATATTTTTGTTTACATAAATAAGTACATTTAAATTAATATATATCTTATCTTTTTGTGTATAAGCCAAAAATTTTTGAAAATTTTTATAAAGCTAAATTACAGAAGTCAGCTTATATATGGATCCATTAATCTTGCAAAACATGTAGATACTTTTCCATTAGCCAGGTGGAAGTGATAAATCGCTAAACATCGTCATTTTTTATTTCTTAAATTTATGAAAAATTAAATTTAAATAAAAAGTGATTCACTTAATGAAAAATCAGTTGTTTTATTTTCAGAATTATTTGTAATGCTAGTTTGTCGCGCCACATCACCCAAAACAGAAGAACAGATGTAGGTCAAATTTGCAGTCAGCTTTTCCCCCTTTCAAACTGGTTTCTCATTTACAGAGAAATGCTGACCAGCCATATTGTTGAGAACATTTTATTGTTAGAAACCTGATCACCTGCATTTTGAAATTTGCCTTATAACAATTTTTCTTCTTATCTTAAAAAAAAAAAAAAAAAAAAAAAAAAAAAAAAAAAAAAGCTTACAAATTTGATATTACAGGGCTCTAATACTTGGTGGCAACAATTTAAAAAGTGATTCACTGTTTACAGTCAATCAATGCAAAATGCCAAAAAGAAATTAATAGCCCTTCCAGGCAAATAAATAAATAAAATAGCACACAGAAAATAAGACTACCACAAATACCGCAGATAACAAACAAATGAACAAAACACAACAAATGAATGGTATAAAGATGCTAGCTTCAGACAATTTATTTTATCTGCTTTGCAAAATTTTCCTCCTCATGACAACTTGTTGAACATTAACTTTTTTTTTTTTTTGGGGGGGGGGGGGCTCATACATGGGTTTTGAATTTTGGGTTAATTTTTGTAGAAAAAAATCCTCTCTTGGCTTAATTACAGAAATATAGAGTTTGTACATTACTCAAAAAGTGTATCATACAAAATATCCTGTGAAATACTGAATTATGTTAGAAAATGCTACTTACATAACATGAGATTCTCCATCGAATATTCCCTCAGCAAAGATAAGGACTGCCCGTATAATAGTATTATTTGTAGTCTCCAATGAAACTTCAATATGAGGCTTTGGTATTAAAAACAAAATGTTAGTGAACATTTTTTACTTCAATTAAAATTTAAAGAAAAATTGAACACAAAGACAAAAAATTTTCAACAACAATTTAAAATGCAATTCTGAAAATCTAATAGTATTGTTATCAAAATGCATCTTTTCAGCAGTCACACTAAAATGTTTATGAAAACTATAAATGCTGGCAATTCTTTCAAAATAATTTAATAGTTTTTAGTGATTATGCATATAAATGGAGAAATATTTGTTAAATAACAGAAAATAGTATTTTAAAGTTCATGTTAAAACATTTTTAACCATCTATAAATATTTTACACATTTTAATAAGTGTAATTATTAATCAATAAAAGCTGTTTTTATATATTACAAAATACTGATAAGTTTCTATTCTAAAAAATGGCCTTGAAGCCCCTAATAAAATACTTAAATACTAAAAGTAAATTTTGCTAAAAAATATTTTTCAACATAAGTGTAAATTTTCAATATAAACGCTTTTCTGCATTTCATAAACAACTTACCCCAATTTTTTCAGATCCAAGGTTAATGGTAAGTCCTGTTTTTAACTGTGTTGTAGCCTTAAAAAGAATTTATTAAATTTAGAACAACAAAAGTTTAATATAAAGACAAATAATATTGCAGGCTTAAAAAGAATTTATTAAATTTAGAATTAAAAGAATTTAATATGAACAGAATTTATAATTACATCAAAAATTTAAATTGAGAGTTAAAGTTGAAAATTTCATGAAAGTTTCTCAGCAATTCATTTTTTAACTATAGTTTATGCCAATTATTAAATTAAAGAAATAAAATTAAACAATAGGCAGTAAATTATAATATTTAAAAAAAAAATTCTAATCCTTATTGAAAAAAGCTTCATCAGTATTTAAGTCATTTCTTTAAAATACAAATTTTAGCTAAATTAAATAAATAATATACCGGAATTATGCCATACTCATCATGATGTTGGCTTGCTCGTCCTGCTGTTTTTAAATTACCACTTCCAATTCTAGCATTTTCTTCATAATTTCTCAATTCCAAAAGCAATGCCTGAAATCAAAGAATTAATAACTAAGAAACAATTTGAATAGTTTATATTTATGATAAGTATTAATATAAATGCTAATTATAAAATCTCAAGAGGGAAAAAATTATAAGAAACAAAGCTATTTTCTGATTATCAAACCCCTCATTCAAAAATCATGAGGCAATTGCCAAAAATTACTTATGCGACACCCCAGATATGCATACAATATTTGAAATTCAATGGTTATTTTTTATTAGTATTTATTTTTGCATAGGGTGTATTTGTTTTTGTCATAATGAATCATAATAGGACTATGGAGTCTGCCAGCTGACGAAAAGAAAGTGTCATATTTTCAGAAATACACCATTTTGTTCAATAATAAAGAATGCAATAATTTGCATTCTATGAAGCTGTACCTTTTAAATGACCAAACTTTATAAAATGTAATGCGAAAAATGCAAGCTATGTATTAGAATGCAGATCAAAAACTGGTTTGAAAATAGACTATCTCACTTGCAACACCTGTTTGCTTTATTTAGTGTTGGACAAAGGAATATATGCCAATGAGCTGGGTTTAACACCAAACACAACTACTGATTGGTTCAAATACCTCTGAGAAGTCTATGTCTTCTATTATACAAGAATTAAAAAATAGGCTATACTGGATGCATCACTGAAATACGCATAAAGATACCCAAACAAATGTTTGTTTTCCAAGTTGCCAAGAAATTTGCAAATGCTTTCCAAAGTCGTTTGCAAATTTCCATTTGCAACTTTTCTTTGGGGGTGTGGATAATCAGAAAATATACAAATAAGATATAAATGATACTAATTTTAGGTTGGCTGGACATGTTTTGACAAACCTGATTTCTCAAAATATATTTAGTTTTTTAGTTACGATTAATACCAGTTAATATTATGGAAAAGTACTTTTTTATTACTAAACTCCCACAAAAAGTTGCCGTTTTGTGAACCAGTAAAAAACATTTGCTTGGCTATCTTCATTGCCCGTATGTACTTCTCTGTTCATAATAAATAAAAAAAAAAGCATTTCAATAAGAAGCAAGAAATTTTAAAAGGGAGAGGGAGCACAATCTAGATGGTCAATATTTACATTTTTAAAAGTAGTCAAAAAATAGATGTTCTTCAGCTATGGCTTCCAAAATTTATTTTAAAGAGTAAATTTTTTAAATACTAAAATAAATTTAGTGAAACAGATTAGATATCCAATCATGTGTGTTTTATATACAAGCATGGACTGCCTATTATTACATATATACATAAAACAAAATACAGCACTACTGAATGTTAAAACTAAGAATGAGGATAACCAGAAGGCAGTGGTGCAAATTTTCATTTACAGTGAAAGCTCAACTATCTAGCATTCAACTAACCAGAATATTTTAGCATTTTTTAATGAAAAATTATGCTAATGACATATTTGTAAAGATATCAAAAAGCACATATAGAACTACTATTCAGAATCCCACTTATAACATTTAAAACGTGAATATAATTATTTGGCCTTCTTTCAGAAGATTATGTCCATGGCATTATCTTCTGAAACAATGTGTGTGTCACCCTCACACACACACACACACACACACTGTTGCACTATTCATTGTATTATTCCAAGGATTCATCCTTGGAAACAAGATATTCCTCATCTTTGATCTTTCCTGTCAAACCATTTTCAACAAAGAAAATCTGTCACCAGATGGTGTGACCTAGTGCCAATAATGGATAAGCAGAGCATTGCTAACAATCATAAGATCTTTGCAATGCTTTTATGTAAACCCAATTAATTTTCAGTAAGTCGGTTTTTGTACAATTTTTATTTTATATTTATCTGTCTTTCATATTTTGAAAAAATAATTAAAATTTGAGACCTGCCTTTCACACAGTAGCAACCAGTGGAATACATTCTGGATCCTGAAAAATATTTTCATCCCTTGCATTAAGAAAATTTGCATTAATGGGCAAGATTATGTGACTTTGAAAAGATAAACAATGGTGATGAAATGTGAAAAATCAGGATAAGCAATTTAAGATTTTATATGCTATATCTTTATCTATCGATTATCTAACTAAATACTCAGTAATTTGCTCAAACTTTTGCTGGTATGTTTGATACAAGTTTGATGAAGTCTATGTCAGCTTTCATGGTCAATGGGATTATGTTGCCTTTTATATTTTAATGTATATATTTTATATCTTAATTTTTAAAAAAGAGATAATCTAATCATTTTAAAAATCAGGCTTTTGATAACAAATAAAGTGACTGTTTTTATTGGGCATAATTTTTAGAATAGAAATTTCTTTTTTTTATTATTTATTTTGCTTTTCTACCAAGCAATTCAATTTTTATGCACTCGACTAGATGAGAATTTTTATGAATACAGCATTTTGCATTTCCCAAGTTTTTATTGCATTACCATGTGCTTGCTATTATTAATATTTCTGATTACTGCTGAAATGATATTATTGTTTCTGATTATTGAATGTAACAAACCTGCTTTTTTTGGGCCAGGTCTCTAATAGTCTCTTGTTCAAAGTTAGCATCAAGCATATGATGACGCATCTCGGCTGATGTAGCTTCATAACCTCTAACTGCAACATATTTTTAAAACAATTCATTTCACATAGCTAATTTATTAGTACTTCAGATCCAAAAATATTTCAAATATATTAGAAGTTCTGTACTACATTTAAATCTTCAAGATCTTTTTTTAGAAAATATATCATTATTAAAAAGGTGAAATTAATATATGGGAAAAGAAATCATGGCTTGAGCTGGCCAGAAATGGGATGTATTTATGATGGCTTGGACCAATGGTCTTAAACTCAAACTGCACAGAGGCTGCATGCACGACCTGAGAGCAGCTGGTGGGCCTCATTCGTGATCTGAAAGCATCTAGGGCTAGATTTTTTTCTCAAAATTTCAAATAACTAACTAAATTTTAACTTAATGTCAAATTTTGTTACATTTCATAATTCAAATGTACTAGCAACTAAATATTAAACTTTTGGATTTACATTTACTTCAAATAATTCTAATATTTTGAATTAACCATTATATAACTTATTTTTAACATAAACTTAAAATTGTTTAAAATTACTAAAAATGAAATTACCAAATTTACAAAGAAAAAAAAATTACCAAATTTTCAAAGAAAACTTCCACACTGGAAAAAAATTTGAGAATAAATACTGAAAACTTATTCTCTTTATGTATCAATTTTTTTATTTGCACATGCAGAAAAAATAAATACCAGTGCATACAAATAATTATACATTTCTCTATTTTTTACTACAGCTCAGCACCTGATGGCATTCGAGTTTGATAACATTCGTAGCCTTCGAAAAATATTACTGGAAACAGTCTTCCAGATTGTAAGTGCTCATCAGTCAATCCGGCCCTTCTGTTAGACTTGTTAATTTTCAACCAACTAGTGACTGAAGGAAAAAGTACAAACTCAATGAGGATGAAAAAACAGACACACCATAATATAAAAATTTTATCAACTTTCAGCTGTCGAATAAATTTATTGATTGTACTGATGTCCCGTCACACTTTAGTCTAATCATACAGCCTGGCATGTAAGCATCTTAGTCTAGTCATGCAGCCTGGCATACAAGTATATAGAATCCAGAATTTTTTTCATTTAACTGACATCGTAAATTAATCCATTCTATTTCATTTCCATTCACTATTAATACTGCACATAAACACAATACATATGTTTCTAATGTTTTAATACTTTAAACTGTCATTTCCTGAGATACAATAATTAATGTTTCTTTTTTTCCTTTAGCTTCTTTTGCAAGTTTATCAGAGTATTTCTATGGTAGATGTGTTACATATGTACACAAGGTTGAGTGTCAGTGCAAATTTCAAACTCAATTGGAATGTAATGAATGCTAAAATATTTGCAAGTGCTTTCCTTAATAAATGCTGTGCCAATTTGACTGCCCAATGAATTTATGTGACATCAAAATCTATAAGCACTGTACTAAAATATATACATAACTAAATTGTATGGGTGGGCTGCATAAAACTGCTTCAAGGGCCACATGTGGCCTGTTGGCTGCCAGTTTGAAATCAGTAGTTTAGATTACAGACATTTTTAATGATAAAAATATACTTAATTTTAATGTGTTTATTTTGAAAGAAGTTTTAAAAGAATAACAAGATAAAAAAAGTAACATGCAATCATGAAAGATATGTTTCCTCTAAATAACTCAAAAGAAGGAAGTCAAATAAATGAAATATATATGTAATAAATATAAATAATACAATTTTTTTTTTAATTTTCTGCAAAAATAAGCAAAGAGTAATAATTTGTTCTTTATTTTACTACATCATCTTTTCCTCAAAATAAGAATTATTGTTTCAAGACACATAACTGCAGATAATTTTAAAAGTTCTCAGTCTGAAAAGTACTTGTGGGTTTTTTTCTTTACTAACAGAATAAATTTAAAGATTTAAGGCAAATAAACAGACATCTCTATGTGGTAAACATTGCTCAAGATTTTCTAAAAGTTTGAAAACAAGTAAAACTAATCATTAATTTTTTATTTACAGTTAATATTTATAAGGTATTATGCTATTCTCGAAAAAAAAAAAGCATAAAATTGAAACCGATAAAACGAATAATGCTACAGTTAAATGCATTTGTATAAAAAAAGAAACTCATAATGAAGCATGAAGTTAAAAAATGAAGCAATTCATATACAACAATAAGAGAAAATTAATTAAAATAGGTAGTTACATAGTAGTGTAACCATCTTGGCACAGTTTGGCTATATTTTGCAGATGAAAAAGCAAAAGTTATTTACTACAGCAAGCTTGCAATTTTTAAAAAGATTAAAAAACTATTTATATTTATTGTAAAACACAATTTAGCAATTTAAAATACAAATTTTAATTATTAAATTAAAATTATATGTTACATTAAAAAAAAGCACATTTTTTTGTGAAAACTTATATTTTTTTGCACTGTTTTTCCCATGTACACATTGGCATGTTTTTGCTTAAGAAACACCGAGCATTGCAAAAACTCGGCATTGCACATCAGCCATCTACCAAATCATTCTCTTCAGTGATTTTGAAACTTTTGAAGAACAGCTTTGGTACTTATGTGTTATCCTATTGACCTCTAAATTGTTCCCAAACAGTATGATTTTGTATAAATTATGGATAAGTGTCATGTAACAACATATTCATAGCACCTGCACTTTCATTTCATTAAGCATTTCATAGCCATTTCTGTATTCAATAAGCCATTTTTATGAACAGGGCATAAATTAACTATCTTTGCCGCAATTTTTCTTGCATTTTGAAAGAAATGTTTAAAATTAGGAACCTGCTTTCTGTAAAATGGCAAGCAGTGGATTATTTTCAAAATTATGGGATCCTAATCTTCCCCCCCTCTAAAAAAAGCATGTATATATAAGCGTATTCGGAAACTAAGTACCGTTTCATTCTAGCGCCGTCGCAGGGCTGTGGTAGGCATCCCGCGCATGCGCACTAGTCTTTCTTGTTCACTGACTTTCAATTGTCGCCATTTTGGTTGCTCTATGTTGTGTTTTCAGTTTGCTGTGCACATTCAAAATGTTTAAGACAATTAGTTCTCCCGCTGACTGTGAGATTCGTGCCGTGATTAAATTTTTGAACGCGAGGAATGTTAAACCGGCCGAAATTTATCGTCAAGTGACAGAAGTTTACGGTGAATACGCGATAAGTGATGGAATGGTGAGAAAGTGGGTAAGAATGTTTAATGCAGGTCGAACAAATGTCCACGCCGAGGCTCGGAGTGGTCGGCCTTCTGTTGTCACCGATGATTTGGTAAGGAAAGTTGATGAAGCAATTCATGAGAACAGACGCTTCACAATGACAACTCTTTCAGAGGCATTTCCACAAATTTCACGTACTGTTTTTTCGAAATTGTGTCTGACCGCTTGAATTATCGCAAACTGTGTTCCCGATGGGTTCCAAAAATGCTCACTGATGTTCACAAAACAAAGCGACTTGGTAGTGCCCTGACATTTCTCACGCGGTACAGTGATGAGGGAGAAAACTTTTTAAACCAAATTGTGACAGGTGATGAAACTTGGGTGTGTCATTTCACACCAGAATCGAAACAACAATCGATGGAGTGGAGACACACTCATTCTCCGAAAAAACAAAAGTTCAAAGTGACAATGTCATCACAAAAAATCATGTGCACTGTCTTCTGGGATAGGAAAGGCGTTTTGCTTACTGAATTTCTTCCCAGAGGTGAAACCATTAATGCGGCACGATATTGTGAGACTTTAACAAAACTAAGGCGTGCCATTCAAAACAAACGAAGAGGAATGCTCAGTAAAGGAATTGTGTTGCTCCATGACAATGCTCGGCCCCATACTGCTGGTGTCACTCAATCGTTAATTCGACAGTTTCATTGGGAGCAGTTCGATCACCCGCCGTACAGCCCGGACTTGGCGCCGTCCGACTATCACTTGTTCCTGCACATGAAGCGCGAGCTTGGTGGCAAGCGCTTTGGATCTGACGATGACACGAAAAATGCTGTGGAGTCGTGGTTATCGAAACTGGCGGGAAGTTTCTTTGACGATGGTATACAAAAACTGGTCACCCGCTATGACAAGTGTTTGATCATTGGCGGAAACTATGTTGAAAAATAGTTTAAGACATGTATTTTCATGTTAAAATAAAATTGGATTCGAAAAAATTGTTTTACTACTTTTTTTTTTTTTTTTTCAAAACGGTACTTAGTTCCAAATACGCCTCGTATATAATATATATATTATATATATATGTGTAACACAATATGATCAGCTGAATATGGCCTACAAAACTGCAAAAGATTGAAACAATTACCTGCGGGAAATTTGTACTCACAGAAATCTAAACAGACTTTCTGGTAAAACTGGAAGGCCTAACAAAATAGTAGAAATCAATGAAAGCATTCTTACACAGTGGGTCAAATACTGATTATTTATTAAATAAACCAGCATCAGTTCCTTCAGAATTCCATAGGAATGACTACTGCAAGTTTGGCAGGTTTTTTTCACTACTTTCATGATTCAATGGTAGCCAACTTTTTCACAGTTGAAGAGATACTATGCAAGTACTAAAACTTATTGATATTGCACAATATCAAAATTAAAAATAGTGAAATGTTTAGAAATAAGTCTAGCAATTAATTTCTTCCATCAAAAGTTGCTATATTCTAATTAATGTGTTATTCTTATTAGATATATCAAAAGCAGAAAATATTTATTTTATACCTGAAATAGATTTAATGTAAAATTTTTCTTAGCAGCATAAAATTCATATGTACGTTAAAAATTGTCTTAGGGTCATTGGGTTAGATGTCATACTTTTAGATCATTATCAAGGAAGTGAGAGAGTGAAAAGAAAACAGCCAGTTTAAATTTTAAAATTTTAGGCAAAACTTTAATTTCTATAATTTTATAGAAAGGATTTTCAACAAAACATGACATAAATTTTAAGACATAATTTAAAAAAATAAATTCAATTTCAACTCCATAAATGGCAAAATTTAATATTTAGTTTTCTTTTTCTAGAATTAATTAAAGAAACAATTTCTTCCATTCTAACAAATAGAATGGAATTTTTTTATAAGAAGCACATAATTGTTGCACTTGTTAAACAAAAACTATACAGTCTCTTAAAAGGCATCAAGCTCTACATTTAATGTATTTTTTACCCCTTTAAAAGAGAATGACTGATTTTGGCTTTTATGAAATAACATTTACTGATTAAAAAAGCTTGAATTTTGAGAGTACACAGACAAATATAATTCAATATATAATCCAAATATATTCCCTTATGTAGCATTTAAACTAACATTCATAAAAGCAAAATTCTTAAATTCTAATATAATATGTTTTATTTGTTGTGACAGACTTAAAATTTGCTTTAATAGAGATACTTTTGTATCATATACCTCCTTAAACATTTCAACTTTTATCAGAGTTTTCTACAGTGGCGACTCGTAATAAGCACTATGGAACTGCAGCACCCCCTATTTCCACTAATTATTATTTTTAATATTTAATATAGTGTGCCCTTTGGTCTTTAATTCTTTCTTTATACTTTTACAATATATAATCCTTAAGCTAAATGTCAGTAGCCATCCCCCACTTTGTGAAAATGTTACAAAAGTCTTTGTTTGGAACTGCGCATTTCACAGTTCCAGAGATGTGGTGTTTGGCTATTCTGCGCATGTGCACACAGAAAGCAGCACGCATGCTGGGTAAAGAAGAGCACTGTCACTCTTGCAATGCTGAAATTCTGGCATGTTGCTGAAAACGTGATTTCTTTTTACTCTGCGCGTGTGGTATTCCTCCACAAGGTGGAACTTCATCATACGGACCATAAACAGAGTTCATGAAAATTTGCAACTTTTAAAAAATTGCTTTACTGAAATTCAGTCAACATCAAATGCAGATCAAACCATTGTAAAAGCAATAGGAATTTTAAAATATCTAAATGATGATAATTTCAAGCTTTGGTTAGAGATTTTTTATCAGATACCTCATGTTGAAATAATATACAACTAAATGCAATTCAGAGAAATTAGTGTGTTTAAAGTTTTCAAAAATGCTATTTTAGAATTAAGAAACTCTACGTACTGTAAGAATTTTTCAAAGACACTGATGGCAGAAGCTAAGGAACTATGTGACTTTATACTATGTATTGATATAATGCACAGATATTCTTCCACTAAACACTTAGCAGCTGCTAAATTGTTTACCAAGAAATGCTTAGTTTTAGGAGTGAACATTCTACACAAGAAATAGTACTGACCACTGAAGCATATCCAATGATTGGCAAAGAAAAGCTTGAAACTGAACTAAAAGTATTCTATTGTAAGTCTGATATCCATGAATACTGCAAATTAATTGAGCTACTGAAATTTATCTTCGAAAATAATCTAGATGATGTTCTTAGTGAAATTAAGAAACTGATCAAAATTCTTTTGAGAGTTCCCATGACTACATCAGAGGCAGAATGCTACTTTTCAACATTGAAAAGAATGAAAACTTTTCTAAGAAGCACTAGGAATTATTTCGGAAAGACTAAATGCGCTTGCATTGCTTTCAATAAAGAAAAATTTCCTCGGTTGTTATCCAAAGATCAAAGAGAAAATTATTGATCTTTTCGCGCAAATTAAAACAAGAGGAATAGATTTCATTTTTAAATGACTAGACAAAGATTGAACTGTAATAATTTTGGTTAAAGTAATTAAGAAATGTTTAATTTTTTTCTTGTAAGATTTCATGAAGTTTCAAAATAAATTTTCTTTTTATACATGTTTGTTTCCTTTTACATAATTTTAAAACAAAGGTTAAATTTTTTTGGAACAGCACCCCCACTAATTTTAGCCACGAGCCGGAACATATTTCTCTACTAATTATAAAAATATTTCTTACCTTCCCCATCTGTAGCACAAAAGATTAATTCTTCTTTCCCTGATAAACGATAATCACCTTTTACAATTCCAGCAATGCAATGAGAAAGATTATCTTTAAAAACAACTTCTCCAGACTGAACATTGCGAGCATCAATCTAGATAAAAAAAGCTACCTTACATCAAAAATAAAGTATTGGGATTGCAAACATTAACAAATCATTACCATAGCAGTAAAGGTTGCTAAAAGATAAAATGTTAATTTCAAAACAAAATTAAAATTATCTAAAAATTTAAAAAAAAAAAAAAAAAAAAAAAAAAAAAAAATTAAGAGTTTTGAGATTTTATATTATGACCAGAGGAGCTTTTTTAGTTTTTTTTTTTTTTTTTTTTTTTTTTGTGTTACCTTTATTTATTAAATATCATGTTCTTCGTACTTAAGCCATAAAATTCAATTCAACAGCAATATCACAAAATAATTTTAATATTATTAAATATCATGTTCTTTGCACTTAAAGTATAAAATTCAATTCAATAGCAATATCACAAAATAATTTTAAAAGAGCATATCTTTAGAATTTCCAATAGACTGTCTTGCCCCCAGGAGATAAAAATGTTTTTCTCGTACAGTGCTGCCATTGCTCGCTTTGAAATCGTTGAGTTTCATGAAATAGATAATAAAACAAATTCCAAATTTGGGCTTCGTGATGCCCATATTCGGGTGGAGGATTACATTTTTCAAAATTTGTTGGCTCTAGGTACAGTTTCTTAGTGCAATGAGAGAAACATACATATATTTATGCAGATTCTTTATTATTTAATTTCTTTAAATATAATGCAAGGCGATAAAATTTAATGGCAACAATTTAAAAAGTGAATCAACGTATATAGTGATTCAACGCAAAATGCCAAATTGAAATTAAAACCCTTCTGGGCTAATAAAATAAAAAATGCTTATTTTATTTTAATAAATAACAGAAGAGCAGTTTAACCCTTCGAGCGTTACGAGTTTAGCCCTGAAATTTCAAAGTTCCTCAAAATGTCATGAATAAATGGTAATTTCATGATTTTAATTAAAAACTGACTCTCTCATTTTGTACCTTGATTCCTTTTCTTCCAATATACATCCAAACCAAAATCAGATACACTAAAAGCTAGGCGAAATTTTCATGTATAATGAATGAATATAGAAGTCAGCCTTCTATACAGAATTTTCCGGCCATAACGCTCAGAGGGTTAAATATGTTTATTCATTTATTTTAGTAAATTTTAAAATTTAAAATGCCCTCTTCCTGTCATTACAATGAAAAATTATTTAATACAACAGCGGTATTCTATTGGTTTGGAAATTTTTTTTTAATTTCCTGTTTGGTGAAGCAATTATTAAAATTTAATTTTGATAGGTATTTAGATAATTCATCATTGCTTAAGAACTTTTTTTACCATTTATATAAGCAGTAAACTAATTGTTAAGAAGTTTGAATACTTATACCAGTGGCAGCAATCAGTTTTGCAGAATTACTTTTAAAATTCTGCCAAGCCTCGCAAGCACCCAGTGTTTTATGTTTGAATAATAACAGTTTCATGAAATATGTGATTTTCCTGGATGATTCTGTGTTTCCAAATTGCAAGGAAAATTAATATCAAACTGCATAAGAACTGAGGAAAAATCCACTAATAAAACATAAATGTAGTGCCTGTTGAAATTAATTTTATTTTAAATTAGAAAATAAAGAAAAGCACATACTATTAAACTAATTACTAATACAAGAAAATGTAATTGTTAAATTGTCAAATATATCATTAAGTCAGTACTGCATTAAGTCATTAATTTGCTTTTAATGAGATATTTGGTTATTTAAATTGTCTGACAGGTAATATAGTTCTGTATTTTCTTTTATTACTTTAAGATGCAAAGACGCCTGCTCACAGAAGTATGTTGACCCCAAAATGCTTTCACTGTTAGTGCACATATATGTATGTTTTTACATTTTATAGAATCCATTAGTTTAAACTTTTCATCACTTTTATTTTCTGTGTGTTTGAGTGTTATATTAGCATGGAGAGTAAAAATCTCAGATTCAGCCTCCAATTTATTAAGTAAACAAAATTTTTCTATTAACAAATTCACTTTTGTTATGTCTAATTCCAAGAAAGGATATTTTATGAACAATAAACTTCATAGAAAACTTCATAGATTAAAATGGGCTTCATAGAAAACGTCATGGGATATTCTTTTAAATTCTGAGCTAAGTAAGAGAAGGTTTTCAACATGCTTAGATGGATCCTACTCCAAAATAAATTCCAGGTCTAGAATTAGGGTAAATGATGAAACTGTTAATAATCTTCCTCCAATACCCTGTTCTTCCACATATCAATTTTAGCCACAAAAAACAGATATTGAGCTCACCGTTTCCAATACGTGTGTTCCTTTTACTTGTAATGTGGTATTTAGGTCATTGAACTTTGCAGCGATATCAGTTAAAAATGTCAAGTCAGCAAGCCACTTCCTACCATCCAATTTTTGGTCATAACTGTCTTTGGATATGAAAAAAGTCTTAATCTCTGACAGCGTTCCATCTAATCTTGTCAAAACTTTACCTCCACTCAGCCACTTTTTTTGGCATAGTAAATTTTATCACTATACTTGCCATCAAGCAAACCTTTAAAAAGCTAATGATTTAAAGGCCACACTCACATAAAATTTACAGTGCATACAATAACAGTATATGCTACTGAAATTGAGCATTTTAGCAAACAGATTTTATTAATGAATAACATAATTGTATGAATTAAACATGCAAAATATGTCATCCTGCATACAAAGCCCAATAAATCTAGTATCCTTTCCGATCATAGAAAGTGCACCATTGGTTGTGATTACAAAGAGTTTTTTCCCTTGGTACATTCTCTTCAGTACCGTTTTTAACTGTGTCATATATGTCTTGCCTTCAAGCGTGTTTTGCCAAAGTTAAAAATGCTTCTTTCATGCAGAAATAAAAAACAACATTCCAGTACACATTCAGAAGTTGCAGTGCCTCAGTAACATCAGTGGATTCGTCAACCTGCAAAGAAAAATATGACCACTTTTTCAAACTAGATCTCATTTGTATAAAGATGTAGTTCACCATACTGTAAATTCATCGTGTCACCATGTTTTTTAACAAAGATGAGAATATTTCATTTTTCTTTTAAAGCTGAGATTATTTAATTTTTGCTTTTAAATTTGTGAAATAAAGGCTCTGGAATTGACAGCATTGCTTCCTTCACAATGGCACCATCTGAATATGACTTGTTATGTGATGCAAGAATGTAACATATTTTAAAAGATGCTTCTGTGTGATTCTTTGCTTCATCTGATGGTGAAAAGACTGCTTGAGTTTTTAGAAATGATTTCAATGTTTGAAATTTATGTCTATATAAAGCAGACTTAAATGGATATTTACCGGCAAAATCCTTATAAACAGTTTATAACAACATTCAATTGCTTTGGTACCACTACTGAAGCATTGCATAACAAACAAACTTTTTTTTTTTTTTTTTTTGCCACCATTTGTAAATAACAGCTCTTCCTCCCATTCATTGTTGAAATGTTATGTTTTCTTTCTCTTTGATGGCCTTGGCATAAGTGAACTGATTGACCACCACATGCCAGATGGATGATTCATCATTTGTGCAGAGATTAAGTGGCACCACCAACGAACAGGGCTTTTGTTAAAGCAGGCACTCTAATCCTAATTTGCTGCACAGATAAAACCTAAAACCATGGAAACAGGACAGAATGAAGATAACACACTAGTACATGAACACAAATTCAACACCATACATGACTTATAATTGTACTTTTGTTATAGTCGTCTTTTACATTAGGATTAAATTAAAGTTTCTGTCTCATGGCATTGCTGTGATAGTGTTGGTGGGCACCTAAAGATAGGATTGTGGGTTCTGTACACAGCCCGCAACCCACCGGTTGGACACCATTGCCTTATACTCTCACTAGTTAAGAATTTTTTGCATTAGTTGTAATGAAATGATCTTTATGATAAGCAGTTCTCATACATTATATATATAGTATATAGAGATAGTTTAGGAATTAAAAAACATTTTTAGAGTTATTATTTTTACATATTCTTCAAAAACACATTTCTTATACACTAAACGTTATTGCTTTTTAATCAGTAATTCATTAAATACTCATAATATTAAATAGGGAAAAAAAAAGAGAACTGTAGGGCAAAATTATTTTACACATTTTAAAACATCAAACTGACAGTAATTGTTGTTATCTTTCATAAAAAAAGTGAAACAAAAATACCAACCTTGCCATTACTCCAACCAGTTATGATTTCAGGTACTCCATCACCATCAATATCATAACTATTCAAACACATTGCTTGATTTTTTGACTGAAAGAACACATATTTAGTCATAAAAAAAAAAAAAAAAAAAAAAAGACAGAACTAAAAATGTCAATCATTATTTAAGATTTTACCTACAATTTATTATGACAAATAAATAATCATAATTACATTCAAAACATACCTTTATTCTCCATGATCTATCAACGCCTTTGTAAACACCAACAGTGCCATTTGCAAGTGCATAACCAAAATGCTGACCCATCACTTTACATAAACCAGTTACTGCTTCTGTCTCTGTCATTTCTGCAATTATAACATCATTTCGGAAAACACGAATGTCAAAATCTTCAGATCCTACAATCAACTAAGTAAAAACATGAAATTAAAATAAAGTAAACATGAGAAAAAGTATAATAAGTAAACTAAGGTGGCAGATTATCAAACATTTTTAAAAACAGATTATACAGTTATTACTTATACCAATAAACATATGATACATAGCATATCAAACCTGAACAAAATATATTCTTTTTGTAAGCATTTAATAAATAATAAATAGCATTAATAATTTTAAACATTAATCATTTTTAAATATAATTTTTAAACATCACGAATGTGATCATTATACAAAAGTGAATTACGATGTTAATCTAAATAGTAATTCACTAAAAATATTAAATTTTGAGAAATATATTTTAAATATTTAATTATTAATCATGGGAGGAGAAAAACAAATTAACTACCTTAAATTTATTATGAAGACAAAGTTTTATCTTTCCAGATTAAGATAACTGGGGAGAAATTGCAAAGTATATTTTTATACACCCCTTTTTTATTAAAAAAAATAATAATCACACTTTTGCACATAAATGCTGCACAAACAACCAGAACATAATTTTCTTGGGAGGGAGGGAAGACGAAGAAATCTGCTTGAAGGTTGTGTCTTTTATACAAGTACTAGTTGTTCCTATTCTAATAAGACAAATAAAAAAAATAAAAAAAAAAGCACTTAAAATATAAGTGCAGTGGCAAAATTAAATGGAAGTCATCAGAAAGGTCAGCACCACACAGAATAATTTTGGAGGTGCCACTCACTCATGTGAAACATAACAGAAAAGGGCTCCAATTTTTTATTATGTTGCTGTTAAAGGAAGACAAAACACATGCATCAGAGAAAAGTTCTTTGGAATTTTTGCTGTTTATTTTGAAATATATCTCTAACACTCAAGTTTCTGATATTGAAATATAGCCACAAATTTTCCTCACAGTTGCTGTAAGTGTTATTATTTTAGAAAGGCATTTTTTAGGTAAAAATTGATTACAAATTACCCAATATTTATAAATGAGTAAGTTGCATTAATACAATATAATCTTACCATGCTGTGTACAGAACAGCAACTAAGTAATGAAAAATACTTAAATAATTCCATTAACAATTTCATGAAACAAGAAAAATTTCAACATTTTAGAATGTTAGAATTAAATTTTACTCAAAAATAAATATACTGCTGTAAGTTATTTTCCTATAGAAGAGAAACACGCCAATGTGACAATCAAAATTGCAATAACAACCTTGTATTTAGTGTACAGATATTAAAACACTCAATCGATTCGAGGTTCAGACTTGGTGCGTGAAGGTGCAGTTGCCCTTCACTTCCTAATTTTGACTTCACTGATTTTTTATTTATTTATTTATTTATTGCATTTTAGTCTATGTGTTACATGTTTGATCAGATAGCCTGGTTCAGTAAAAGTAGGCAGCCAGTGTAACTCTGATTCAAAATCCGGTTACGACCACGTGCATTGCTGATAATGACCACATGTTTCTGAGACTCCTTCGCCGATGCTTTATTTTTCTTTTTCTCCTCTTTCTAGTAATTTTGTTCTCCTGATGAGGAAGGACTTTAGCTGCCCTCGAAATCGATTGAGTGTTTTAATATATGTATGCTAAATACAAGGTTGTTATTGTGATTTTGATTATTTTCCTAGTCCCCCCCCCTCCATTTACTTTGTACATAACTTTTAAATAGCCACTGATGGTTATAACAAACTCAGGGTCTGCCATAAACAGAAATATGCTAAATATGCTTTTATATAAGTTATAATAAATTTTACAATTGTATAAACAGTAGATCAGATTTTCTTTTACTTCTTGGAATTAATTTAGTCTTTATAATATAATACTCATACATAATGACTAATGAATATATGCCCAAACAATGTACATTACGTATATTACATGAACAACACTAATGGTATTAAAAGTTGGTATCTCCTTCAAATCCCTGTGTGAAAACAGGCTTTCACACTACAGGTATTATTGCACAACATTGTATTAAGATTTTTCTAAACATAAGAAATATCTCTCTTAAATTAGTTATTCCCATACACAAAGAACTAAAACAGAATGATACATTTTAAAAACTTTTACTCACAATACTTTAAAAGAACATTTAATTTAGAAGCGCCCAATAGATAATAATTTCAGCTAAGATATGTTCAAACTGATTATAGTCTTTATACCAAAGTGTTCACATAAAATATGATTAGTACCTCAGTGTACTTTCTAGAAAAAAATATTTGGTGCATATTGCCCTGTAATGGAAAGGTTTCAGGGGTTGTTAAAAAGTGATGAAATGAATGACAATTTAAAAACTCTTTTTAAGATTAATTAAAATGTAACTTATAATTTGACAATGTTTATTAACATAACTTCTAAACCTTTTGGTGACGGCTTTGGCTTGGGTATAACACTTGTAAGGATTATGTTAATTTTATTAACAGTTAAATTTTGAGTTAAAGTTCCTTTCCTGTCAAATTCTTAACTTCAACTTACTACTTCCGGCCATAACATAGTTTTGGAATCTTGCTGAATATTTAACGAGGAGGAGCGGTATTTAAACCCCAAAGTTACTTAGAGTCAGAGAGAATCAGAGTTTCTGATTTACGTGCATCTGTCTTTTTGGACATTCTCTCTCTCAAAGCTGTTATTATGCTCAGCCATACTCAGGCCCTTGCTAAGCTTCGCAGTCAAATAAGTTAAGGGGCCAACTCGATTTGAACCTTGATAGCTTCGGCTATATTTTCTTTAGTTAATCTTAGTTTTGGTTTAATTCTTAGTCTCTTAAGTTCAAGTCCAAGTGCAGGCTTTGTTTGTACACTCCCAGGTGGAGTTTTGTTAAATCTTATTGGAATAATAAAGGGTTAGTTACCCTTCTATCTTCTTGTTTCTCGTCACCAAACTTAAGCGATTATTTGCTTATCAGTTCTTAGATTCTTCACTTCCAACATTAACTTAGAATTACAAAGTGAGGAAACTCTACACACTTTACTTGAAAAGACAAAAAAATTAACTATTTTCATAACTTAGAATCTATTAATGCTACAAAATAGTTTCTGCTTTAAAAGTAATTTATTTTCACACTTTTACTGAACAGTATTTTACCCTTTATATCCAAGTACAAGAACTACAACAAAATACTTTACACCTCAGTCATATTAATTCAGATGCTTTTAAAAATAATAATTCTAACTAAAATACACAAAACCCTTCAGCAATTTAAGACTGCTTAAATAATCCAATGTGTTATTTAATATATTTTATTATTATTACAAAAACTAATAGCATGAAAATAATTAAAAAAATTTTAGGATATATTTATAAGTATTAAAAAATACAATAGTTCTTCATTAAAAATTCACATACAAATAAATTTTAAATATAATTTATACAATTTATAAAGTGTAATAAAATAAAAGCAAAAATACTGAATAAATGAGAATATATTTAGGAATTAAATAGTTAGCCCTAATTATGTCTAAATCTATGGAAACAAAATTATTTATTTTTTATATTTTATTCAATAAAAGTTTTAAAATCATTACCTCATTGAATGAATCATGATTAAAATCACACAATATGATGGAACTAACATTATCACCAGTGACCTGCATAAAAAGAGAAAACAGTAAAAAAAAAGACCATTGCTTTACTAAAAATATTTCACAATGACATATTTAATTATGTATGTAATTTATTCTATCTTTTATACCAGAATCAATTTTTAAATTTAAAATAAAATTATGAAACTAATCATTTGTAATTCTATGAGTTACATGCCAGCTTGTATAATAAAATTTTTGATAAAATTTAATATTTGTTTTGTGCAGATTTCATTTAAAAATGCTAGCAACTATAATGTTTTCAAAGCTAAGCAAATAGTAATTTTTTTAACTAATAATAATTTGGTAATGTTTTAATACAACTGTAATTTCAAATTGCATTCACAAATTTAGAAATTACATCAAATACTTGAATTAATTTCATTAATTGTTAAATATACTGTGTAATCATAATTAAAATTAAAATTTCAAAATGGTCTGAAATAAGAACTATTCATTAGAATGAGTTGAAATTTCATATGAATACCATAGCTGCCAACCTTGAAATCATAAAAATTGGGAGACTTGGGTGACAAAACAGGCGTTCACACTGAGCAACAACACTATTTCAAATTAACTTTAAATTGACTTTAACTCACTTCATAAAGCATGTTACTGAACTATTTGTAATACAACTGTGATGTAAAATATGTCAGCATTTAATTAGATATTCTAAACTTTATGTTCTTCAATTCATTTCATTTTTCAATTTGCTTAAAGTGTTATACTGGGAAAATCTAGAATAATAATACTTTATTTATTAAAGTATTTTAAATGTGATAAAAATAAAATTAATAATTAATGTATGTAGCACATATGTGGATAAATTTAGTAATGTACCATAGATCTGAATATAATAAAATTAAACATAAATATTAACTGATTAAACATTGATTGAATCTTGGTTAAAAAATTACAAATGTCTACAGCAGACAACTACTCATCAAATGAAATTTAATATGAAAAATTTAATAAGATCAATAAAAATGTAACAAAAAAGTATGATTCGGATGAAATCAGTTTTAATAAGAAAATTATTCTAAAAATCACTAGAGGTGAGGGAATGCAATTTTCCTATTTAAGTTTCATTAATTAAGAATTTTTTTATGGCAGTGGATATATTTCCTTTAGTAAAGACTAAAAACTTGGAGAAATTGGTGATTTACTGGGAGATCAAATAAAAACCACGAAAATTGATGATCTATAATCCGGAATCGCCGAAGTCCCGACGAGTCCGGATTATGGACTTTGTACTGTAGTTGGCTGCCACAGCCTTGGGTCTGAGTCTGAACCCTAGAACAGGCATGGATATATGAATTCCCTGAATTTTTGTGGGAATAATATCAGTCTATCTCTTGCAATGCATCACGGCCAAAGTTCTCAGCAATGAAACAGATAAATGACAAATAGGATCAGCCATTTCCAACCAGTGATTATCTAGCCACTGAGAGAGGGGGATCTTCTATCAAATCATTTCAGCTTGTGGCAAAATAGCATGCTCATACACAACAGTTGAGTACTTCTATAGAGATGTATGGATACTATGCATATTGCAAGAATTCCCTTCTGCTAAATTTATATGGAATCGTTTAAACACAATTGGGTACTTTTTGGTTATCTGCATCCCCAGTTTTAACATCCAGTAAAATTGCTACATTTTGGCCTCAATTTTGAGTATACACAACACAAGTGCCAATCCATGCATATGTGTATCACACACATCTTCCGAGTACATGTGGATTTATGGTAAATATAGCAGATGAATAATATCTACTCATTGTAAAAAATGTAAATATTGGCCATACAGAATTTTTCTAACATAAAATTTCATCTTTCTTTTGAAAAGTTTTTCATTATTATTCATTAACAGAACAGATGTAAAGAATAAATAGCAAACAAATGTTTTTCTTCAATTTGTTAAGTTGCCAAATGAGTGCCAAATGATACAGATAATCAGAAAGTATCCACAATTTTCTCTGGATACCCTTTAAATAAAAAATCATGAATTCAGGTCTAGTGAATGTGACTGCCAATGTTACAGAGAATTAGTAGCTATCCAATGGGAATGTTAAGAACTTTCTTGTTTATTGCTGCTATTTATTATTGCAATATGTAGTGGAGCCATTTCAATGAAATCAGAGTTACTTGATTACTAGTAACTCAGACTTACTCACTCTAGATTAATTACTAATCTAGACTGATACTGTTGCACACATAATATGGCTTCTCCAAAATGATTTATATTGATGGTCATTGACAGAACAAGTGACAGGTTTTTCAGAACTAATTTCTTCAAGAAAGAAAAAACTAGTAATAAATGTAAAAATGCGCCATACAATGATCTTTAAGGATTTAAGGAAGGGTCATGTTCCAAAATGTTTTACATTATACACAGGTATATGGAAGTTGGTCGATGCTATATGTAGTGGTACAATCCTGTTTTTGTCTTTCTGTAATACTGCAAATATTATCTGGCTATTGAATGGTTTCTGTTAATTTTCTTAGTTTTAAAATCATTTTATGCAAGCTATTTAGAGGCACTGGATCACAGTTTAAAATTCTAAACTTTCTTAAAGTAAAATACAAAGTGTTTTGATAAAATTGCAACAAAATCACTATCTTTTAATGAAAGATTCAATGTGAGAGAAAATTCAAAATTTCACAACTAATGGAATGTAAATGTCATGGTTCTTTTCATACATCTATCACATGTATATAATTTTCATAATTTGATACTACTAGTATATATCTCAATGCCTTCTAAAAAAATATGAGCTATTAGAATTATTTTTCCTCAGTTAGACAAAATTTCATTGCTTCATAAGCTTTCATACAATACTTCCAGTTAATTCTACCAGTGATTCTTATTTCAGAATATTCTGAAGTGAAAACTTTAATTATAATCAACTTACATATCAGAAATATAAAGCAATGTTTTTTCCTCTCTCTCTATTACCTAGGGGGGAGGGAAACAATTAATATTCTGAAACATATTAGCATTTTGAAAATAATGTCATGAATATAATGACTATAAATCATAATTCATTAAAGTAAAAAATATCAATGAATGAAATAGTATAATTTAATTACAAAAAGAAGTTTAATTCTAAAATTATTCTTGTTATGAAGAAAAACTAAAGAATTTTATTTGATACTTTCTGATTATTACATGACCATGATAAGTTGCCAACTCATTCGTGATTTTATGAACTGGCAATAAACATTTGTTTGACTAAGATTGGCAAGAAATATTACACAGTACAGAACTTACAGGCATTGCTCTGTTCATAAATAATACTGAAAAGAAGCATTTTATGAGAAGAACAAAAATTTATATGATCAATATTTACATTTTTTACAGTTGCTGGATAGTATTTAGCAAAATATAAAACGTGTAAATTTACATATATACAAACCTGCATGTGTTTTTTTATCTATTGTCACAAGTATACTAAAAAATAGCTAAAAATGGGCAATTCTGATAAAAGTTCAAGCCAGGTAGTCAGATAATCAGAAAGTAAAAATACTTTCACTATATTTAGAAAAGTAATTTCCCATTTCAAGATTTAAACCTTTTTAATGGTGATTTTTATAAAAGAATTATACAAAATTATTAAAAATAAAATGGAAGAATTAACTTATTAATAGCAAAATACTGAAGGCTCTCTACTGATATGGATATTTTTGTAATGAACATTTGAAGGGAAGCTGACTTGCATTTACATAAGTGGAACAAACACATATAAAAGCCCCATGCAGTCAGTTCATTTGATTACTGAGAAGAGAAGCTAGAATCAGTTACCATGCATTCAGTGATTTTATACACTTAGTTGCTTAGTGAGTAACATTTCAAAGTTGGAGTTTTGATTAAAAAAAAAAAAAAAATTGGCAGTCTAATTAGGCCTAGAGGAGTACACAAGTAAAATTTTGTGAAGATAGCACTTATCGTTTAATTCTGTGGGTATGCGCAAAGTGGGCACACTGATTGAATAGAGCTTCAAAAAGAGTGCTGAAATGAGCATTGTTGTCAATGAACTGACCGATGAGATGTGGAAAAACAAAGAATACAGACTCTCAGTTGTCCTAGATTATCGTTGAGCCCATTCTGGGCACACCTAAGGTTCGCCGTTTGATTTTAGGCAAGATTTCAAGGTAAAAATTTAAAACTAATATAGAATAAGGAGATTAGCATACAGCCAAAAAAATAACATAGAAATTTCTTTTCAAACAATTCCTTTTATACCCTATAAAAATCTGGAAGATTTCTTTGAAAATGAGGGTCTTAAAAAACTAAACATGGCTAAAATATATGGACTGGTTTGTGTTGAGCTGCCAACTACTATAAATAAAGAAGGTTCAGAATAACCTATAATAACCTATATATTATTTTTTATTCAATTTTTCTGTGCATACAGAAGGAAATTTTTAGGTGTGTCCAGACTGGATACACTGTGCTGCAAAGGGTTAAATACTAAGTGTTTAACCCTTTAACATGCATTTTACTTCAAAAGTGATTCAGAGTAGCCATTTTTTAAAGATGATTAAAACTTGGATAATTTTTGCTTTGAAAATTAAAATATGCATATTTATTTATTTATTGCTTTGATAATCTTAACCAGTTTATAAAAACAAATAACAAGTGACAAGCGGTACATTTCAGCTGCACTGACTTTAAAGTTACCTGGCTCATGGGTTTATGGTCATCATTTATGGATGCCATTTTAAAGAGCTCTCCACAGGTTTGTAAATTTCAATGCTCTTGTTTTAAGTTTATTATTTCTGTCATCTGTTTTTGTAAAAGAGTAATTCTTCAAAGCCTTTCTGCGAAGTAACATCTACTGCCATTCGCATCTTCTCCTGCAAAGTTATGCCATTTATGCCAGACTTTGTTAATGTCAGGAAAACAGTAACACACTTGAATATAATTTGACCACATAAAAAAGCACAAAGGACTAAAATAAGGGATTCTTATGCCTCGCCTAATTAGAAGCAAAAGGAGAATAAACAAGAGCAAAGCGATGTTTTCATTCATTAAAGTATTTTTGTTTCGAATTATTTTCAATTGAAGTGCAGCCAACAGTTGATTTGAAGTACATTTCCTCCTATTTATTGTGCTGATGATGATAATGTTGGACTTATTTTTTAAAATTAGTCAAAATTTGTGCTTCCAAAGTAATCTTTGTTGCTGCTTGAAAATTCAGTTATGATAACTTGTGCTATTACTTTGAAAAACCATTCTTAATTAAGTCTTTCTTAAACCCACTGTACAAGTTAAAGCCAATATACTTTTGCCCAAAATGATTCTCCATATATAAAAAAATTTTTAATTGAATAAATACCACTTAAATCAATATAACCTTCAAAGCACTAAAAACATGAGCAATAATAGTACTCTTCTGCTATCAGGGACTGGATTCAGAGATATACATATGTATGGACGTTTATGTATATATGTGCATATATGTACGCATTTATATATATATGTGCATATATGTATGCGAGTATATATACTGTTAAATGTATCCACATTTATACATGCCTACATGAACACATACATACATTTCTAAATCTGGTCCTCATAATAGAAGAGTACCGTAATAATTTAAAATATAATAAATATAATCATAAATCTTACAGTCCAGTATGGGTCATTTCCTTCATGATCAAAACCTTGTAAAGAGCAATTACCTCCAACTATTGCTAAAGGCTTGTCTCTGTCTCCAAGATGGCCTATTAGAAGACAGTTTGCACCATCATGCACCTAAAAAATAAATACAGTTTAATGCCAATGCAAAGTCAGTATGTATCAACTAACTCTTTTATAAAAGTCTATAAAGGAAAGTAATACTATAGAATTCCAAACACACAGACTAACTTGGATCATAGCTTATCTACGCATCTGAAAAATCTAGGGTTGCTTTCTTGTACTTAATTATGCCTTAACTGATGATATTGTTATGAAATGTACAGGCGCAATGAGATAGCTTCCCCACAAAGCAAGTTTAAGGTTGCCATAAAATGGCAAAGTAAGGCAGGGTTGCCACATTTGGCGAGAGATCCATTTGGCGGCAAAATTGGTGATATGCCATGGACGGAAGGAGAATCTTCTGAAACGAATTCTTACGGTTTAGCCCAGAATATTCTCGACCACAAGGCGAAAGCTATATAAACCCTGCTGGTCAGCAATCAGTGAGTGTGCCTCGTATAGAGTGTGAGTTAGTGTCTCGTCAGTTAGTCCGTGTAGAGTCGATCGAGTTGACAGCTGGGCAGCGAGTGCCGAGTGGGTCGTCGAATGCATCGAAAGAGTCTCTTAGTGTATTGTGGTTAGAGCATCATCGACAGAGTGTGTTGAGCTCTGGGAACAACTGAACCAAAGAGTCGGAAGCTGTGCTCTCTGTATCATCGAGTGCATCGTGAGTTGTAGCGTGGAGAGTCTCGAGAGTACGTGGAGTTCCGAGAACAACTGAGCAGAGTCAGGAGCTGGACTCTGGTGCTTTGCAATGAAGCTGTCTCGTTATAGCCTGATAGTGTAAAGGCTGTGTTGCTGATTGTGTCAGCATGTTTATAGTAGTTCTTCGACGACTGTAAAATGTGATTTTGGAAATGTCCTGATTAATATTGTCTAAATAAAGTATGTTTCGATACTTCATCAAGTGTCGTCGTTATTCACTCCAAATTTACGAACCCTGTATGAACGTGAAGGAAGAATATAATGTAACAACTGGCGTCAGAAAAAAATTTAACAATATTTTGGAAGCAAATACAATGCTAAACAAATAAAAAAAGCTAATATTTGGAATATGGTAACAGGTAGTTTGGCGGCATTTTGGTAAGGTGATAAAGGTTACTAGCTAGGACTTTAGCAATGTACATGGATAAAGTCAAGAGTGTACGCAATGCTATTTTTGTGCAATTCTGGGATTTTTTTTAAATGAAAATAGGTCGACGTATACATGGATACTGTGTATGTGCAATTTCTACTAAAACGGCAAGCAGTGGGCGATTCTGGACTTTCTCCCAATTTCGCACCTAATCTTCATTATGATTAAGCACTTTTGTTCCATAAAAGTTCCAGCATAAGCGTAATTCGGCTAGCAGATTGTTGGATAAAAATGTTGAGTAAAAAAAAAAAATGCCTTTACTTTGCGAAAACAAAATGGCATCCAAAAAAAAAAAAAAAACTAGCAGGTTGCTGTAGCAGGGTTGGTCGCCAAATTTTCGCCAAAAAATCGCCAAGTTACCATAATCTGAAGATTAAACGAAAAAAATAATTTTCTTCAAAAGCATTCCAAAAGTTAGAATAGGAAACAACACTGGAAAAAGCAAAATATCATAAGCAAAAATACTTTCAACAGTTAAAAAAAAAAAAATTTCAGTTGTCAAACATTCTGCCAATTTTACAGACTATTTAAGACAACAAATTCATGAACAGAAATGATGTTGGAAAAAAAAAAAAAAAAACCTTTAAGAATAATGACATAGTTCATTACGAGTAAAAAAATATGAGTTCAATGTGTTTCACTTTTTACAAAATAGACACTAGAGTGAAAATGTCATGTTCATAAATGCACATAGTAAAAATACATAAACAGTAGTACAGTACCATACTGAGAACCTATACAGTCAAAAGTCGTTAATTCGGATACCCATAATCCGGACCTCAAAGCTAAAATCTTTCTGAGCATGCGGCGCGTTAACGCATACGCATAGGCGTTTTTGCGTGCGCGCAAGACATTTACGACTGCACATATGTGTCTGCGCAAGTGCAGAATACATTTTCGCGTGCGCGTTTAATGTAAAACAGACAGTATAAGTTAAAATTACCTAATTATCTATTTCAGTTAATATTGATGATTGCGTTGTTCCTTAATCTTCGAATTGGATCCGGCTTATTATTTTTTGCAGACTGTAAGAGCAATTTTATAAAAGTAAGCTTGAACTTTCGATTATGTCAAAAAGAATTTCCGATGCTGGAGCTCCCAAAGGATCTAGAAAACGAAAGTATGCTTCGATCTCCATCAAACAAAAAACGAATTGCTATAAAAAATGGATAAAGGCATATCCTTTGTTTATCTAACGGTTCCGAAATCTGTTTATCAATTTCACTCTGCTCTGCACGGGGGGGGGGGGGGGGGGGGGTCGCAATGAACTGGAAGTTTATCTGTCAGCACTATCGTTATCTTTAGGGCAGATGTTTTTATTTTATTTGGCTTATATTCCTTACTAAATGTAGTATTTAATCTCGATGTACTCCGTCTTTGATATAATTTAAATCAAATTCCTCGTCATTATAAATATCACGAATACAAATCAAATAGATTTCTGGTTGCAATTTTCTAATTTCGGCTATGCGTAAGGTATGCTTTACGCATGCGCGCATTGAAAGAAATGTTTAATAAAGTAAACAAAAAAATATTAAGCTTCTTTTTTTGTAAATTTCGATACCCTTTAGATCATAATTGCTCATTATTTATAAATTACGGTTTCATATTTTTAATTTTATAATTTCTGCATGCCATCTTACCAGATTTAAACTGATGATCTATAATCCGGAATCGCCGAAGTCCCGACAAGTCCGGATTAAAGACTTTTGACTGTATTAATTATACTGGATTAGGGAAATTACATTAATCTCTTATGAACACCAAACAATAATTTTAAAAAAAATCTACTATCTACACTTTACTTTTCTGTTTTGCTGGCACAAATCTCGCCAAGCAGACGTTATTCGTGACAACATACAATGTTTAATAAAGTAAGTTGCCTTAGGGCATAAAATTGAACTATCTGGTAAAAATTATATGCAATTGTATGAGTGTGTTGAAAGAAACAATCAATCTGATAAGAAATGGCTGTGACTTGTTTTGAAAATGAGGCGTAAAAGGTTACCAGTGAGGATATTCCATTTGGCTTCAGTTTCACCCTTACTGGCGACTTTATTGTCTAAGCCGGCAAAATGGAAAAGTACCCACTTATTTTATTGGCATACGAATCTTAAATCAGAAAGGCCCATTCACAGAAATTTTAAAGCCCAATTAAATATTAGGCTAATCTTTGGAATATGGTAACAGGTAGTTTGGCGACATTTTGGTAAGGCGATAAAGGTTACTAGCTAGGACTTTAGCAGTGTACATGGATAAAGTCAAGAGTGTGCGCAATGCCATTTTTGTGCAATTCTGGAATGTTTTTTTCAAGTGAAAAAAGGTCGACGTGTACATGGATGATACCGTGTATGTGCAATTCTTAAAAACGCGGCTAGCAGTTTGCGATTCTGTACTTTCTCCCAATTTTGAACCTAATCTTCGTCATGATTAAGCATTTTTGTTCCATAAAAGTTCTAGTATAAGCGTAATTTGGCTAGCAGATTGTTGGAAAAAATGTTGAGTAAAAAGAAAAACAACTTTACTTTGTGAAAACAAAATGGCATCCAAAACAAAACTAGCAGGTTGCTGTACCAGGGTTGGTCGCCAAAAAATCGCCAAGTTACCATAATCCAAAGATTAACAAAATATTATATGTTTTTAGGCTAATAAGTCTCTAGTAATTTACTTAATGGCATAGATTTTTAAAATTTTTGGGTAAAAAAAAAAAAAAAAAAAAAAAAAAAAAAAAAAAAGAGGGGGGCCTTTTTCAGGGATGAAAAAGAGAAATGAGGTATTGCTAGATATAAATGCACAAGTTTTTGAAAATTTTCATAATGACAGAATTAAAAATATACTTCAATAATAATACTAACCTTTACTTTTTATGTTAATCTTTACTTAAATATGCTTAAAATCATGCTTTTCGACCAACCTGGACTTAATTGTATTAAACGGTATGTTTAAAAAGCTAATATTTAATTGCATATGCTTAATATCATGCTTTTCTACTAACCATGTTTAACAAACTAAGTTTGACTTACATGTGCTTAGTATGCTTAATCATCTTTTTAGCTAAACTACATATGTTTAATATCAGGCTACACACTAATTATCATTTTTAAAACACTAAATTATATTAGCTTTATATCATGTTTTATTTCAAAATGTAAGCATATAAAAACCATTACAGTTGATGAGCTTAGTGGCAAAAAAGGCAATGTCACCAATGGCTTCTCTGACGAACTGCCAACAGGTTCTTTGTGGAAAAAAACACAAAAGAAATTTGGGCTTAAGTGCAGAATCACCCACTTATTTGTTTGGTGCTCTTTACAAGAGTAAGGAGAATTGGATTTTTGTCAATTTTCTTTGACTTTTTAAGTAAAAATAGGTCAATGTGTACATGGATAAAATCAAGGGAGTGCACAATGCCATTTTTGTGCAATTCTGGGATGCTTTTTTAAGTGAAAATAATTCGATGCGTACATGGATACTGAGCATGTGCAATTCTTAAAAATGCACTAAGCAGTGGGCAATTCTGCACTTTCCCCGAAATTTGATCATGAAGTTTTAACCTTTAATTTAGAAAACTGTAAAACAAATATCTTCCAAATTATACTCACATCTTTGTAAAATAAATCAGTATTATTTTCAACATCATATGCTAGTAAGTTAGTAGCAGTTCCAACAACAAGTATATGTTGCACTTTCCCCGAAATTTGATCATGAGGTTTTAACCTTTAATTTAGAAAACTGTAAAGCAAATATCTTCTAAATTATACTCACATCTTTGTAAAATAAATCAGTATTATTTTCAACATCATATGCTAGTAAGTTAGTAGCAGTTCCAACAACAAGTATATCATTTTTTGTATCTGGTTTTAAAGGTCCAGCAGCTACACATGTGACAGACTGATTTATGTTCAAAAGACTCAAGTCTCCAGACAAAGATGAATCAGCCCAACGTCCTCCTTTATATAAAGTATTTCTATGGGGGCTATGAACAAATATCTGAAACAAGTAAGTAAAATTTGAGGGTTTATAATAAAACAATTTCATTACGCAAATTACTGAGAAAAGATAGATGATAAAAAATATATAAAATATGCAATACATATAATAAAATGCTATACTAAAAGAAAAAGTACTTTGTCTGAAGCTGTTGCAGCAGTTAAACATGGATGAATACCATCATATTTGCCTATTGTAACTCTGTGCGCCAATATTTTGTGACTCAAATTTAACGTAAATACAGGAGCTAACATTCTGATAGCTATTAGGAAGCTAGAATAAAAAATATATTGAGAAGATTCGGAAAAATTACATATATTTCGATACTAATATCAATTCACCCGTACAAGCACTTTCGTTTTGTGTACATTGGGTAACCGTAGTAACAAGATTGAATATAAAAAAAAAAGAATAAAAAATTTAAAAAGAATTAATTTAAATAAATTATTATGGTTAAGTCTACTTAATAAATAAACTAAAGTATGAACTTACATTTTTTTCCATAAATTATGGCTAATTTGCAAAAGCCTATAAAATCCTATTTAAAGCTTTGTTTCACGAATTATTAAATGAATTAGTGTAATAAATTTCAACGTTCATTAGCATCGGAAATTTATTAGAGTACCTTATGTCTTGATTTAATTTAGTTAATTTAATCATTTTTAATTAATATGAATAAGTTTTCTCATTTGACATTTTTAGTTCGAAGAAGACGACATCCTATGCTCTTTCTGCTGTTTCATAATTTTGTTTTGAATTCCTCTACTGTGCATTAGCAGATCATTGACATTTCCATATTAAGATGAACAAAGAAATTTCCTGAATTAAGGTATGCATTTACACTCTCAGGTAAATGCTTATGCTATAAAATCTGCAAAATTCCGATTTTATTTAATATTATATTTCATTTTTGCAAAGTGCATCAAACTTTTATTGTCCTTATGTTAGTTTCCTTTTCTTTGTTATGATTTTAATCGGTAGATAACTATTTATTATTAGTAAATTATAAAAAATTTTGAAAGCATTATTTTTAATAGTTTTTTAGTGTATAATAAATTCTCAAAACTGTTTCCTAAAGTTAATTTTTGCGGCGTTGTAAGTTTGAGTTTTGAATTTCTCTGTCAAGTGATGATAATTTTTCTAAGTATATGTTTTCTTATTATACATCTGCTGGATAAATTTAGTATAATATTGCGTAATTTTCAACATGTTATTGAAATAAACGAAGTATTTTCAATTTTCTAGTAAAATTTGTAATTCTTCATGAACTTTCACAAAACACAGCAATGAAAAAAGTAAAAACTTTAAACGCTGAAAAATATAAGCAGTACAAGGCAATTAAGAAACTTGTTTGAAAATGTGTATATTATGGTCTATAAAACTGAATCCATTACAAGAAATGGATCATTTTCAAATACTAATTTTCTGTCTTAAAAAAAAAAAAAAAAAAAAAAAAAAAAAATGGTGAGTGCAGTGCTTGACGCATTTTTAAGAATTGCACATACTCGGTATCCATGTACACATCGACCTATTTTCACTTAAAAAACATCCCAGAATTGCACAAAAATGGCATTGCGCACTCTCTTGACTTTATCCATGTACACATCGACCTATTTTCACTTAAAAGTCAAAGAAAATTGACAAAAATCCAATTCTTCTTACTCTTGTAAAAAGCGCCAAACAAATAAGTAGGCGATTCTGCACTTTAGCCAAAAAATTCACTGTGACACTCTGATTAAAGTTGATTAGAATTGACTCTTAATGTTTTAGTGTTTTCCTCCATTTGTTTGAATACCTCCTACTCCAAGAAAGTCATGTAATCCAAATATAGGGTTGCTGTATGAAGTTAGCTTACAACTATATTCCATGCGTTACTTTTGCAGTAAATTAATGAGCATGGTATTTTTGAAGTCTATATAAATATGTGCATGGCAATATAATGTATTGACCAAATACTACATTTACAACATGGTAATATATTTTGTCATGCCATGCAGTACATTGTTTCTTTGCTTCTCTATTCAAAACTCAGGTACTTATTATTGCAATCACCTTAGTAAAAGTCGCCAAATTTTCAGAATGTGCCGAACTATGGCAACTATGCTTATAATAATCCTTCAATTGAGCAATGTTGCCATTCACATATGTGTTCTTTTTGTTGTACAGTAGAACTCTTATCCAAATCAATTGGGACCAAACACTATTCGGATAATTGTTTTTTTTTTTTTTTTCGAAAAAAGGGTCTACGTACACTTTAATTAATTACCGTATGTACAGTATGTTGAAAATGGGCAAAAGAACTATTTTTAAGAAAAAGAGGTTTTAATTAATTAAAATGCAAAGGGGTACTTTTTCGTTTCGCCGGCGCAAATCTCGCCAAGCAGACTTTATTGGCGACAACATACAGTATACACATAAAAAATATTTAAAAAATTTTAGTTCTAAGAATTCTTTTTTTGAAGGCATAAACATTTTAATATCGCTTAAAATTTTATAAAAAGACAATAAATTTGTGAAAAGACATTAATTTAAGAATTTACTATGCTTTCATGGTTCAACATCCTGATTCGCCCGTTCATATCACGTGACCCCAAGAGATCTCATCTCATGTAAACTACTCTACAAAAATCTAATGCTCTCATTAATTATCTACATTAATTTCAAGTTAAATCTTAATTTGGAACACAAGTTTAAATGCAAGAAATATTCCAATTCGTACGAATAGCTTACTCAGAAATTATGTAAAACTGCAGTGCTTTATTTTGCTAATGCATTCTCATTAGAATTGATGATTTTAACCCTTAACTTTACCTTTTGTATATTTTCATCTTCAGGTAAGCACTGTGATTGCATCCTAATTGACTTAATTACCGAAAATGGCCTTAGGCATAAAACTGAACTATCTGATAAAAATTCTATGTAATTATATGCCAGTATTGAAAGAAACAATCAATCTGATAAGAAAAAGCTGCCACTTGTTTTGAAAATGAGGCGTAAAAGGTTACCAGTGAGAATATTCCCTTTGCCTTCGGTTGTACCATTATTGGCGACTTTATCGCTCGTGCCGGCAAAATGGAAAAGTACCTGCAAAGGTAATACTTTTGCATAAATGTTTTGTAGTTTTGTAGAATACTTACAAGTATTGAATGCCATTGCTTGCTGAACATCTCAGTTAAAGTAAGCTGTTTGACAAACACCGTGCCTGCACTTCAAATTTCACAGCTACCCATTACTTGCTTTAAAGGATGAACAACCAAGCTTCTGAGCCAAGATCTTACCTTTTTCACAAAAAATCACATCCGAAATTGGGTTTCTCATAGAAAGTTGTTGCAAATACCACTTGAAAACGACATATTCTAAATTTTTGTTTGTTGCTGTATTGATTTTCTTGAATAACTTCCATCATTATTTTCAAGCAGTGAAACAAAGTTTAAAAGTGCAGATTTGCTCCTTTTAATGTCTGAAATCAGTGGTTGTCCTACACTATGTTTCCGTCTTAATTTCTTTCTTAAACTCTGAAAGCGATTTGGATAATTGGAGTTGTACTGTATTACAAATTCTAATGATTTTTACTGACAAACTGGGATATTTTTTGCCTTAATCTCAGTTTTAAAATATGACCTTGTGGAATTTGTCAGCAGTGTGTGAAAGTGTTGTAACATTTCTGCGGGAATACAGAATTTTGCTGCAAAATCAGTAACGAGAACGATGATTTGATGTGTTTGGTCTTTCCAAAGTTCATGCCGTACTATGTTTGTGCAGTTTCTCTGATGTTGTTTTAAGTGAAAACAGATTGCTATGTGCATCAGAAGAAGAACAGCATGAAAATGTGTTGGAGAAATATTGCAATGAATGTGTTTTTTTCTGTGTATTGTGTAATTTTTATTTAATGATTAAAATTTGTATTTTAAATTGCTAAAGCATGTTTTCTTTTCATGTGTTGATAATGTTTTCAGACTTGCAATAAATATTGATACTTTGGTGTTCTTTTTAACCCTCTGAGGGTTACAGGTTAAATAATGATATTTGGGGTTCTTTTTAGCCCTTCAAGTGTTACAGGTTTAGCCCTGAAATTTCTGAGTTCCTCAAAATGTCATGAATAAGTAGTATTTTCTTGATTTTAATTAAAAAATGACTCTCTCACTTTGTACTTTGAATCATTTTCTTCCAATATACGTCCAAACCGAAATTGGATACATTAAAAGCTGGCAGAAATTTTCATGTGTAATGAATAAAGAAGCCAGCCTTCTACACGGAATTTTCCATCCATAATGCCGAGAGGGTTAAAATAAGTTTAAAAAATCATGAGCTTACACCTGACGAGTAGCTTTTATCTTTTAATTTGTAAAAAATCGCCAAATTGTATCATGGTGGTTTGTTAATATGTTAGTATCAAAATTCATTTGTTGCTAGTTAATGCCATATTATATTGTATATCTATAAAGGTTATTAGTGGTAATTCTTAAAAGCAGTGAACACAAGAATAATAATTTCCAATGACTGAGATAAAAATAGCTATAAGCACTATGTAAAGATGAGGGACAATTCTGGGAAATGAGAACTGCCATACTGACTGCAATTGAAGTACACTCAAAAAAGAACCTAGTTTCCATCATATTGTATAGCATTCAAATACGATAAAACTTAACATGCATAAATATATTTTACTTAATTGTAGTCAGAATTTCCATCTCATTCAGTTCCATCCACATATAGATTTTAAGTTCTTTCATTTTTTTCAGATCTTTATTATATCTTTTATAAAAAAATTCCTTGTATGCGTATTTTTTCTAATTTTAGTTTACATTTCCGGTACAACTCTGATATACACCTTAATTTTACCAAATATGGCGATATGTGTTCTGTGCTGGTTTTTGACGCGATTGCGTGTTCTATGGCAACCCTGTTGACGTTGAACAATCTTTCGCTGGAGCTCGTTGATTCGCGTCTGTGTCTGAGAAGATGGGAGGAAAAGATAAAATGGTAGACGTTGTTGAATTGAAGTTCGGCAAAAGGAAATATCATTGTGGCCATCCTGTTGAGGGGTAGTGGGTATTTGGAAGTGGCAGCGAGAAATTTGGCGACTTGAAGTCGCATATCAGAGTAGTTCCAGGTTTACATATATTGCAATTTTAATTAGATCTATTTATTGCCTGTTTTGCCATTAGTTGGTCTTTCACAGTTCCTGGTTTAAGTGATTTTGGAGCTTTTGTTTTTGTATGATTTACCTGGGAGAAGATTCTTTCTGTCCTAACCAAAGAGTCAGATAAAATAGATAGACTGGTCGTAAAAAATAAAATCTCGTATTTAGAATTGTTAAAGGTCATCTTTTACATTATTTAACAGATACCAAAGGTCAGGGTTAGTTTCCTAGAGTGATCTAAATCATGATTTAAATGAAAAGATCTCCGTTCAGCATCAAGAAGATCTGATCTATCTTCAGAAACACAAGGCGAGCAAACTGCATTGCTAAATGTAAAATTCAGAATGGTAATTTATTGTTATGTGTTAATTGTTATTATTTTCAAGCTTTAAGTTATTTGCTTACTTAATTCAGTTTTGCTCAGTAATTAAAGTTATTAATTTTTGCTTTAGTTATTTAAAGTTGGTTGTAAGTTTAAATTGAAACTTTTTGTAAACTTTAAATTTAGGTTTGGTTGCTTTAAAAGTTTTCTTAAGTGCAGTTGTTTAACTTTTAATTTGAGTTTAGGGACTTAAAGTTTTATTTGGTTTTGTAAAGTTTATTTTGATCCTTAAGGTATGTATTTTTTTAACTTTAAATTGTTTAAAAGTTTTAATTTAGAGTTTGGTTAACGTCTACCCCTCTTTCTGCTAACATCTTATGAATC